GATGAACAGGTTGTTGATGTGGAAACCGGGGTGGGCGTAGAAGAAGGAGAAAAACCGGTCAAGAGGCAATTGTGTTCCTAAGTAGTAATACTCTCGCGACAACATTTGCTCTCCCATACCGGTTCCGATCTTAGTGGTGAAGTTCAGAATGGATCCGAAACCAAGGTCACGACCTTTACCGCACTGGTAGTATTCACAGTGCTTGATACGACCTCCACGAAGAAGTGCGTTCATGCCAGCGTAGATATCTTCGTTGAGGTGCAAACCTTTCTGAGCTTTGGAAACACCACCACGAGTTGTCATGAAGATACCATTCAAAAAGTCAGGATGTCCATAGTGCAATTTACCACCGATCTGAGCCATAGTACGCGCGAACAGGGTACCGAACGTTTGTTCTTTTCCAGCAGCCACATCACCGAGGATACCGATGTTCTCCGAGAAAATATATTCACGAGCTCCAAGGATAGCAACGGGATTGGTTTTTGTTGGAGGTAAGCCAGGAGTATAAGGGGAAACGTTGTCCGTGGTCATCTCTTCGAACTCAGCCAAAACACTTCTAATCTTAAGACATTCTTCCAGATAGTTGTCCTGATTGGCATCAATAAGCTGAACATATTCGCCGCGATAAAAGATAATAGCGTGGTTCTGATTGTCAGATTTACCGTCTCCAAGAATAGGGTTGCCAGAAAGTTGAATCCGGAATTTCGGTCGCCGTAAGCCGTTCTCCATAATTTCCGAATGACCATCGATGAGTGCAGAATACAAACGTGGCTCTTCGCCTTCGTTGACTGGAGGTTCTTCGTCCAAATATGCAATTTGGAGGTCAGGGTATGCACGAAGTAAAAACTCCGTGTTCTCGCGCTCTTCCTTGTTAAATTTCGCGTATCGTTGCATGGAGACACAGATCTTGAATTTTCGACGAGCCATCCGTTCTAATTCGCGTTCCAATTTTTCAGAATTTCCGCCAAACATTTGAACAACTTCGGGGTTTTCCACACGGTAGAGAAGCTTGATCGCGCGACTATAGTTCATAAAACCGGAAATTGTACGATACAGGGTCTGAGAACGGAGTGATGCCCAGATACGAGTGCGCAGAGTATACTCAGGAGCGGCCGATTTGAAACCGATACAGTAGAATGGAAGGTCGTCAATTTTGCTCTTGGCTGCATCTTTCTCGCTCTTCTCGTACTCGCCGTTGAATTGCGAGGTCTCGTCTGCCAAAATCTTGGTGTCCTTCACGAAGCAGTCCCATTCATGTGGGTGAAGCTGTTTCAAGTACTCCAAAAGTGTCACGCGGGAGTAGGGTTCATCTTCGCGGATAATCTCTCGCAACGATAGGAGGATCTTCTCGCTATAATGGGGAATGAGCACTGTAAAAGTCGGCATGTTGTCTACGGGAACCGGTTCCGGGATCGGGGTGGAAAGGGATTGTGCGAAAAAGGAGATACGACGTTCCGCTTCACTCTGAGATGGGAAAAACTCGGTCTTAAACGAATGATCTTCCTGAGAAACAAAGAAGGTTGGAGCACGTAGGGTCCGCTTGCCCTCCTGTTCGGATGGGACCTGGTGATAGAGCAGTTTCTGAACATGATCGATGGCCAACAAGTGTTCGCGGTACATGGAGATGACCACGGCGTTCCATATTTGGGATATCAAAACCTTTGGCTTGTACTTGATTTCCATGTCGGTAGTTGCAAGGACCTTCGAATAGATACGTTTTGGGAGGCGGGAGAATATATTTCGCCAGGGAGTCCAGATTGACACACCGAGGTAGAAGGAACGTGCAACGGAGAAGATCGTTTTCAAGATGATGTACCACAGATAAGTGTCGAGGAAAAACAACACCAAATCAGTGAATAACATCAAGCCCAGCAGGATCTTGGGCTGGTATTTACAGAGGATATCCTTAAGAATAGCGTCACCGGCACATCGATGTATCGTCATGGTCGACAGGATTCGGATTGGGTCTTTGATGGAAAGAGTCAAGAAGAAGTAAGACTCAACGAACTTTGCGGTGAACACGCATACCCAGAGACCGTACGACATCCACATATCGTTTCCACGAAGACGAGGGAAACTGGCTGTGAAAGTCTGACTAGCAACGTATCGTCGGGAATTCTTTGTCAGGTAACTGCCAAAAAGTCTACCAAGTGGCATGACGGAGAAGAAAATAAATGTTGCCAATGCTATGAAGAACTGGACGATACCCAGGACTAGGGCTATCTTGTCATCCTGACGGATTCCAAAAACGTAGACGCTCGGTCCCAAATTTATCACGAAGACCACGATCAAGAAGAGCAATCGTTTTGTCAAATGCTGAGCGCCAGCCCATTGTCTTGGGACGTATGCCCACTCTGCAAGTGTTGCACCGATCATAATCAGCGACGCAATCGCCCCTCCAAGGCCCACTGCAGACCATGTCGCGGCAGCCTTAGGTTGATTGTCCAACCTCTGTTCGTAGTTTGGGGTGTACAATGGCTTGGAGTTGAAGGCTGTATAGAACCAGAAACCAGTAACGTGCATAACCCAAATGCGATTGAAGTTGACAAGCATGTGGAACCAAGATCGAGTTTCCTTGTACGTCTTGAAGAAAACCTTCTTCCAGTTGACATCTTTAAGCTTCATATAGCGTTCCGCGGGTGGAACGTCAACCAGCCTGGTCTTGTCCTCGAGAATGATACGTTCAATACCTTCGGGATACCAGAACAGTTGATTGATGTCATCGTATCCAATAATCTTGTTGTGGTCCCTTTCGCGACGAACATATTTTCCATCCAAAATTTCATAGCCTTGGTCACGACAATACTGGTAGAGCGGGGTAACGATCTCGTTGAGGTAGGTGAATTCAGGAACGGGTTCGACACGATTTTGGCATTCCGGGGACCGAAGGTAGTCATCGGCACACTTAAAGATGAAGCACAGGCATTCAGGCATGAATCGAACCTGGTTGGCTTCGCCCCAACAAAGCAAGTACAGAGCGATCTGACGGGCTCTCTCATGCTGTGACATGCGATTCATGCGAGTCTTCCATCGATATTCGGCAGCCTCGAGACTGTTATCGCCTTCCATAGACTCCAATGCTTGCTCTTCGTTGTTGGGATCCGACTGTGCTTTCTTTGCAGCCTTGCGCGCCTTGCGGGTTCTGCGGTTTGTTTTGCCAAGTTTCATGTTCGCGAACCCGACGGCATCGTCGAGATCCAAGTGAGCAGCGAAGTACCACCGTCGATAGTTTGCGTTGTCTCCTCCAATATAATCCGCATGGAGAGAAAGAAGAGCCTGGTTTGGTGTCATGCGCGATGCACGGGAGTCGAGCTGGGTCATGAGGTGATCGTACATGTTGCGCATACTGTCACGCTGGAAACCGAACTTATTGACCAGATCCAAAAAGATGTCCTCAATCTCTTCCTTCGAAACGGGAATCTGAGCGTCTGACGCCCATGCTGGGTATGGCTCGCGCGATCTTTGGCCTGGGGGCAGGACGTTGCTGTAATCACCGTAGATCGGTGTCGAGGCGCCCGAAGATCGATTTCCCCCATAGGAAATCTGGGAAGAAGGGGGTCTATAGCCTCTGCCTCCCATCTGGCTGTCGCTATAGCTATTATATCGATCATCTCCCCGGCCATAATAGTCCATGTCTGCTGCGCGGGCAGTCTCAGATCTCATAGTAAAGTCGCTGAAAGTTTCAGAATCCTCTTCAGAGTCACCGCGACGAGGATATCCACCCTGCCAGTTGTTGGACGGGCCAGATCCTTGGTCGTAATACTGGTCATTGTAGTAATCGTCTTGATAACCATATTGGTTATCATAGTAACCGTCTTGCTGGTACGGGTTGTTGGGATCGTAACCACTGGGAGCCGGTGTTGTCAGTTTAAACAAACTCGTGTCGAGAAAACGCTCGTTCTTACTTTCTGTCATAGTAGCCATCCCCATGCTGGGAGTAATCCGCTTGGTCATAATATCCTTGATCTTGATAGTAGGCATCGCCATGGCCCTGATGATAATCGTCGTAGGGATCCTGGGCACCGCCTCCTCCTCCTCCTCCTCCTCCTCCAGCACCTTGCGGATATGCCGACATGATGAATCAGGAGAAGCCGATAATGCTAATTTATAGATACGGAGAACATCAGGTCAACAACTGGTGCACCAGCAGAGATACAACTCCTCCCGTGTAGCCGACATCAAAGAATTTCGAGAAGGACTCACCTCATCTACCAAAGATGTGGCGGGCTGCCTGACAGAGCCGAGAATAGCAACAAGACGCGGCGGATAGTGGATTCGTCTGGTCGAGCTTATCAGCAGGTATCGATCAAGCGGGGAGTGGCTGGGCGTGTCTCAGAAGACCCTTTGAGACTACCCGACTTGCGGAACATACAAGATTATGATTCCAACATTCAAAAGGCCAGTTTTTTTGGCTGGTGAATTTTATTGACAACCACAGTCTGGAGAGTTGTGAGACCCCGACGGAAGGGCTATAAAGATAGGGACCGAGTGACTGGAGCGAGTGATGATCAACACGGCGACTTTGGTGATTAGTGAAACGAGCGAAGAGCGATGGGGTTTTTTCTGTGTGGCTGCAGCGAGAGGATGTGAGCCCGTGCTGGCAGGCACAATCAATGGAACAAGCGAAAAGTCACTCCTAACAGTCCAGCTTCCCAAATGAGTGTGAGGGTAAGTCAGGACAGTGACCTCCTCCTTGCGAGAAGAAGGGCGAAAAAGAGTTCAAGGGAAAACAACAGGTAAGAGGAGAGAGAAAAAAAAAAAGATCAAAAAACAAAAGAGTGTGAGAAGAGGTAAAAGAAAAGAACGAGAGCACCGGAACAAGATTGAGGCAAGTGGAGGGAGATCAACACACCAAGCCTGCGGTGGGAAAGGGGAGCGAGAGATCAGGACAACGGAAGACGCCAGAGCAGGGCGAGCGGAGTTGATCAGAGCACCAACTTTTTTCTCCCTAATTATTGGCCCCAGGAGGGTGTGCCGGTGTAACTTACAGCGATGCGCTCATGCTCGACCCGTATTGGCGGACGCATGCAAACAAAGATAAAAAAGAACGTGAGCGGCCAATGGAATCCCCCCACAGACGTGGAATTACTGGTAATGTCGGAAAGTTTCAGCGGTAATACACACACTTTTTCATGCAGGCGACAGACACTCCCAAATTACGTGGAAGACGAGAGGGGTCCGGTCCTGCACCGTCCTGGGCTCCTGGGCGCTAAATGGGCTCCAGGATCCCCACCGCCGTCATGGCATTTCCCAGGCCTGGAATGCACTGTGGTGACCGGGCCCCCAGCGAAACCCCCAATTCGCGGGCTGGCTCCAGACAGGGGCGCGAAGTTCTGAGCCAATGAATCTCGGGATTTACCCATGGGCCTATCCAGGCAGGACCCCTGGTAATATGTGGTCCACTCAAATCCTGATGATTTCCCTTCAGGCGGGATTGGCTGGACTCTTCAAAAAAACCACACCAGCACGAACTCCTTGTGCCTCAAAATTGTTGAAGGCTTGTTTGCTGCCCTTCAGCTTTCACCAGGATGGTGGCAAATCTACCGAGAAGAGCGTGACTCCCGCACATGAAAACTCTTCAATACTGCAACTCTCTCAGCATCTTGTCGTGGAACATAGGCAAAAAGCATCTCTTTACCAGGTGACCCTTCAGATCTCGAAGCCTAGGGTTGAGCGGACAAATTGATAGGGCAGAAACACAAGTGTCGCCAGACCCCCAAATCATCTGAGCGCGGGTTTGGTGTCCTCCATGCTCCGGTACGGAGCACAACGTATGTAAGAATCTGCTTGTACAGGGAGTACTCTGTACTGTAACCCTTAATTACCGTATTTAACACCGGTTTTGATTTTACTGTCAATCACGAGTGGCGGAATTCACAGCAGAGTTTTTGGCTTTTGGTTTTTCTTTTCTGCCTGATACATCAGGTATCTAGGATACCCTACTCCGTACTCCGTATACAATACAAACATCTAGCTATACGGAGTACGGAGTACATAATGTGTGTACTCTGTTGTAAGACCACAAGCCAGCCATTGACAATATTGGCACGCCATCTCTAGCGATCAGGCAGGTTTCCAATTAACGGTGGACGATGCCAGCATCAAGAACCCAGAGAGACGACCCTGGACATGGATGGATGTCGATGCTCTGCATTGCTGTTGAAAGGACAGTCCAAACCAGAAAATCCGAACCCATTTCGTAAGGATTGTCTCGGGTTTGAACCAGGGAATACATGGGAACTCCCCAAAAACTTTCCGGGACACGGTTTGTTTCCCCAAACATCCTCCCTAATTAACGAGTTCGTTGCTCCGTACTCTCAACCATGCCCAAACGCAACCGGGCGAACGTATCCTGGGCGGTCGGAAATTGACCTGCGAACTCCAGCCCAGTCTCTCAGTCGACCTAGCAACGAATAGTTTCGATGGCTGTGCTGAGATTCCCTGCAAATTGCCACGCTGGGTCCGCGGACGGTGTTGGTGTGGGGGGGGGGAATATCTGAAACAGTTACCAAATTTGCTTCCGCGGGGCCCACGGTCAGGACCTTGATTCTCGCCTTGAAACCTCCCGTTTACTGATGTAGAGCGCCCGTCAGTGTTGGCCGCAGGCTGTGTCTCAAGCATGTGCTTCGCAACGGACCTGGGAGTCACCAGTCTCGACTATGTAGTAACTATATTACACAGGTGCTGACAACGGTCTCAAGCCAGCATGGCGATGCTTCTACTCTACTCCGTATATATTCGATACATTACTCCTTATATTGATGAAGATCAACCTAACTCAAAGACGACGATGTAGTTTGATGAAACCGAGGCAATAATACATAGAAATTTTCCCTTCCAAGTCCTTTAATCTGTCGGTAACGCAACAAAGCCAGAAGCTGCCATTTCCAACCGCCATGATAAAACCGGCCCGAAAATAGGCTTTCTTCCATCATTCATGCTGGATAAAATTCCGATAAAGAGATTGTCATTCTCCTTGCAGACTTTTACAACGACATTCAAGCTGGGCTCGTTTCACTTCTAAGAGGACATCTGACAAGAAAAGGAAAAAAAAAGGAATTTTTGAGACATATCGGTGAGCTGTTCAGTCCGAGCGGTGACAGCTCATCTGCCAGACCAGGCAATGACGCATCTGCCGCCAACAATCTGTCAAATCGGAGCAACGTCTTGACGACGGCTTCCGAGTGGACTGTCAGGCGCGATCAAAAACAAGGCATTTTGCTTGCAGAATTCCCTCGACGTCAGAGCAGAAACCCCCTCGTTTTTCATAAGCTGATCCCTGACGTACACGAAATGCCGCAATGCTAACCGTTGATGTTCTGTGAATCTTTCTCTAACGGGAAACTGATGTCTCAAAGCCCAAAACTACTGTACTACAAAGCATGCATGTACATGCTTTGGTGTATGTATCGAGTCTCAATCGAAGAGGGGTTGGACCGAACATTCTTAATCATATGATCAAAATCTGGATTGAGATCCGCGTTGTTTTTTTCATTCGACTATGTGTCCTAAGTTCATGTACACATACTCTCGTCTCAGCCACGAACACCTTTCCCCTGTTACCAAAATTGTTCCCATCAAGCCAAGGGCAGCCCTAGCCTTCCAGAGATTCCACGGGCATTTGAGGCTCTGTAGGAAAGTTATCCAAATCTCAGCAGAGGCTTCGCTTCTCCCGAACTCTCCCATGACTCAGCAGGTATTCAGATCCGTGCTCAGGATATAATTTTTACGCAAAAAAGCACCATAGATTGAAGGATCAGGTGAAACCATGGTACTTGTTAAAATGCTGTTATGCGCAAGTCTCTATTCCCTCTAGCAGGCTATCACCAGATGTGCTTCCTGGCTCACACATGATGAGGTCTCGGGCATAGGCTATATAACCTGGCGACTGTATAAATACAACTCGACATGGCATCAATGATAGCCACCGGGGGAAACAGCTTGTTTTCTTCAGTGATCCTACGCATGCTTTAATGGTGAGGGAACACCTGCTGAAGAAAACAAGCCGTTTCCTCCGGTGACTACCAATGCTATCCCCATTGGGTCTTTGCTCAGCATAGTGAAACAGACATGCGCATCCTAAATTGCTCACCCTGATCCTTTTAAAATGGCAAATGTAAAACAAGGGTTGTCACAGCACACAAAATCAGAGTGGCCGTGCTTCCATCGAGAAGAAATAAATCTCCGGGGGGAGCAGCAGTTACTTTCTTGATTGCCCAACATTGCATGGGTCTGTTCGTCGTGCAGGATGCAGACCATTCAGGGCTGTGGGAAGACGATGCGATATTTGCCCCATTCTTCAAGACATACAACATTCCCTTGGTACTAGAGCGGCGGATGGCTGAGGAGATCAGATCTGCAGAGTTGGTTCTCACATATTAATATTCACTGATAAACACAACTGATCTGGAAACATGAGGGGTTCGAATGTGAGAGCATGATATCCAAACGAACATCCATCCCCCTGAAAAACCTTCCCAGCGCGCACTGCCGAAAATAGCCCCTTGACTGGTACGGATCTTGTAATTTACAGTGCCAATACTAGCAGGTGATTGGACAGAGCCGTGTATGGGACGCGTAATGGCCTTGCCCCTTTCTCCAGGCGCTCCTTACCCAGTTCGTCACTTTGGCAGACTTTCTCGTCCGCTGCTCGACATCAACTCCAAAACCGCTCGTTACCTTTCATCCTCGCTCCCTGTTTCAACCTCCCCAGCCTTTTGAATGAATTGATCGCCTCCCGATCCCATTTCTCTTTTCTTTTCCCCCAACTTCACGACGTTCTTTTTTGTTTAAACTACTTTTTTCACTTCAATCGTCCTTCTTTTATCGAGCGAGACCTGCGTTTTCTCCTGTTCCTGTCGCACAGCAACTCGCTCATCTCCATCGCTTTTGACCGATTAACTACCCATTCAAAGAGACTCCGAGATAAACACGATATACATATCTATTATTGTTTTTAATCTATCACTGTCATGAGACTTTCAAATATCTTGGCCAGCACGGCCGTCGTTGCTGGCTCGCTGGTGTCAGCAGAGCTCGACCCTATCGTTATCAAGGTCGGTCCACCTCGCAAACATTCTCGTTGATCCGGGGACAGCCCAACTGACCTGTATCCATTTCAGGGATCTAAATTCTTCTACAAAACCAATGGCACGGAATTGTAAGCGCAACCCCTCCAAGCAAAACAGCGAAGTGGAAATAGAAACTGACCGTTCATGCTAGTTTCATGCGAGGAGTCGCATACCAAGGTACGTAGCGATCATCACCATCATCCTTTTTTTTTTTTTTTTAAAATTCAAGGATGCTCTCGGCGGTATGAAATTTGGTACTAAAAATGAACCTGTATCCAGAGGACTTCTCCAGTAACGGAACCACGAGCGGGTCGGACAATTACAAAGACCCTTTGGCCAATGTTGATAACTGCAAGCGTGACATCCCTCTGTTGCAGGAATTGCGAACAAACACGATCCGAGTGTACGCCATCGATCCCAAAAAGGATCATTCCGAGTGTATGAAGATGCTCGACGATGCCGGCATCTACGTTGTTGCCGACCTTGGAGAGCCAAAAACATCCATCAACCGTGATGATCCCAAGTGGGACGATGAACTCTATGAACGTTACACAACCGTCATCGATGAGCTTGCCCAATACAGCAACGTTTTGGGTTTCTTCGCCGGAAATGAAGTTACAAACAACAAGAGCAACACTGAGGCTAGTGCATTCGTCAAGGCTGCCGTTCGTGACATGAAGGCCTATATCAAACGGAAGAACTATCGCCCAATGGGAGTTGGATACGCCACAAACGATGATGCAGAGATCCGTGACGACATGGCTGATTACTTCAACTGCAACTCTGAAGATGAAGCCATCGACTTCTGGGGTTACAACATCTACTCTTGGTGTGGAGATTCCAGCTTCAAAGAATCCGGATATGATGCCGTTGTCAAATATTTCAAGGACTTCAACATCCCCGTTTTCTTCGCCGAGTATGGTTGCAACCATGTGCAACCCCGTAAATTCACCGAAGTTGGGGCTATTTACGGCCCTCAAATGACACCTGTCTTGAGCGGTGGTATTGTCTACATGTACTTCCAGGAAGAAAACGACTATGGTATGTTATTGATCTACCCTCTGTCTACTTGCGAGCTAACTATTTTTTTTCCCCCTAGGTTTGGTCAAGATTGAGAATGACAAAGCCAAAAAGCTGGAAGACTTCAAATATCTCCAGAAGCAAATGCAGAAAGTCGATCCCGATGGCGTCCAGATGTCTGATTACAAACCCACCAACACTGCTCTCCAAGCTTGCCCAACCAGCAGAGTCTGGAAATCAAACAAGGATCTCCCTCCTACCCCCAACAGAGAACTCTGCAACTGTATAGTTAAGAGCTTGAGCTGCGTTGCCAATGATAAGATCGACGACGAGGACTTGGGCGACCTCTTTAGCACTGTTTGTGGATTGAGCGAGGAAGCCTGCACAGGCATCGCCACCGATCCAGAGAAGGGTGTCTATGGAGCCTACAGCATGTGTAGCCCACGTGAAAAACTCTCGTTCGCATTCAACTCGTACTATGAAGAGCAATCTGCCAAGGGCAACGGCCAAAACGCATGTGACTTCAAGGGCAGTGCTAAGCGACAATCCCCTATCGAACCATCCGGCACCTGCAGCTCGCTCATCGAGCAAGCTGGAAAGGACGGCAAGGGCAGCGTAACCTCTGTCCCGAATGGCTCCTCTTCCTCTGCTGCCTCGCCAATGGCCATTTCTCCCCTCAACCTTAACTTCCTCCAGCTTGTTGCTTATCTCTTATGTGCGGCGATGGCTGGTGCTGGTGTGATTCTATTGTAGATACCTAGTTGAAAGCGGTTCCTTGATTTTGCTGTACCTTTTAATGACTCCTTTTTTTTACCCGTGTTCAAATACCTTGGTTGGCAATAGTTAAGCTTTCCTTTTTTTCACAGCGGCTTATATAATTCCAGCCATAAATGAAAGAGTGCCTCCCTTTCATGCAAAGAATAGAATATATGCTTTCTATGAGCCTCTATTCCTGGGTTCTATATCGAGTCCAATAACCTCTTTTAATCTCTTTCGTCCATAGCACTTGTTGAAAATTCAATATTAGTAAATCAAACCCCTCTCCGTATGCCTTCAGTGTGAGAAGTATCAAGGGCCATCGGCAAAAGGTCTCAATGGTTGTCCCCGATCCTCTGTGATATCCTGGTACAATTGCGTTCCGTGGTCACAGATGCATTCGAAACCCCCATAGAGCAGTACGCGTTTGTCGACTCTGTGCTTCCCACCTTGACGATCTTGAAGCACCTGTCGGAAGATGGGAGGTAAGTACGCTGTCCAATCGCATTGACGAGTTTCCATGGCGAGATAGCCAGGCATTCGCCAATCGCTTTACTGCCCGCCCAACAAAAAAAAAAAAAAAAAAAAGGGGAGATAACCCCGAGGTTTCCGGGCAGGGTGGATCGCCGTCTCCGGGAAAGCGTTTACGAATGCCATGTATAGCAGAATTCAAAGAAACATGCAATCGGCCCGAAAAAGGGTTCCCGATTAGCGGATTTCCGAGCATGTACGAAGTATTGAGTATGGGAGTTTCTCTATTTGTTCTCGAAGCAAGACACCTCGGTTGTGCGGCCAACTGGTTGCATTTCATGTGCATGTAGCTCCCCATCTCCTGCGGGAACCCATGGTCAAGAGAAATGCCGCGTATGAGCTGCAGTCATATCAAACTTGAATCGCGGATGGTAGAAATGACACGAAAACGGCACAGATGTTGTCAAATTCCCTTAAGCTGATTCTTGAGTCTATACTTCATCCGCATGTGTGGTTACACTACATATTCGGATGTAGTATTGCTGACGTCGATTCCTACCATCGTTCCCGGACCTGCTCCATTACCTATCCGTGCACTAGAAGGATACTGGTCACAACGCTTGTTTATGTGGATTGAATTACACGGCTTCTGAGGTGTCTCTTGCGGGGAGCCAACCACGCTTTCTTCTCAGACCCGGCATCACCATGAACCGGCTGGCTGACGTATGCGCAAAATGAGCATGCTGATTCTTTACGTTCCGAATCCTCCTGTGTTGATGCACATCATGCAAGTGTGCGAGACCGGAATGCAAATGGAAACAGCATCCGAGCAACATCAATAGTATCGGAGTCAATATGTATGCATCGTCCCATACCAATTTCGTAGGCCACACCATCATTTCGGAGGTAGAAGTATTAGGACACATAAGTATATACCCCTCAAGGACAGTTGACATAAATGGCCGTCCTGTACCTCCGGAAAACTTAACAATTTTACTTTGATACCGACTATGGTGGAGTGAAAATCATGGCTCGCATCAACGTGGTAGTCAGCTTTTTGGCTGCATTGGCTGTTGTCCAGGCAGCTCAACTCTTGAACCTCGATGGCCAGAAAGACGCCGTTCCTGGTTCCTATGTTGTTGTAATGAACGATGGACTATCAGGTCTTGACTTTGAATCCCATGTGAAGTCTATGGCGAAAGTTCAAAAGGCGAACGCGTTAAAACGGGATTTTGACAACACAGCTGACGGTGTGAAGTTTAAGTATAATATCAACGGATGGCAAGCATACAGCGGTAAATTCGACAACAAAACGATACAGAGTATCCTTGACGATCCTAGGGTAAGCGAGCTGCGACCCTTCTGCTAAGGTATATTGTATTTTAGCTGATAGTTTCCAGGTGAATTATATCGAACCCCAGCGTACTTTCAGAGCATTTGGCTGGGTAACACAAGACAACGCTCCTTCGTGGGGCCTCGGTCGAATTTCGCACACATCGCGGGGCAGAATGGATTACGTGTATGATTCTTCAGCCGGAGAAAATGTGACCGTTTATTCTGTCGACTCAGGCGTTGACATCTCGCATCCCGAGTTTGAAGGGCGCGCCATTTGGGGTGTCAACGCGGCGGACAATTCCGACGTAGACCAGATTGGCCATGGAACGCACACTTCCGGGACGATCGCCGGGAAGACGTACGGAGTTGCAAAAATGGCTAAAATTGTTGCAGTCAAGGTCCTGGACGCTGGCGGTCAGGGCACCAACGGTGGTATCATCCAAGGCATTAACTGGGCAGTGAATCACGCTAGACAAAACAACGTCACCGGTAAAGCAGTTATGAACATGAGCTTTGGAGGTGGTCTGTCACGAGCCATCAACGAGGCTGCCTCCAGCGCAGTTCGAGCTGGTATATTCATGGTGGCAGCTGCTGGTAACAGCAATGTCAGTACGCAGTTGAGGCTCACAAATCCGAATTTTTGCTGACACCGAGTAGGAAGACGCGCGATACACGACACCCGCGAGCGCTAGAGGAGTTTGTGCTGTGGGAGCATCCACCCAAAACGACCTCAAAGCCAGATTTTCCAATTGGGGCCCAACTCGTAAGTAGTGTGCAATTTCACACCTGCTGATCCTGATCCTGAGTTTGTATAGTTGCCGTATACGCTCCAGGAGACAGAATTTGGTCGGCAATGCCCGATGGCGGCAGGGATGTCATGCGTGGGACGTCCATGGCAGCTCCGCACGTTGCTGGCGTTGCTGCAGTCCTCATTTCATCCGAACAGATTGGGACTGAGAGGCTTTGTGACCGTATCAAGGAGCTATCAGTATCAAGCATCCAATCTCCCGGGGCAGACACTACAGACAAGCTGCTGTATAACGGAAGTGGCCAATAAGTGACGGGCAGGCATGGTTTTGGCCTTGTAAGGATAAATCGTAATAGACTCTATAGGAGTTTCATCCATAGCCGCAGAATGATACCAAATGGCGATTGTGTCCACTCGATGATTCAGTGTCGGCTGTTTTGTTTTGCCCGGCCGGCACCGAGGTCGAACGGGGCAGATGTTGAATTAAGCTCATCGGTGGCGCTATGACCAAATGCGCATTGAGTAACTTGTTAGCGCCCTCATCAGTCACCCCGAAGCTATCGACTGGCCAATTGAAGGTCCAGGCTTCACTCTCGCCACACGGAGCAGGGCCAACGTTTTTGTATGTACTCCGCATGCACGACTCCGCGGTTTCGAGGATTGTAGTACAGCGCTGCAGGCGGATCTACGGCTCAGAGTGGCGTGACTTTTCCCGGTTAGCACTTCAGAAAACTGCCAAACTGGATATTTTCGATGTGTGAAGGCATGGATGCGGATAAGAGGGCCTATCAGGTGTCCAAGCTCTTCGCATAAACTCTGGCAAAGACCACGGACTGGACCCTACTGATGACGAAATGATGCTACCTTTGACCGCAGACTGCGAGACACATGGCGAAAACATGCGTAAGTAGTATGCCATTTTATATGACTGGGCTGTATTGCTTATCGGCATCTCGTATCATCGAGATGCTTCGGGAACTTCTGTTCATTTCGTCATCTAAGTACACGTCAAAGCATAAAAGGACAGGCAGGTTTCACCCATCCAATTGCTCCAGGTTAAAAGGCGGATTCAATCTTGTGTGTGAGATGCAGGCTCTGCGATCGCAAGCAAGTCGAGTTCCTTCGAAGCTCATCAGATCCACAGGCAAAGTTACCCGTTACTCGCGTCGAATCTCACCTCTACTCCATCATCATCCTAGATACGTCTCAAGTAATTCTCCGTCAACGACCAACAGTATGGCTCTCTTTCCACGCGGACCACATAGCGAGTTCGGCACTCTCTTTCGTCTCCTAGATGACTACGACGCTCATCGTGCCGACCGAAGCTCTGGTGCCCTCTCTTTTGCGCCGAAATTCGACGTCCGTGAATCCAAGGAAGCATACATGCTTGATGGCGAGCTGCCCGGTATCGACCAAAAAGATATTAACATTGAATTCAGCGACCCCCACACCCTAGTTATCCATGGCCGCACAGAGCGTTCATACACGTCCGGAACTCCGCCTGGCAAAGCCTCAGAGGCAGCTAAAGGCAAGGAGACAGAGACAGGAGAAAGGTACTGGGTATCCGAACGGTCGGTTGGGGAGTTCCAACGGTCTTTTAATTTCCCGACCAGGGTGGACCAGGATGCGGTAAAGGCGAACTTGAGGCATGGAGTGCTATCTATCGTGGTGCCCAAGGCGACAGCTCCCCAGACAAAGAAGATCACCATCCAGAGTGCGTAGCTGGAAATAGGGTACACGCGTTTATTTGGGATTTCAGACAACAATTCGTCTATACGTGAGTGGAGGATCAGCAGTAATATGGAGTCTTTTTCAGATTTGTCTTTATCCATCTCATGAAAAAAGCAGAGGGAAACAACTGACTGTTATCTCCCTTGAATCGAGCAAACTTCGGTCTGGATACGAAATGGGGAGCCATAAGATGATGCCCAATGTTCCTGTGTAGCTAGCAGCGTTGAGAATGGAATCATGACTGACACTCTTATCCTTTTTTCATGAAGCTTTGCATGCGAAACACGATCTAAACTTGCCGGTTACCCGAGCATATCTTTACAGAGTACGGAGTACTCCATACTCAGTACTCCGTAGACTCTCCTTTTTACCGTGAGGGTGGTGGTGGCACCGGTTGGGATCACCGGTTGCCGGGTCAACCGACTGACCACAACGAACGTCGCCTTTCACTTTCAGAGGTGATAGTTACGCATCATCCACAACTGGAACATTGCATTGAGCTTCAGAAGAACAACAAATTATGGCACGATTACGACAGGCTCCATCAAATGCCCCAGAGGCTACTGGCTCCTTCCAGGATTCAAAGGTTGTTCGTGAAAATGAAAAAGCCTTTGCAGATCCTGTTCACCACAAATATACGAGTCCAGTTATCCGGAGAAGGGACAACAAAGAGAAAGTAACTATTTACGAAGATGAACCTGACAAAAAGGATTATTATAAAGATGACGAGGAGTATCGACGAGGCGACTCCGGATATCTCGACCTCGACGCAGAGGAAAGCGGCACGGAGGATAGCGAGACCGGGATATTGGATAAAGATCGGGATCAGTATGGCAGCGAGGAAGAAGAAAGCGAAGATGTCGACGATTCAGAAGCCTCAATTGAACGACCAGGGCCAAGAGCAATTGAATCGACCGGGTTGGGATCGCACAGGAAGAGGCGACTACGGCCATTGGGCTTCAATAAGAAAAACATCTTATACCAAGTTCGGCGGGTATCAGGAAGGGAGGAAAGTCGCTACAATGATTACTCGTCAGATAATGAAAACACCAACCCTGGAAGCGGAGATTACGAAAAGGAGAATGACGAGAAAGGTCTGTTCAACGAAACCAAATCTAGCGCCTCTAGTGCTCGACCCGGAAAGGTTATCACAGAAAGTCGCTTCTCTGTTGGAAAACGTATAAAGAAGCCGAGCATAACTGAGCAATATATATCAGAAAAGGACGAGAAAGGAAGACTGGACGAAGGTGACGATGACGATGATGGTGATGATGATGATGGTGAATTTGACTCTCTGGATGATTTTATTGTTGGTGATGATGAGAACATCAGCTACCACGAAAGCACTGACGAAATTGAAGAAAGTGAAGATGAAATAATTGTCAAACCGAGAACACCAGCAAGAAGATTATTCAGAGGGAGAAGACCACAGAATAAGGAAAATACCACAAAGAACACAAATGTTGAAACCAACACACAAGATGCACCCGATGCATCTGATATTGATGATCTAGCTGAAATCTTAAACAAAACAAAGCTTTCCAAACCAGACCTTCAACCAAAACTATCCTTTCGTAAAGCTCATCCAGTATTGCCAGAGCGGAAGGATCAAGATAGCAGCAAAATGAGCGATGACGACGAGAGCGATGGCGCACAGTAAGTCACACTGGCCAGCTTTCGCATTTCCACCGATTAACTAAACATCCTCCAGGTCATCGAACAATCAGCCAATAAAAAAGGTAGTGGAATTCGTCACTCCTCCAACCAGTCCATCAAAGCCGCGGCTCCAATCGCCAAAAAAGACCCCAAAACGAATTCCTCCATCCCCTTATCGACCAAGTATAGATGCTTTCTGGAGCCAGGATATCATCAATGGTTGGAACGACAAATTTTCGCCTAAAAAACTGCAGTCTCCACGGAAGTGGCCACAAACTTTTACAATCTTCTCCGACAACCAGAGCGACGATAACGGCGATGAGAACTCCCCGCTCTCATCCCCAGAGAAAGCGCCACCGCTTTCTCCGAAGAAGGCCAAAGGAAGTCCTACAAAATCAATCGCAGCAATCAAGAAGGCTGAGAAACGCGAATTTGATAAGAGAAAAGTTTCTCTTGCAGAGAAGTTCTTTAAGGAATTAGATGACAGCGTGACGGGAGGTGAGATCCAGAAATTGGCAGCTGCAGCAGGCGGGGTGCGAATAATATGGAGCAATAAACTCAACACAACAGCCGGAAGAGCAAGTTGGAAACGCGAGCACATTAAACAGAAACAACCTACGCAAACAGCGTCGAGTTGTTTTGCTGCTAGTCATAATTCGAGCGATTCTAGGACAGCTAGTTCTCCTGAATATCTCCCATCCCAGGCTGCTTACCGGCATCACGCGTCTATCGAGCTTGCAGATAAAGTTGTCGATTCAGACGATAGACTCTTCAATACCCTTGCTCACGAATACTGCCATTTAGCCAACTACATGATCTCGAACGTTCGTGATAATCCCCATGGAGCGAGTTTCAAAGCGTGGGCGCAGAGATGCAAAAAAGCCCTTAATGAGAATCCTTCTTATGCAGGACGGGTTGAGATCACCACCAAGCACACATATGCGATCAATTACAAATATATTTGGTGCTGCGTGGAGTGTGCTCACGAGTATGGAAGACATTCAAGGAGTATCGACCCAGAGAAGTCGAGATGTGGGAAATGTAAAGGGAAATTGGTGCAAATACAACCAAAGCCAAGGAAAACGGCTGCGAAGCAAGGAGATGAGAGGAATCGTACAGGCTTAAAGGAGTTGGCTGGAGGAGCAGACGCCATGTTGACTTCGATGGGGAGCATTCGCCTAAATAGTTGATCATAAAAATATGACCATATCAAGCCCGTAATGATTGTTCTAATATAATAATGAATTTTTCTATATCTCCGAGCTCTTCCATTTACATCGAATACTTTCTCGTTCCCAGTAAGTCGGAGGTATGTAATGCTTAACGCTGATGCAACGTGCTGAGAATGGGAGTTCCTCTGTTGTCATGGGTCTCTCTACAGCTTCGTTGTCCTAGCAAGCGACTAGCAAAAGTGTTTGGAAGCATGGAATGCGGCCATTCAGCGTCACTGTGCATGGCCTGAGGCGATCGTCCATGCCAAACCATGTTTCATGACCATCTACTTAGCCAAACATCGAGAAATCGATAAAGTTCAGAGTATTCATAAGGTGCTCGAGTATATCCTTCGCTTGACGTTCTGCGTCAGGAACAGCGCTTGGGTCTGAGTTATATTTGAGCGGGGTGATCGGAAGATTGACATGAACGAGCATATCCGTGCCTTGCTGCACCAATCGAACCATAAACATGTAGCATTTTGTAACTTGATCAGGCTCTCGCAACGCATTGGAGTGATTAATCCGGGTCGAATGCGACAGAATATTCACTTCGCAGACATATGTAGGGCCCTCCTGAGTACGGCCAGTGGGGTGCGATGACTTTGGCCCGTCTACAACTTCAAATTGATCCCTGTTGGCGTCGCAGATGTCGTGAATGTGGGCGAGAAGTGCCAGCGCATCCACGTCTTCCGTAGACGCTCCAGGCGGCATCTTGGACACTGCTGCATGCATAGGTTCGGAATCTGACTCTACGCGTTCGAGGAGTTCGACAATTACGCTCATATCGTAGCCCGTGCCAGAAGCAAAGACTTCTTGGTTGTCGGGAATCGGCCTCACGTTGCTAAGAGCACGGGTTAGCTTAAGGCACTGGCAATGGTACTGGGTAGTGTTAACCGCTAGCAAACTTGGTCATATAAATAAATCAAATGGCCTATTATTACCTGATATTTTTCCATCCTTTGGGTAGTTCTACCGACATCGCACCCCCGTACAACAGAGTTGAGTTATATCCTTGCGTAGGCTCCTTGTCTAATTCCATTTTGACGGGCGACTTAGGAGCGGCTCTTGTACTCTTGCTACATAATAAAGGATTAGTAGGAGGCGCCCTGAAAACACGCTGCGCCCAAGTAAAAGCTCGACCTTTCTCATGAAGAGGGGTAATAGCACGCAGCTGGATTGTCCACGTCGAGCCCGTTTTAAGATCTCGTGGAGATTTTCCCAGAGCCAATGAAGCCCGTAGTCTTTTCTGGTATGTAAAATTCTTCTATAGTGAGAACAACCAGCTCGAGCCTCGGTCTGGGACTGATGTAGCTGGTGAGCGGCAGACGACAGGACTGATATGCAAAAACAACCAATTCGCCGACGTTTCGCTGATGTCAGACAACGGATGGTGGCTTAAAGCTTAAATGAGCCAGACTAACTTTATTAGGAAATATGTTTTCAAGGCCGCTCGCACGGCGGGATGTTCGAATAGTCTCAATCACAGGGAGATACATATATATTTCTTTATTGTAATTTCCAATAACATAATTCCTCAGCGGGGAAGTTCTACTTGGCTTCGGAATACTAGCGCTACTGGCCAAAAGCAAGTCTACCTTCAAATATGTGATGGGTTGGTTCAAAATAGGAGAAGACTCGTTCAGCAGAAGTCGTAAAATAAACATCTTTAGGTCCTAGCAGTTTAAGTGCTTTAGTCTCTGTTAACTGAACGGTCCCATTTGTTTCAATGTCAGTCGACAAAGGGTAGCTTAGATACGAGCAACTTAATAGCTTCACAGTCTGGTTTCACCCAGACCATGTGCTAACGCGCAAGGCATCGCTTGCTAACGGGGTCACATGTCCAACAGATGTTCCGCGTATCTGTCCAACTCGATTATCGAGAACTTGGAACCCCATTTGGATCGAAACGCCTTTCCGGTGTAAGCGCGGCTTATGGTGCAGCTGAAGCTAACCAGTTCGACGGTCCATCCCTTCATTAAGGCGCGCTCGACCATTTTCATAAATCCCTGAGAATACTCGGCTTCGGCTGCGTCCCCTGTTACAAGGACGATAGTCGAAGGTTCATCGGTATCAACGATGCTTTCGAGAATCTTAAGATGTAAGATTTCATCCACAGCCTGCTCCACCCATTTCTCTGGGACAGGTTTGTTAGAGCTGCTTTCGGACCCACTAGATTGGTCCTGCTGCTTGTTACCGCAGCATTTGGCACCGACGGTACCTCTTCCTTTGGAAACCTGATTCTTCTGGGGGGTTGCTTCTTTCAGCTTTTGGACCCGTACTAGGATGTTAGTCTCGTAACCAAGTTTCTCAGCCTCATCTATCGCTGGAAAGCGGTCAGAGCCCACAATCACCCGCTTGCTGACTGGTCGACCTCGCGTGAGAACTAGCGACAAGTTATGAAAGGATAATGGGAGGCGTGGAACTCGGACGGTAGTTGGAATATCCCTGGCAATTTTGATGCAATCATGGAATCCAACCATCACCTGTGCAAAAACTAAGATGAATCTCCGCACGTCGGGAGTGTCAGAAGCTAGGATGGACTTACATTAGATATGTCAACAAATATGTGGATTCCATTTGAGCTGATATTCGATGATATAAACGCCGAGTCACAGAGTTTGGGGTTGGCCAAGTATAATCGCTGGTCTCTATGATGTTTGTAAAGATGACTGATGAGATCGGATCTCTTTTCAGCAGTGGAGCCACCCAGTTTAGATTCCACCTGGTATTTATGTTTCGCAAGTGACCTGTTCGGGGTGTTCGGTGGCCGCACCAATGGGATGATGTCGCGGGGTGGGTGGCGCTGTGGACGCTCCGCTAAACCCAGGGATTCTTGGCGAGGGGGCGTTGGTAGACACGCTCGCCGAATGCGATTTGGATTTTTCAAGATTTGAATCGGCCGGCATTCAGGGATCGTTGCTTCAGTATCGCCTGGAGGAGCACTTGAAACAGATGGTGGGTTCCTTTTGTTAGGTAAAATCTTCTTTGGTTGCATGCCGCATAGCTCTGGCTGGCATTCAACAGTAGCCGCCGAGGCTTCCTCAAGGTTGGTCCTTTGGTTTTCCTTGCAATCAGAGGCTCCTACCCCAGGAGTCGCGCCTCGTTCAATATTGTCCGGCGCGGTAGGGCTGGGCTGCGAGAGAAACGTCCAAAGCGCACTGAAATCGCCTAGCTTTCCACTACTATTATCCTCACGCCCCCGTCCGGATGGGGATGCGGCACCATGGTTGCGAGCTTCGGTAAACTCGGACTGAATGCTTCGAAGGATTTCGATAGGTTTCGGTTGAGGCTCAGGTTTGAAAGAGTAAAGTAAGTTGATCGCAGGAGTGAAATCCCAGGTCGCGGAAGCCCCAGAAGTCGACATGAACCGGTTGTCCGTATACGCAAAAGATAGCGCTTGAAGTCAAATAAAACAAAGACTTGGAAAAACAGATAAGCCTTCTGGGCAGCTAAATGAGATCTAGAAATGACGGCATTGTACGTGACTCTCGCTTGTTGTGAGGGGTGTCTTCAGTCATCGGTTAGGCTGTAGTAACGGATGTTTGGGGCGTTTCACTGGATGCAAGGGAGTCGACCTTCGTTAGCGCACGGGCCCACAGGCGGCCATCACGTGGGGACAGGAGGCTGCCTACGTCATAGCCACCTGGAGTACGCTGAACGTAGTACTCCGTACTCCGTACGGAGTACCCCGTACTCTGTACCCCATACTCCAGCAGGCCTGGTTTGTTATATGCCAAACAAAATCGGTGAAATAGTCATAAGGAACCATAAGGAAAACGACAAGCAAGCTAAAGGTATCTGCAGCATCTCCGATATCTCAACAACAAGTCTCCATCAGCGCCCGATAATACTCGCATTCGCAGCGTAAATCGCATTAATTTCTATGCCCATCACAACAAGCTGCGCCCCTGAGTCGGCCGTATGCTATGTGTTACTGTCTGCAAGAGCCAAACTCATCTGTATAATTCCATCGGATCCTCAGGTATCTGAAAGAGACCAAAACCCAACATGCAGAGCTCGCTTTCTATATTACAACAAATTATAGTGCTTCCCATAGATTTGAAAACATGCACAGCTTTTGCTTCAACCTTTCAAACATACCTCGGCCCAAAGGCTCTTTATTTTCCTCTCTTTTTTTTTCCTTTTTTTTTTTTTTTTTTAAATTTATTCCCGCAAACTTCATATGGTCTCAGTTGGTATAATCGGCCAGCCGTCCCCGATGGATTGTGGCGTCGGATCGTTAGCAAGCACTTCTCCTTCAGCCCTGGTAACAACCGAGTCAAAACTGGGCCGGCGCTCGTCGTTTGATATAAGCCCAGTTTGAAACCTAGCACTATGCCAGTAGATTGTCGTTCCTGATTAGGTTCCCTGGTGTAGGTTTTCATTCTTTTTCTCTGACTCAGGCAGGGACCATTTCCATGACCGCTCAATTGATCAATATCCACAGGCTGGAGTCATCCAGGAACATCCAAAGAAGATTCGTCTGAACAAAAGACGTGTTGCTAAGAAGCCTGAAGGGCAGGCTCTGGTCATAGTCTCTCCTGGGTCGCTTCCTGACATCACATTAAAGTGATAATCGGAACAATCCATAAGCAAATTCTTGTTGTCGCGATCTCTTTTTGAGTTCCCGACACACAACAGAAGTGCCTCTCTTGAGGTATACACTCCTGAGAGGGGATCCCCTCGTGACGTTGCTGGATATCTTGAGATACTGAAGATATCGATAATCGAGTTGCTGTGGGTCACCAAGCCAGTGCCAACGGTTTGGGAACCTTCCGAGTTTCCGCTGATGGGGGGATGACATCATAATTATCACCACATCAAACCAAAGCTCAAAATCCTGGGGTCAACTCGTCTCGACCGCGTGACAAAGGGTATCTGATGCCCTTAAACCAGTTTTTTTTTTGTGTTAAGGGAAACCAAGGTGCCCTATTATCCCACGTCATATCCAAGATTCTAGTTGGATATGCCCCGAGAACCCCTTTGCGTCCCATGTGGGCGTGGGATATGTGCGTAATCCCTCGTTCGCAAAAGGTATAAAGTCATGCACAATGCTCGAGTTCTAATGGCTTTATGCTGCCATTAATCAACAAGGAGAAATCGAGAACCTTAGCTTTTTCAGTTGTTTTACGAAAGCCCCGTTCGAATTGATCAACCAAACCGCAATCATGTCTGATCCAGGCCGCAAGGATTTCTCAACCAGTATGATCTCCGTCTGCCTTCGGCGGTTGGGCTTATTTTTGTGAGCAGTGTCGCTAATGTTGTATGGCTTTCATAGAAGCTAAGGAGGAAATAACTCCTGAGTCGACCAAATCTACTCAAGAGAAGATTAAGGAGGCTGCCACAGACACTAAGGACCGCATTGCTCGGTAAATTGGAGCCTAGCAAAGTGTTATTCTTTTTTGCACTGTAGGCTAACATGTTTGCAGTGGTCTCCAGCCAGACGAAAATAAAGGAAGTGCCCAGGAGGCCTTCGACAAGGGCCAGCGCTCCAGCGACAACCAGCAGGGTGGTGCTACTTCCACAATGTGAGATCACCCGCTAGCATATTATTATTGACCAATTGCTGAACCGATTAATAGTGGCGATAAGGTGAAGACCGCTTTAGGGATGGACAAGTAGACGACTTGCTCCGGCAACGATCTTTGGCTTTGTTGGTATAATGTTCTCGGCGCTTTGGACTCCTTCAAGGAACGTGTGATGTACTATATGATACCATAACTCAACGTGAATCAATCCGGATAAAGTGGTATGACGTCCTTTTCAATGTAGGGTGACAAGTAGGAATGAAAGTTGCTATTGGCTTTTGCCCCTGTCGACTAACCCCTCAAACAAATTGTCACGCTGTTGAATGAGAGAACGAAGTTCACTCTCAAGTTTCTGATATTCCAATTTTGCATCCAGAATATTAGATGGTAACCCGTGGAAGGTTTCGACTTTCTTTTCAAGTCGCTTCACGTTTTCGCTTATCTTGACCACTCTTTCCTCTTCAGCCATTAGATCCTCAATTTTCGTACCCTCTCTGTCCGAGGCACTTCTGCCCGCCGTAATTCTCCTTTGATACTCTTTAGCCTTTGCCTCTACCGTTCTCTTGCCCCTCAACCATTCGCTAGTCTTGGCGGGGAGGTCTGGAGGGGTTTCATAGTTGTGCTCGTCCTTAAGCTCTTCGAGTCGCATATGAAGCGTAGCCAGTTCTTTTTCCAGGTACTTCTGCAATTCTTCCAGTTTTCGTAGCTGCTCAGTGGCGTCGAACTCCGCCCTTGTCATATTCAAAAGACTTCGATCACGATTCCCAACATCCCCGGTGGGCACACCTAACAGAACCACTGTTTCGGCAAGGTCTTGGAGGAGGTTCGAGCTTTCGTCACTAAGGGCAGCTTGGATATCCTCGAGAAGATCAAGTTTCAAATTTGGAGATTCAATCTCTTCAGCCTTTAGGAGGCCGATTGTTTCCTCTCTGACACGATGTATGAGCGCCTCTTCTTCATCTGCGGTGTCATTGGCTGCAGCCAGGTTCAGGAGGACTTTGAGGGTATCTTCATTGCGCTCGAAATTCGGAACACGGTTTGGAGAATTTGCATACTTATGGTTCAGCCAGTTCATAACGTATGCCCAATCTTTCGCCTGAGAAGCTGCTTGGCGGGCTTTGGACGGCGATGAAATAGTCTCGAATTCCTCCATGACCCAGTTAAATAATCTGGACACAAGCTCTTTGAGGATATGTAAACCCTTTTGCCTACCATCCCTTAAGCCAGTTCACCAGACGAAGTTGAGGTGTTCAAGGAACAATTTTATTCCATACCCGAAGATACTCGCTGATTGGATGACATTTCGTGTGCAAGTTGCTCTGTCGTCTGCGCAGATGTTCCAAGCTAAACACTCGTGTGATCTGGGCTTGAAAGCGCAACAATCGATTCTGATAAGCTATGGCTGCCGGCAGCCCTTCTCCAGATGGCATGCCATCTTCCCCTCATATGGCTAATACGGGTTCAACCCCCAAGCCAACTGCATTGTTCAACCGCCTCAATGCGGTCCTATCCACCTCATACACAGACCCAGATATTCGGGATTCGCTGGAAACCCTAGACAAGAGGGGCTTGCAAAACACGGCGGAAACGCGGAGGACGTTGAGACTGGATATTCAAAAAGAAGTCATAGACTCCAATGGCAGTATTATACAGGATTTCGGGAAGGTCGCCGAGGTAAGGCTTATGGTACCCTGGAGCTTCGTTTAGTGCTAACGACAGTCGAATCCAGCAACTATCCCGAATTGGAGCAGCAATATCCCATCTTAATACAATATGCGAGGATATGCGTCAACATATTACATCTGCACGTCAGGAAACCGAACCAGTCCTTGAAGAGGCCGCCGCTCTCCTGTCACAGAAGCAAGAGGTTGAGACGAAGCAGCACTTGCTTGACGCCTTCAATAAACACTTTGTACTTTCAAGCGACGATATTTCTATTTTAACCTCCACCGCTGAACCGGTTGATGACCGCTTTTTCCAAATTCTTTCCCGCCAAAAACGGATACACAAAGACTGTGAAGTGTTACTTGGTGGTGAGAATCAACGACTGGGACTAGAGATCATGGAACAAAGCTCAAAAAATCTTAACTCGGCGTTTATGAAGCTTTACAAATGGATACAAAAAGAATTCAAGTCTTCAAATCTCGAAGACCCCCAAATGGGCAGCTCGATAAGAAAAGGCCTTCGGGTATTGGCAGAACGGCCTACCTTATTTCATAGCTGTTTGGATTTCTTCGCCGAAGCCCGGGAATATATTCTATCGGATTCTTTCCACTATGCCTTGACCGCAGCAGTTTCAGGCGATCGACTTGATGCGAATGCTAAACCCATAGAGTTCTCTGCTCATGATCCCCTTCGCTATGTCGGGGACATGCTTGCCTGGGTTCATTCTGCGACAGTCTCAGAGAGGGAAGCTTTAGAGGCACTTTTTATATCCGATGGGGGTGAGCTAGTAAAGGGTATTGAAGCTGGCATAAGCAGTGAGCCGTGGTCCCGTATCAACGATGAGCAATCTGTCTTTGATGGAGAGAAGGCGCTAAAAGAACTTGTGACTCGTGATATGAGCGGCGTGGCTCGCTCATTAAAGCAACGGGTGGAGTTGGCCGTGCAAGGACATGACGAGTTGGTTACTCTCTATAAGATTATGAACCTTTTGGCTTTCTACGAATCCACATTCTCCAAGCTTGTTGGTCACGACTCAGCTTTAGTGGAAGCCATTACCTCCCTGCAAGATTTTGTCTTTAAACGCCTGGAGGCAGTGATCCATGATCAAATTGCCACGATCACTGGTGATCCGTCCGGCTTGATTCCTCCGGATGACTTGAGTGCTCCAGAATTCCTTACTGATGCCATCGACAACCTTGTTCCGCTTATGAAGGCGTACGATTCTTCATTTCGACACGATATTACCGATGATACATCGCAGAACGAGAACAAATTCAGCCCAATCATTCGAGCTACTCTGGATCCCTTCCTGGATCTCGCGGAAAAATCATCCACTGCACTTTCCAATTTCACTTCGAGAACAATATACCAAACCAACTCCATTCTTGTCATTCGCGATGCCATATCTCCCTTTCCATTTGCGTGCGCCACGCATCTACCTCGATTATCATCAACCTTAACGTCTCTCAAAACCAACCTTCTCGACATTCAACACGATTTCCTCCTTAGGGAAACCGGCCTACAAACCCTTACCGCAGCCCTTGAGCCATTCATGCCAAAGAGCACCTCTGAATCATCCACGGGTAACGGACTATCACGCAACCTCGCTGATATTGCATCTCTGCCAGAATTTCAACCCGAATCCTTGTCTACAATCAGCCAACAGCTGGACGATTTCCTTCCTTCGGCACTCGTCGATGCGACGGATAACTTGAAACGTATCCACAGTCCCGGCTTGGTGAAAAATGCTACTGAGGAAGCCGTTGAAGCATTTTGCTGTGATTTTGAGTTGGTGGAAAGCATGATTGTGGGCGCGGATGAGGCGAGAGAGAAAATGAGCGTTGCGGGAACGGTTAGCAGCTCAGCGGCAGGGAAGGAAATGGATGAGATTGCTGCTCTAGGTGAGACTAGTGGCCAGGTTGGCGCCTGGAGTTTGCGCGTTCTGTTCCCAAGGACGACGGGGGAAATCAGGGTGCTGTTGAGTTGAGTAGTATAGTCGATCCAATATTGGATATCTGGTTCAACAGCGCTCCACGTTGTGGAATGTCTGGCTTTTCTATGCATAGTACAATGTGAATCTTCATAATCTTGACGGAAATCGCAGGATCCTTGGCTTCTCGGCTCTTATACCCTTGACTATGAGTCCTAGAAATCACCAATATACATGTGCTTGTGAAAGTCAGATCTGGCATGAATATACAACCCTTAACTTTCACCAACCCCTCAATCCTAAAGGTTTTCCGGCCACGCCACGATCGAATACGGATCCTTATCGCACTCACTCACTTTTACCTCCACACTCGGATCGTTCAGCGTATTGGCCATTCCACTGCTCGCCGTCTCAGGCAGGTCAGCCAAATCTTCAATCATTTGACCCCATTCCAACCTCAGCGCTTCTTCGAGCTTGCCTCGCATAACATCATGCAAATAGCCCCGTTCAGAATTAGAATGAAAGAGAGCTATCACCACTGATCCATTCTCGATCGCAGCCAATGCGTCATGGTGGCTCATTTCTCCAGTTAACAGCAGGTCCGCGACGGGTTTGCCGTCCTTCATCAGTATCGATGAGCCAGAGCCCGGACAGGTGGCCACAGTACTGATTTCCATGTCGGCAACGTTTGAGTCTTGGGGTATAGCAAGAGGAAAATGAGGTAGGCCACGTGGAAGACCGAGTGTGGTGCCGATGCGTTTAATGATTGATGTTAAGGGCTGAGGAGTGGAGAAGGATACAAGACGGCCCGCGCCGGCACCTTCAAACCCGGGCGGCGGCAAGGGATTTTGGAGGATGGTTGAACGAGAATGGGGAATTACGGCATCAGAGGCTACATTCGACAAAGAAGTGTGAGATCCAGGAACAACTATATGCGGCAAGGCACCTCGCGAAGCCGTCCGAGGAGGGAGTGGTGGAGGCTGGGATATACCTGATATCGACGATGGCCCTGTGCTGTCGTCTGTTGCCTGTTTGCTCTTGATAGGGACTTGTGGGTTCTCATGCACGGAACGAGTTACGATGTCGCAGAGCCAATCTGCCATACCACCAGGGACAGCATCGACGGCGGTATGCGGAGAGTAAACACTTATGCCTTCCGCCGCAAGTCGAAGCAGGGTTTGCTGTTGCGTGTTATTGGAAGTTAGAGATTTCAATCCACGAAATATTATAGGGTCTACATTGTCGAGCATCCATCAGCTTTTGCGCAATTGATCGGTCTGGACTAGGGTTGGACTGTACGATATGCAATGATGATCGAATCCCCACGCTCGATAGCCTCGGCGGCAACCGCCTGCGTTAGGTCGATTGTTAATAATGCAGAGTTCTTCAGCTGTCTCTTCCTATTCCAGGGCGCTTCAAGTAATACTGTTCACGTCTTAAATTAGCTATGAATGCGTGGAAAACAGGGTCGAATTGGACTCACACCCCGTGTTATCAAAACTTTTATCTGCGAGGCTCTCAGGATATCTGTGCAAATTTGATCAGCCGCTATCGATTCGGGGATGATGGCGAGTTAATTCGTACAGTCTCCGCATGCACTCGACAACTGCATCTGAGAACGGAGAAGTTATGTAGGAGCGATAGGACGCCATTATGCCGGTCCGTAGCGTCGTACGAATCATCAGCTGGAGACAAATATGCCGAGCAATAGAACCTATTTACTTTGCCAGCTAGGTCTGCGAGATGGAACGATGCCGTCGACGATTTTCTCCTCAAATGAAGCTTCAATTGCGAGCTTTCGGATTGGTTAATTACCTCATCGCGACTTTTGTGGGGGAAGCGTGTTGATGAGTCAGCGTCGGCCTTGGCTGAACATTTCCCCGCCATTTTTAGGCGTTCTGGCGCAAGTTGCGCTCAAAATCTCGAGGGACAGTCAATAACCAAGACGGAGCGGCCTGGATTCCCCCGGACCCTTTTTTTCTTTTTTTTTTTTTGTTCTGATACCTGAGGCAACGGAATTTGTTCCCCGCTCTATATGTACGCCCGCCACCTCTTTTCCCGCGGGACTTTCCATCTCCTCCGCACCCAGCGAACATTTTACCAAAGTCATAGCATATCTGCAGCCATGGCGGATGCAGCCCAACAAGCCGGTAACTCATCCGGCGTCACTGCTGAGTCCATAAAGGAGACCCTGATAGCGAAATTGGGTGCTCAGCATGTGGAAATCCAGGATTTGTCAGGTACGGCCTTGGTTATTCTCTTCCCTTTCCCCAGGAAACGTCGCAGTCTTTTCGTTCAACGTCTCCGGACGAATTTGCTAAAAAGGGTTACCCATCCTGGATTAGGCGGTTGTGGTCAAGCCTTTCAAGCTGTAATCGTCTCTCCGCAATTCGATAAGAAAACTATGCTCGCTCGACACCGATTGGTGAACTCGGCTTTGAAAGCAGAGATTGCTGCGATCCATGCCTGGACACCAAAATGTTATACCCCGGAACAGTGGGAGCAGTTAAAACAACAATGATTAGCGCCGTTAGTTATATCGCCACATATTGGCTTGCGTTTCAAGATACGATGCGCGGCTATCAAAATTGCTTGCCCCCGCCGATGGAACGGTTTGAACCGACTCCGAGCTCGAAACGGGTCATCGATTCAACTGATCGGATTTGAATAAACATGGTCCAAGGTCAATACATCCCTAGTGGCTGTGGTTGATGTATTTATAGTCGGATATCCTTTGATATTTCTGCATCGTTTTTCGGCGTTTCTGGTGCATTAGGGGCCAAAGGCTCCTCGATTCGGCTGGCAAAATAAAATTATTTAGGAGACCACATGCCCAAAGACTAATAGATGAGCTTTATTTAACTCCAAGGTGTTGTGTCGATGACGAAGATCAGCCTCCACCTTAACCATTCCATCATGACCGCTGGTTAATTCATCTACTACGGAAATTTGCGCTCCACTCTCTGGTACGTACATCTGAAGCGGTGCTACATCATCCTCTCCATTATTTCCGGAGATGCCGTGCTCCGAAGGATGGAATTATCATTTGGCCTGATATGTCCGCTTTTGTGGAGTTACAGCTCATGAAGTCTCATGGCTCCAGCATTCCTAATACCAAAAAGTAGTGGGGCTCTAGATCCCCGAATTCCTACTCCGTACTCCGTACAATAAGGAAAAAATGCACTCACTAGAGACTTGGCATGAGAAGGCTTCTAGAAGCGCCTAGAGATATAAATAGGTGTGAAATACCCTGTGGGAATAACTGTCAAGTCCACGGAGTAATGCATGCTCATTAACGCAAAATCTCATAAGAGTATAGCTTAAGGTTAACTTGTAGTAAGGAAGAAAAAATGTATGGCTTCTTTCAGAAATTTAAGGAACTGCATCTTCGTTGTCTCGAAGGCGTGCAGGTTTCCGTTCTTTAAGCGTTTGCTCGGATTCGATACCGCGGTTCAAATCATAAGCTTTAGTCAATAAACTTAACAGTCCACCAGCGCCTATGATCCCGCAACAAACTGCCCACACTATACGTAGGCTGTCCGTGTATGCCTGTTTTAGATCAAGCTTCATGCGACCATCGTCCATCTCCCGGATGACCTGAACGAGAGCAGCAGCATCCTTGCTAAATTCCGCCGCACGCTCAGCCAATTCTGGATATTTTCGGATATTTCTGAACATTTGATTCTGGAAAATAGCACCCCCAATAGCAACCCCAATTGCTTGGCCAAATGCTCGAAAGAAACTAAACATTCCAACAGCAATGGCCATATTCTTCTCAGTGGCCGATGCTTGGATAGCAAAGGCTAATGAGGGGAAGAGTATGCCCAATCCAATTCCAGCAGGTAACATCAGCACAATCCACCCAGCAATGCTGGTATGGACAGACAAAATACACAACAAACCTACCCCAATGGCTGACACCATAAATCCCAACCAGATCGCCCAGCGATAGGTGCCTGTCACACTGCATACAATGCCTGTCGCCAGGGCCCCGGGAGCCACAGTAAAGGTCAATGGAAAGAGTGCCACACCAGTCAAGATTGGAGTGTATTCTTTCATAGTCTCAAAATAGAGTGGCATAAAGTACAGTCCACACCATAGAACTAGACCGTGCAGCACTGTCTCTGTGTAGGTAACAACTGCGGTTCTGGTGGCAAATATTGATATTGGAATAGCTGGGTTTGCGGGAATGTAGGCCTCGTAGTACATTGCTCCAATGAGCCCAAGTGCTCCAAGGATTAACGGAACAAGTGTACGCCAGGAGTTCCAAGCGTACATGATGCCACCCCAGGTGACAGGTATCAAAAAGGATGTAGCACTCGCTGTAAAAAGCGTGGTTCCTAAATAATCAATCCGCCGCAATTTAGACACCAAGGAGGATGGAACAAAATTCAGTCTCAAGAACATCAGCACAAAAACTATGCCGACTCCAATAAATGGAAAGTTGATAAAGAAAATCCATCTCTGGGAAATATTAACACTTTATTCGTTTTAAATTGCGTTCTGAACTCGGAAAGACCTACCCAACTAACATTCTGAGCGAATCCACCGCCGACAATCGGACCTAGGACAGATCCTAGACTCCACATGGTGCTTAGGATGCCAAAGTATTGTCCCCTGAGTCTCATGGGCACGAGATCAGTAACCACGACCTCGCACAAAGCGATTATACCGCCGCCTCCGACGCCCTGTACTGATCTCCCGAGGAGCATCAGGGTAAAACTATTGCCAAGTCCAGCAATAAGGGCGCCAGCGAGGAAGAAAAGGATGCTAGCGATTACCATCGGTTTGCGCCCAAAAATATTTGAAAAAGAGGTAAAAGTTGGTTGAAAAACTTCGCAAGCTGGAGTCAGTACTCTGACAAACCGCGTAAGAAGTCGTTCCATACCGGTCGAGCACAAAAGAAAGGAGGTTCCGCTCCAGAAAGCTTCAAGAGCGGTCCCATGCAGTTTGGAAGCTATTATCTAGCACAGAGATATCAATACCTTTAACAAATTCCCGATCTGATATGTAACCACGCTGCGGGGCTTACAGGCAACGCGACGGAAATCGAAGTACCATCAAGTGCAACCATCAAAGTTAACACAGCCAATGTTACAAACGCAAGCCATGCTCGCGCTGTTAAGCGAAACTCGACGGCCTGTGCCTGGACACCCGTCGTCTGGGGCCCCGATAAAATATACCTTTCGACAGAGATACTCTCCTTCGAAGCATTGGCTGGAGAAGTGGCCATTATTGCCATGAGATTGAGGTCATCCATGTCCCTCCCGATGCGGTGCCTTGTGATTGAATAGCTGCCGATTGTCCCTATTTCCGACGAGTCCCAGGGCAGCATGTGCAATTTTCAGAACAGGCGCTGCGGGAATGGGCTAAACGAGGGACAGAAGCTGCCCATCATACCTTGTCGATAATCGTCCTGTCATAACTCAGAGGCAAGCGCACGGAGAAGCCAAGGCGGAAGAGCAGCCTCGATCCGCCAACCCCCGGTGTGCCCGCGTGTATTCTCGTCAGAATGCAAGAAATGCATTACTTATCCCGTGGATGGATATTGGCATTCAATATCCAAAGAATATTTCCAGCGTCATAGAGCCGGTTCTCCACGTAACGCTTCAAGAATTATCCGGAACCAACCGCCAAAATGATATGTCAAACCATGAGCCGGCGCGGCGGGTATGCATGCTAGGTACATTTCATGTACATAGACAATAGCAGCAAGGAGAAAAGCATAAGTATATGTGAGTCCCAAAGAACTCGAATTCGTGTTAACCAGCATCAGTGTTGAATGAGACACTGGATCAAATTTGGATTCGATCATCCGATAGTTATCTCCGAAGGCCACCCAAATACGTATTCTGGTAGTTATTGCTTCACTATAGACAGCCGGGATATAACAGTCATCGCAAATAGTGGTAGGGCTTAATGAGAATGGAACTTTGTCTTTGTAGAAGTTATTGAGTAGGTTGAGGGCATGAGGATCCCACGTTCGGAGATGTCAGATTTAACATCTAATAAGCCTCTGGAACCTTTTATGGCCACACTTTTCGCCTCGCCTCCCCCTTAATTATGCTTTTGTTTGCTCGTCATATAACTTCCGGCAGGATTGGCAGGAGCTGCGTTTGTGTATTTAAAAGTTTAAAAAAATATAAAAATATAAAAAATATATATTTAAAAAAAAAAAAAAAAAGGAGGAAGAAAGGAAGAAAGGAAGAGGAAAGCCAAAGAATATCGAAAAAATGGCATTTGAACTGAGAGTATACGCAACGTTATGTCATGTACGAACTACAAATTATCATAAGGATTTAACAGGCTAGACAGTCTCAGTATAATCCGCAGTGACGAGCAAGACCACGACGAAATAGCTGCTATTATGACAAAAGGGGAACACTTTTGTGCCATCATGTCCCAGTGTTTTTAAACGACCTCAATCGATCCAATTCGCGTTACTTCGTTTCGACCCGGCGTAGGTAACTCATCTCGACGTTGATTCCTGGACCCATTGCGCAAGCAATGACGTCCTTCCGGCCCTCTCCCATCTGTGGCAGGCGATCTATCACGTTTAGCACCGTTGTGCTAGAACTATTTCCATTGTTGGTGTAGATATCATAACTAGCACGAAGGTGCTCGTGATCTAGTTGCAAACTCTGCCGGACAGCATCGACTATAGAGATGCCGCCCGGGTGCAGTGCCCAATCGAATTGACGAGGATCTGGCTCGTCATGATTGGGAGCTTCTGGTGTACGCTTGAGAAACTCTTGAAATAACGGACCGATTGCCGCGCCACAAACAAAGGGAACCTTCTTGGATACAACGGATTTGTAGCCTGTTTCGATTAGCAGGTGGTTCTGGACGGAGAGATAAGCTGTAAATACCAGTTACGTCGATATTGAATGTGATCTCATCCTCTGTTCCTGGGAGTAAGGCATGCTTGCAATTCATCACTTGATAAATGGGTTTCTCGAAATCCCGTCGCTTGATCCCGTTGCTCATGATATATGCTGTGGAGCAGTCGCTGAACAAAATTGGTCCGATATTAACACCAGCCTCCGGAGTGACATCGTCCAAGCTGCTCCTCGCTAGGGTAGTGGGTATATCTGTCGCTAGTACTAGTGCCCGAGCCGGCCGTTGTCGGAAAGTCTCGGCTTGTAGGATATTGAAGGCAGTTCTAATGACAGAAAGTCCCCCGGAACATCCTGTGCCATGAATAAGAACCCGTTCTGTATCTAGTTTGAGTCCTAATTCTCGGGCAACAATGGCATCGAACCCCGGATTCCCCGTGTGGGTGCAGGTCATGGAAAACATATGAGTAATGTCTTTCATATCTCCGCCCCATTGCTCGATCGCTTTCTGGCAGGCCTGTAGTGATAGCCTGATGCCGACATCCCTGAATACAGCATCCAAGTCATTAATGGAAGGAGTTTTTGGCCCGTTGACAAGTGGGCCGTCGAGATCCAAGACTGACGGACGTGATTTGATGCCCGTCCGTCTATTAAGCGCCATCGTTTTTAACATCCTACAAGGCCGTTAGAACATATTATTCTGTTTTGCCCAGTCTCAGGTTCATGGACGTCTTGTCCTGCGTAAAAAACTTACACTTCTGTGTCAGCATAGTGGCGCTTTCTGAACTCCTCGAACTGCGCTGGATATACTCTTCCTTTGGGATAGTTCACTGCCATGCTTAGGATCTCGACTTCTGGGTCGTGGCGGACGCCATTGGTGCCATTTGGCATCCCAAACGGCATTTCGAGGGCTAGATTATATCTGTTCTTTCTAGATAGTAGGTTTTTGGGCTGTAGAGTGTGAAAATCGTTTCTTTGAAGACGAAATAGCGGGAAGAATACTAGCCATGGATTTGTGATCGGACAGCTTATAAGAGGGCCATCTGCCCGCGGGTAACGTTTGATTGGAAAGACTTAACCCACTTTTTTTTGGGCATATTGACATTTGCTCTGGAATGAGTGCGGTCCATACGCCGTATGAGTTCCCCCACAGCCGGCTGTTTATTAACTGGTAGGGGCTATTCCAGACAATTAAGGTACTGATGATATCAGAGGACGTTGACATGGCTGATACCTCAAGCAACTTAACCCTGGTTAAGCGGTAGCTTAAACGTGATCTAGGCCCACGTTTTCCAAATCAATGGTGCATGTAAGAAATAAAAGCCGTTCAAGACCATACTCAGGCATGAATGGCTGCCTATAAGGTTAGGGCGATCAGCCATGCGGGCGCCGTTTCGCGCCAAAGGCGGTTCCACAATTTTCCGGCGGCTCTTCGGATGCTTTTTTGTCGGACAGCCGGTTCAGCACAGCCTGGAATACTCGGCTGCATCACCCAGATATTCCGAAGAAATCCCCAGCATACTGAGTACTTGATTCCGGTTTTCGAAAAAAAATGGGAGCAGCATTGATGATTGGAACATTGGATCCATGCCCCAACCTATTCTCACGTGTGTATCACCAACGAGTAGTTGACGATACACGATAAGGGATCGATTCGCAAGACCTCCATATCGAGTTTCATATGGATCAAACTATTGGGGTCCCTGTCGCCACTCAGCAGACACTGTAGCCGGGAAGCGCACGATAGGGCTGGCCAAGATGGAAGCCATCAATACTTGACCGCCCGCTTGTCTTCGGAATTGAAACGAGGCAAACACAAATATGCTCACCTTGCGTCCAAGCCCGTCCTCTGAAAACCGGGAACGGGTTCGGGACCTTGAGAGCCAATAATGACGGTTCATATGCTCAAGCGCTCGGTGCTCGCTTCATTTCACCGTGAGGATTAACCAAGTTCGCAGCCCCTGTGTCTCCTCCCCCCAATTCGTGGCGAGTTGGAGCGGTGGAAACGTCGACTGTTTCTTGGGTTCGGGTGCTCCGAGCATGAGAGAATTTCAAGGTTCGGGTGATTCGAATCCTGGGGCACCTGTACCTGCATGGCGAGCCAAATCCGGTCCCTTGCTGGGCTGCATGGTGGGATCGGTGTGGTCATATCCGCCAAAACAAAAATTGCCTAAATCGTAACCGGGACTGTCGTCGCGCATCCTATCTTGGAAGCGTGGCAGAGCCTCTGTAAGGCCTATAGGATCAATAAAGGTACGTGTGCCGAGTAAAATCCGGGGTGATCCCACTGGGAAGAAATGGTTTCGTTTTAGGGCCGAGAAAGAATAGGCTGAGATGAAACACCGGGCGAAAAGACTGATTCTTTCTGATGCACCTAAAAAACCTGTAGTTAACCACGAAAAGGATTGGCAAGGTTCCAGGTCAGACGCTCCATCGCCTGGAACGCAGCTCTTGTACTCTGGTCGAGCGCTCGTGTATCCATTCCTGGGGAAGCCAGGTTAGGTTTAGCCACGGGGAGGATCAGGCGATGAAAGCGCTGTGGATATAAGTCAAAACGCCCACATCTCCGCACCAAGTCGATCCGATCCGATAAACGGAATCAATAATGATAGGTCATCTTTAGAAGTTTGGAAAGAGGCGATATTCCGTTGATTCAGCGGGACGATTAGAGGCTACTTTTACTATCCATCAAGGTTTCTCCTCATTGAGCTCTGAATTAATTAAGATGGTATGCTGTAAAATGCACACCTTCTTTGCGTCATAAAGCAAGGATTAGATCCTATCGACTTTAAGATGGCTCAATGCCATGGCGTTTCTCTTGTAAGCCCACTTCCCGTCACCATTATTGACAGGGAATGTTCCCCGTGGGCGCGAGCTGCGGAATACCCCCGTTGTCCCCTGGCAATCCCATCAAGATCCAAGAATGGCATTGCATCGGGGCACATTTTTTGGGAACCATCACTGTAGGATATAGAGATATATATATAAGTGTGATGCTCATGGGCATCAATCAAGCTTTCAAAATGGGGCAAGGGATTAACCCAGTACCTACTCCGTATAATGGAAGGGTTGTTACATGACCTCGAAGAGAAGCTTACCTGCGACATATAATATGCGTTCAAGGAGGACGTACTGGACATCGGAACCCTTTCCCGCCCGGGCAGAACAAGGTAACAGGCCATCTCCTACTTACCTTGTGAGGATCTTGTGCCGACCAGGGTACGAAGAGACTCCAAGACTGTTTGGTCGACAAATAGGCGCTTTCATAGCGTTCAAAAGTCCCCTCTTGTGGATCAAATCTCAACACATGATCACCTGTGCGCTAGCGGGGCAGGGACAACTGGCAATAATAGCTAATAATTTGAAAAATATGGGCAAAGTACGGAGTACGGAGCCTCGACGGGTTCATCCACACGAGCCCGGAGTACCCCGTAAAGGGGACCTTTTGTCGGGTGGTGAGCTTAGGGACCAAGAATTTGGCCACAAGCCCTGATTTATCCGAGGAGAAAATATGGGATTTCCTCCCAGAATAGTTGCGGAGTTGCGCCTCCTCGAATTCCACCGAGGGTGCGCTTATCCCAGGGATCTGTAAAAATTTTCGCTCGGATTTTTTTTTGCCATCGTGGAGTTAATGGTGTTGGTCACGACGTTTGTTTCCCGTCGACCATTGGATCCCCGCCGAGATATAAATACTGGGGAGAACAACTGTACAAGATGGAGAAAAGAAAAAAAAAAAAAGGATATTCGTGGATTCGTAACTAACGGCTTTGAGCAGCAGCGAACTTATTTCTGAGACACTTCGAAGTGAGATGGCCACAAGCTTCCTCATCCACCGATTCGCACCACTTTGGTCATGACTTCATCCTCCCAGCCAACATGGCTTTTTCAGTCATGAGGAACAGTTTGAACAGCACCAGTATCAGATTGATCCTCTGCTAGTAAGCTTCAAGCGCTGAAGTAACTTGACTCCGTGCCTAAAGTTTGGCTGGTGATCGATCGTGGCCTCCCGTGGCTGAAGGAGCTCCGAACTCTACTCCGTACAAGCGAGATTGTGATTGTAATTCATTAGGCTTGAGTAATGGGCACTGTGCTCGCCACGCAAGTGTCCAATATGGACAGGTATCCCGACACCTTCTCCAGCTGTACCTCTGTAGCCTGTATGTACTGTTTTGAGGGAATCAAAAACTGCGAAGCTGAACAAGAGAAATAAAAAAAATAAAAAAAATAAAAAGTTACAAACGATCAGAAAAAAAGAAAATGGTGAGGCGGCGAACCCAAGAGGATAACTCCATACAAGGCCTCTAAAAAAAAAAAAAGAATGGGATCCAAAAACGGGGGCTGATTGGAAAAGCCGTCGAGCAAGTGATCAGGTTCAAGACCAGCGCGGCGGCCCACCCAATCAGTGGATGTTTCCTCCGTGATAATAATTTTGCTAAGGTTCAGCGTCCAGAGGCCACCCACGCCAGGGCTTGAGTCGACCGCCCTCCACTTCCAGAAAGCCTGCACGCCGGGATCCATGCTGCAAACACTCAAAATTATTTGCTGCAGAGGACAAGATCCTTACTCTCTCACTACCTCTCCACCTTGCCTCTTGACTCTCTTCCCATCCTTTTGGCCTCTCTTCCGCATGTTAGCTTTGTTTCATTGTCAATGTTCCCGACCGTGACACCGCAGTCCTGCCCTTGCCTGCCCTTTTTTCATGTCTTCCAAGCACTCCCTAACTGCTCTGCTTTGAAATCCTCGCCTGCGGCCGGTGAACTTCAACTGCCCGCTCGATGAGAATCTCTCACTTCAATTGCAGATGGACTAGTTGACTGTGACGACATCGGACGAAACGAAACCAGCAGGCTTCATCCTACACACCCCACTCCCCTCTGTTATTCGTCTCATCACAAAAAGTTTTTCCTTTTGCTTCAATCATCTCCCTACCCCATCTCTGTTGTCTGATGTGCATGCGGTTCTGCAATCTCTCTGTTTGACCGGCAAGGCATTGAACCTCTCTCTCTTATCCCTGTCGCTAAGTTTCTGCCGCCTCCACTTGTATCCTGCCCTACCTCTTTTCGGCCCTTTTCCTGTCGCCATCGCACTTCTTGAACCTGCCCTGCTGCCACGACCTTCGCTCCAGCAACCATGGAAAATACTCAGTCCGGAGGTGGTACCTCCACAGGAAATTCTAGCGACTTCGTGGGTTCTCTCCCGTTGCTCCTTGCTCGCGTTTCCTTTGCTGACTCGATGCCAACACAGGTCCGAAAGCTCTATAAGTAAGTCGATGCTGACTCGGAATGCCTCCTTCTGCGCTTCCACCCCTTCGCCGCAGTTTTCGGCGGGACCTGTTCTGACGAACCACCGTTTTAGAATGCTAGAAGATCCTTCATATGCGCAGGTAGTACGATGGGGCGACGACAGAGACAGCTTCGTCGTTCTGGAGGTAATAGACACTCTGGCCATTTTGCATCGCCTGTTTTATGGAGGCAAGAAGCTGATCGTCCGTCAATCTTGACCGCAGTGCGAAAAATTCACCAAATCAATTCTCCCGAAACACTTCAAACACAGCAATTTTGCGAGTTTCGTACGGCAGCTCAACAAATATGACTTCCACAAGGTTCGCCAGAACAACGAGGAGACTGGGCAATCACCATATGGCCCCGGTGTATGTGTTCGGATAATAGTCTTTGATGTTGCGCTTCTAGAAATCTGACAAGATGCTCTAGGCATGGGAATTCAAGCATCCCGAATTTAAAGCGGACAACAAGGACTCCTTGGATAACATTAGAAGAAAAGCTCCTGCCCCCAGGAAGCCTCCTCAGTCCGCCGAAGATTCCATCCCCACACAACAACTCGACCTGATGAACCAGCAGATCGTCGCTCAACAACAACAGTTTCAGCATCTAGCCGATCGTTTTGCTGTTGATCAACAGCTCATGATGCAAGAAATCCGCAGAGTCCAGAAAACCGTCTTGGGCCACGAGCAAGTCATTCATTACATGATGACCTTTTTACACTCCGTGGACGCTCGTCAAAGAAGAGAGAATCGCGCTGCTGCAGCTGCTTTCCAAGGGCAACCTGGTGGCTCTGAGCTAAGCCCAGCCCAAGCCCAGGCCCAGAACGACGAACCTGCATCTCCTTTGCAGCACGCCATGAAACTCCTGAGTGAAATGAATTCTGACATTCAATTCAACCTGAGCAGCTTAGAATCGATGGGCGAAATGCAGAACAGACTCCCTGGAGCTGTGCCAACTCCACCATTGGATCAGACCCAGCGAAACGGGACTGTGCGGCCTCCTACCTCGACTGGCCCTGCTTCTGCCATGGCATTCCCGAAGCTTAATGGTGATCTCGAGCAGGTGGTATATCCAGTTGGCGTCACTAATGGCATCGATCCGATGTACGGTGACCATATCAACAGTATTCCCTACACTATGTCGTCCAAAGAAGCGGATCCGTCCGACCCAAGGCGTCAATTTGTGGACAGGAAAAAGAGCACGGGAACTAGTACGTACGCAGATCCAGGTTGGATTCGAAGCCCTCATATTCTTCTTGTTGAGGATGATCAAACATGTCGTCAGATTGGTGGAAAATTTCTCTATTCATTCTCTTGTGTGATCGATACCGCTGTTCGTAACTTCTTCTCTCCAAAGCTCCTTTACTCTGGTTCTGTTGGTGTTCTTATTTAACATGCCACTAGTTCGACGGCTTGGAGGCAGTCAACAAGATCCAGAGCGGGTCAAAGTATGATCTTATCCTTATGGATATTATCATGCCGAACCTAGATGGAGTGTCGGCGTGCAGTGTGATTCGAAGATTTGACGCGACCCCGATCATTGCAATGACATCGAATATCCGCAGCAGCGATATTGAACTTTATTTCCAGAATGGTATTTGAAATTTATTCTCATTTTCCTCGACTGGATGAGGCTAACAAACACAGGCATGAATGATGTTTTGCCGAAACCATTTACTCGACAGAGTCTCCTAAACATGTTGGAAAAGCACCTTGTCCATTTGAAGAACATTCCCACCGCCATTGACGCGACCCAATCGGCCCCTCCCACTGCCATCCCTCAGAACTCCGCGACCCAGTCAGTTAAAGAAGAGACAACACCCGGTCAATCCCCCGGCACATCTATTGGGAACTGGCAGTCACCTGCACAATTCCCGGGAGTGTCTCCAATTAACGTCAGCATACCAAATCAGTTCATGCAACAACAAGCCGGGGCTCCTGCAACCCCTTTTACAATTGATCAGAACGGCGGTATTCAATATCCTGGGAACCAGATGGGGTCCATGAATGTTGCAGCAGCCCCTCGAACCTCGCATCGGCGACAGATGTCAGATATATCCAGCGGTGCTGATGCCCATAATCTTGCCAAGAGACAAAGAATGTTCGCGACGCCTGCCAACAATACCGTTGTGAATCCGATGCAGACCAACAGAATGCCCTAGAGTGCTTATTGAGAAGTATCTATTCTAGATGGACCTCTCCCATTACGAATAATTCAGTTGCATTTTTCTCATTTACATAATTGTCCTACAGTACATGTCACGGCCTACCGAACAAAAAAAAAAACAAATTTCCTTTTAACTCACCATTTTGCCCCCTGCCTAATTACAGCGACATTAATCTTTGCTTCATTCTCTCGATATTTAACCTGGGGTTCATGGCGTTGGCGGTGACCTGGTACCCGAAACTTCATCCTCAGCAGACATTCTGCAATGCTTTGACGGTCTTATTTTATTCTATTTTCGTCCCCTCTCTCGTTTACTATCTCGGATATTCCAAGTTGGAAAAACACGGAAAGCAACCATTGCAAGTCGACACTGTACATGTGCTTCTCATATCAAACCATTATCGGCCCGATCATCTCGGGAAGATCGAAAAGGGGTTTTTCTCCAAAGTATTTTTATCAGCATGACAAATGAACTTGGACGCAGCACCATCGGGCAGCTTTTTTGCATGAAGGGGAGGGTATCGTCTTGCAATTATTTTCCCGATGCGGGCTTTCTCTACTTCGGATTTGTTTGTTTTTTCCATTTTTATTTTGATTCTTTATCTTTTTAGTCTCCGTTACTTGGGCTCCCACTGGATTACCTTTTTTTTTTTTTTGTTACTGTACTCCGTATTTGACTTTGATATGTTTCTTCCCCCGGCCTTTTTCCCTTTTTTCTTTTTTTTTTTTTTTTTTTTTTTTTTTTTTTTTTTGCGATCGGGTTATGGTCTGTCTGCAAGGGCCTTTGGCGGTGGGCGGGTGATCATCAGAGCGGTGGCGGCAAACTGGGGTTGGATGCTCGTACACGTTGAAAATGATATCGAAATACATAATGAAGTGGGGAAATGAGGGAGTTATTTTAGCAATTGTTTGTGTATAGAAGTGGCGAGCATGCCTAGCGAATTGAAACCGGTTCTTGATGCTATTTACATTTCGGTCGAATACTCCGGGAGGTCTCCGAGCATTCGTGCATGAACTGTGGAGGAGAAGGCAGCATTATGGAGTATTTGGCCTGCATCTACAGAGGACCTGGATATGAAGCTTCCCAACGCGCGTCCATGCCACGACATGCCTGCATCCTCCTCCATACAGAGTACAGGGGAGCTATGTATTTCACAAAAGCCATCTGCATCTCTCCCTGCACGGCGCACGCAACACATTGTCGCTCCCTGCACAAAAAATAAAGATAAACATTCAAGCCCCCAGCTGCATGTCTCGAAGCCCAGACCCCCGTACCAGGGATATCTCATGTTCTAGACCACGAAGCCCATAAGCACACAACAAAAAAAAGTCCAGAACCTGCCGAAATCCAGACCTGGCCGTTGTGCTCCGTCCCCATTGACTAACTAGTTAATGCTTGAAAGGGAGGGGGTTCGTTTTTGTTTTATTTTGTTTTGTTTTGTTTTGTTTTGTTCCCCTCCCTTCTGCTTATTCTGCTCCCCTCCCCTTAAACCGGCGCCAGTTCAGAAGAAATACCCAGCGATCGAGAACTCGGGGATATTTTTCTTTCTTTTTCCTTTTTCTTTTTCTTTTCCTTTTTTTTTTTGGGGAGGGTTCATCTTCCCATGGCTGTGGGACGTTTCCCGGGGGGGTTGCTAGGGGCGGGAAGAAGAGGAAATTTGCTAAAAATAATGGGACGAGAGGGACAAAATAAACTGGGGGGTTACGGAGTAGTTGGTGTTTCTTTTTCTTTTGTTTTCTTCTTCTTCTGCTTTTTTTTTAAAAAAAAAAAAAATATTGGTTGATGTCCGTGTGTTGTGGCGGTTCAGGGATGGGCAGGGCGAAAGGTTATTTCTTTTTTGCTGCAAGAAACTGTACCCCGTAGGTTGCTTGATTGCTGGTATTTCTTTTTTCTTTTTTTCTTTTTTTCCTTTTTCCTTTTTTTTTTTTTTTTGGTGCTTTGATCTCTCTCTCTCTTCTTTTTCTTTTTCTTTTTCTTTTTCTATTTCTTTTTTTTCCCTTTGTTGGTTGGCCCTGTCTGTGCGATGAGAGCGCGATTCGCTAAATTATACTTGAGATGGCTTGACTCCACACGCACGTCCAGTCCAACATTCCCTCCTGCGCGAAGGATGGAGGTTGAAAAACCCACCGCTGAATTCCTTCAGAAGTTCGGATTCAAATAAAAAAAAGAAAATGATCAATATCCTCCTTCGGGCTTCAGAGCTCGCTAAATTCTCTGTTGGGGCACGTTTTCTGCGATCAGACTTGCTCTTCCTTTCTACTAACTATGAAGACCGAGCCACTGGTAACCAGCACCATAAAGAAGCATGAATTCATTGCTGATATGACCAAGCCGCAGGTTACAAGATGGGACTGCCATATGTTCTACTGCTTCGGAATTGTCCATTCTCCTTCGAGAAATTCCGCCATCTAAAATGGAGTGGTCTTTCGCCGAATGACCGACCTCTCAACAATCGACAATGCCTATGTATTTGCGGTCAAGGCGAGCCGGTTTCTACCCCGAACCATTCGATTCGCCGAAAGAAATTCACATGGCTTCACCGGATGTGATCCAGCCCTAAGCAAACACCCTCCTCAATATCGCCATTAAATCTCTGCCTATGGATTCGTTTCGCCGTCAGGCGCGAGGAATCTGACCATACGTTTGGTAGGCAAAAGGGGGTTTCCGGAGAAATTGCAGGATTTGTTCTGTAGTACTAGACAACAGTCGGCTGTTCCCCAGACTATCGACCTTCCGTTGGGTTTGCGACGAGCGAATTATCACTGGAGGAATTCGAGTTAGTTAGGGTTATCATGTGGCCTGGCATCACCCGATTGCAGCGCCATTGACGAAATGAAAACCTGCGGGTATGGAAATGTACAGATTTTCCCAGCTTCCAGGAAAGAAACCTTGGCTCCGCCCGTCAGAGTTGATTGGACGGAGGACTCGTGACTAACTGGATGAGCTGCAACGATCAGACTCTGGTTGGGGCAAGCCAACTCCAAGCGCAAAGGCCTTCCAAAGCAGGTTTTTAATCGGCACGATCCCTGACGTGAATGCTCTGGTTCGGGAACTAAATGGGAAATGGTCGAAAGACGGAGCAGAAGCGCGGAACTAACAAGGACAGCGAAACAGGAGCAATATGAATGACGGTCGAGGGTGCAGTCGAGCAAAAACGAGACATCATATGAAGGGTGGCTCGAAAGTATGTGTGCGGGTCACTTGATTCACCACCGCCATCATCACAATATGCTATTATAGGCCTGGAAGTTGGCCCTTCTTCAAAAAGCGAGTGTGTCAGGGTGGAAAACCCTGGAAAACCTCTGGTGTACACTGTATATGAGAAGGTCAGGCTTTAGGTGTTTTAAATCTCCAAGGAACTTTGTAATCCTCTGGCTCAGGCCGGGTTAGGTGACAGTGAAAATAAGAACAGTTGACAAGGTCTAAATAATTTGAGGTGTTGAGTGCACGTTGAAGCTGTGTACTTTTCCAATCCCCTTGGATAGGGATGCCTGGAGAAAGGAATAGTTTTCCCGGGGGAACTGGACAAAGGTAACCCAGATTTGTACGCAATCAAACAATCTCCTGTTCCAGGACATCGCTCCTTAGCCCTTGTGCGCATGAATCCTTGATGACAGAATGGAATATTCATCAAGCATACACATAGGTTTTCGCGCGGTGAGAAAGTTATAGTTACCAAATTCGCCCTTATTCAGCAACCTTAGCAGCTGGTGGCTGGTGGCTGGTGGGACAACCGGCAAGGGAGCCACTCTCTGTGGCTCAGTTGGTTATGCGGCATCGCAGAAAGTTAGTTGACCAAGCGGTTGGAGCTGCGGGAGAGCGTGAATACCGGAAGGCGGATCGGTGTTATCGATTGCAAGGTATATTGGGGGTATACGGTTTGGCATAGCGGGCTCGATTATCAAAGCCGGCTGCTTGTCTAGCCATTCACTGGCTAATCTGTGCAGTGCGATCTCTTTCCTGCTCCCACCGCACATCATATTTTGTGAGTCAGCGGGGTGACCATATTCTGCACCCCGAAGCTTCGAGCGACCGCGCAACGGAGGCCTGTTTCTTTAGCAATGGTTTCTGCGCAAGGCCGCCGTGGCGGCGGAAACGCCGATCCGTTCCAGGGATTTATATCAGCAGATGAAAGAGAAGAGTTACTCCAGGCAGTTGTATGTGGGCGTTTCATTTTTTTTTTTTTTTTTTTTTCGTTTCCCGCTCCCTTTGCGAAAGCTTCCCTTGTCAAGACTAACTATGTCGGTCCGATAGGTTCTAACCGATACCTTTGAGACGCGATTTGAGCCTTTTACCCTTGAGAAGCCAAGAGTGCGTACTCCTCTCCCTGTCGTTGACCGACCTCACAGTGGAATCAATGAAACCCAGCTTGGCTAAGATGTGAGCCTGTCACGGCTTCTGCGAGCGATATAGTGTCTCTTACCTCTTGCAAATACGCTCCTGATCGACCATACCCTTGAGTTCTTGCTCAATGCGGGAATTGAAGAAGTTTTCATTTACACACACGCGGATTGTGATCTGGTTGAGAACCATCTGGAGTACGTAAAGAGTTAGCTTGGTGGTTATTGCGCATGTCATCTTTGGATGGGCTGTCTAACTCTCTTGGATATAGCGCTTCGAAATGGAAATCTTCCCTCTCTCCTTTTAAGAAGTTCAAGATTCTGAAAACGACGGCTACATCGGTTGGGGATGTGATGCGGGACCTTCACGGTAAGCACCTTATAGCAGGGGATTTTCTGCTGGTCAGCGGCGATGTAGTCAGCAATATGCCTGTTGAAGAAGTATGGGCGCAGCATCGGGCACGAAGAATCGCCGACAAGAACGCAATCATGACTATGATTCTGCGTGAAGCTGGACCGTCGCATCGAACAAAGGCATCTCCGACTTCCCCGGTGTTCATCATTGACCCGACAAAGGACCGATGTTTACATTATGAAGAAATCCGCCGCTCCCAGACCGGTCCGAAATCGTCCTATGTCAGCATCGATCCAGATCTGGTGAAGTCGTTCCCAGAAATTGATATCAGAAACGACCTAATTGACTGTGGTATTGATATTTGCACTCCGGAAGTTTTAGGTCTGTGGGCCGATAGTTTCGACTATCAGTCTCCGCGCAAACATTTCCTCTACGGCGTGTTGAAGGATTACGAGTTAAACGGCAAGACTATCCATACGCACATTGTTAAGGACCATTATGCCGCCAGAGTACGAAATCTCAAAGCCTATGATTCTGTAAGCCGAGATTATATTTCGAGATGGGTATACCCGCTCTGTTCCGATGCCAACTTGTTCACTGGTGACTCGTACAGATTACGGCGTGGCAATGTGTACCAAGAGGAGGGTGTGGTTCTCTCAAGGTCCGCGATAATAAAGCAGCGGACAATTATTGGCACAGGAACAAATATTGGCGAAGGGACCTACATTACGGACAGTGTAATTGGTAGACGCTGTCGTATCGGAAACAATGTCATCTTGGATGGTGCATACATTTGGGACGACGTTGTCATCGGCGATGGGACTGAGATTCGACATGCAATTGTGGCAAATGGGGTAGTAATCGGAAGCAAGTGTCGGGTTGAGCCCGGAGTACTCCTTTCATATGGAGTGAAATTAGGAGACGAGGTTTCAATCCCGAGAAGCATGAGGATTACCAAGCTACAACAAGATGAGGCAAGGACTACTTCCGAACTTCTTGGAAAGGATTGTGAGGGCTACGAATTTGTTCATGAGTATGAAGATGAAGAAGAAAGTGACGATGAACTTGCCATGTCTGGACTATGTAAGTGCTTCCTTGGAACTGCATATTTTCACTTCAGGTGCTGACAACCTGCGACAAAGTGTATAACATGGCAGAACTCGCATTATCGGATGCGTCGATTTCCACCCTTGCATCTGAGTTATCGGAAGATGAATACGCTATGTCAAGGCAGCGAGCGGACAGTTTTGGCACGTCAGTGTCCGACGATGAAGAAAGGGATCATTTCCATCATGATGCGGTTGTTAGTATTGTTGACAGCCTTAAAGAGGGCTTGAGTGCCGATGTTGTGCAGCTCGAACTCGTCGGACTACGCATGAGTGCCAATGCGTCAGAACATCAAGTCCGACGGGCAGTGGTAACAGCATTCATGAAGCATGCACAGCGCCAGCTCGAAGAGGGCGTAAGCGCCGGAGAGGCAATCAAGCAGCTTCTTACCAAATACAAGGAAATGCTTGCCCGGATTGTGTTTGATCGGGAAACTGATGAGAAGCCGGACCAAGTTGACTTGCTGCTCTTGTTCCAGCAGGACCTCGTTGAGCGGAGCAAAGGGGGTACAATCCTTTTGTTTGTTGCAAAGGAGCTTTATGATTTGGAAATAGTCGAGGACGAGGCATTTGAGCAATGGTGGGACAACGAGCGGTCAACGGCTACTGAGGCATTGAAGAAAGTTAGGCAGCAGACTCAGCCCTTTATTGACTGGATGATGACCGAGGAGAGCGACGAAGAAGAGTCTGATGAGGAATCGGGTGAAGAAGAAGAAGAAGATGATGATGATGAGAGTGAATAAAGTTATGAAAAAACTTTTTGCATTGACATAAAATGTATTGGCATTATCAGAGAAATACTCTTGTTGTTGTTCAGTCTCTAGAGGCTATATAAATTCCTTGCGATTCCTGATGAGGCAAACTACTCCTCTTTGGCTGGTTCAGCAGACACGCCTGCTTTAGGTATAACGCCCCAAACACGCCATGTGGCCTGCTACTTTTCAGGATGGACTGCGGATGCACCTCTGCCACCCGAAGCCAAAACTCACTGTAGAACCATCACGGCAGGTGGCTCGACTCAACATGCCGGATTTGCTGGCTAGGTCGCGTGAGCGGGCCAGTCAGTCAGACATCGTTGCACATCCGGGGGGGGAAGAAATCAGCCAAAAAAGGACCGTCGACAACCGCCATCTAAACATGCCGGAATCAGCAAGGTTCGCATCAACGGCCGACCAATGCACAAGCGAACGGTTAGTGGTACTATGGCGATCAACAACCAAGTGCAACAGGAAGTTAAAGACTTCGACGGTCCTTTTGTGGTATGAAATGGAGGAATACATACATGAACGTGGGCTTTCCTGGCTTTGGAGGGTTGGTTAAGGATTTTCCTGAGATACATCCTCTCATCCACTCGCACCATACCACTATGGTAGCATATCTTGACTGACTCCTTACACTGAGACCAGAATCTCAGGGTACTCCTTCAAGTTCTAGTATCCAGAGCTCTTCCGAAAAGAGCCGAAGATTTCAGCAAAACCATATTTATCTACCTTCGATCTACCACACTATTATTCTGTACGCTCATTGTAGCTGCTATTTCACTGTATCTGTATCAAAAAGATCTAGCTGCGGAAACACTGGGAACAGAACTATAATGTAAGCCTACCACTTACATCCCCCGTATCTCACTATAACGCCTTGATGTACCGCGTACGAGCTCCTTGAGGGCTCGGTGCGCATTGCATGTATTGATCAGAGAACCATCTTCGTCCGCCCCCCAGTCTCTTTCCTTGGGGGTGAGCTTTTTCAGTCTGCTGCTGGTAATGTGTCATAGATGGCGGAATACCCGAGAACAACCCTTTCCTAGGAGGAAGGCTTCGGTAGGCTATCCATCCACGTAGTTAGTTATTTAACTAAGAAGGGAAAAAAAAAAAGCAAAGGGCAAAATTGCGGAGCGCCAGTTCCAAATTTGAGCATCAGGCTCGTCCAAGCCAAAAGCAATTGGACCGACCATTGCGTAAACTTGAATGCTTTGACTGTGTTCTAAGCTTGTTGGTGGGGAGACGAGGTTAGGCAGAGGGAGAATGGGAACATTCCAGGGCTGCTAAATACATAGACTGCGCTTAGATCTTATCAAGTATACTCCGTACAAAGCTGAACAAATATCCTAAAAACTGGAGCAGGCGCATTTTCTCTAGCCATGAGAGCCTGCCCAGAAACCAGCATCACTGTGGCCGCCAGCCGTGAAATCGGGCTATACCCCACTTGTCAGCGGCCGGCCCGAATTTCACCCCTCTAACTAGTTCATGTAGGCACCAAGGGGCGCAGTCTTGAAATAGGCACAATATATCTATATATTGTATATTGGACAAAGCAAACAGCTGTATAGATCACAAACACCTGAGCACATGCCCTGACTTCAGAATTTCGCATTCAAACACTTTGTTCTGTTTCCTTTCAGCACCACACCTCCTTTGCTGCATAGCCGTCACTCCCACCCAACCCTCCAGAAACAAGCGCGCTCACAATCCACACTCCCAACACAACCCTGTAACTCAGCAAAGGCTGTGGCGTGACAGAGGGTCTTTTTTCCTTCCTTTCACAGGGACATCTGCAACTCAACAGATACCACATAGAACGCGTGACCACCTCCCACCCAAAGTTGGGAAGGCAACAGCAGTCCAGCAAGGCTGGAGAACTCTAGCCATCCTTCATTCTTACATACGGAGCTGCACGGTTGGAGATACCGTCATCATGGATTCGGACGACGAGTTCATGAGCGATGTGACAAGCCAGCTTGACGAAGATATGGATTTCATTGATACTCAAGATAGTGATGAGGACAGTCTAGGTGAAGGTATGCTGAGGAGCTATCGATTCATGCCTGGCTTATCCATGAGGATGATTTTATCCCTTCGGGATTCGAACGCTAATGTTTCATTGTCCTGCACCATAGATTTTGACGCTGACCTGGGTGCCTCTTTCACGGACGAGAAAGAAGTAACGAAGAAGTCACGGAAAGCCTATGAAGTCGAATTCAAAGTCCTGAGCCCGGATGATATACAACGAGAGCAAACGGTACAGATCAACGAGGTCTCCTCTATCCTCGGCCTACCCCCTGAGTCTGCGGCTATTTTACTCCGGTTCGGTCGGTGGAACAGAGAGAGGCTGATCGAGTCGTATATGGACCACCCAGAGAAAATATTAGAAGAGGCGGGACTAGGGTCTAATATCACCGGAACGCCGAAGACGGAAGTTGTCGATGGGTTTATGTGTGATATTTGCTGTGAGGACGGCGAGGATTTGCAAACATTTGCCATGCGATGTGGTCATAGATTCTGCGTTGATTGCTATCGTCATTATCTTGTGCAGAAAATCAAGGAGGAAGGTGAGGCAGCTAGGATACAATGCCCGCAAGACCAGTGTCAACAAATTGTGGACTCGAAAAGTCTCGAATTACTCGTTCCGGATGACATTAAGGAGAGGTATGGTGCTCCGTGTCTTGTTTCCCGTAATATGGGAAGGTGCTAACATACACTTCGTTCATTAGGTACCATATCCTCTTAACAAGAACCTACGTTGACGACAAAGCGAACTTGAAATGGTGCCCGGCCCCGAATTGCGAATTTGCCGTGGATTGCTCGGTAAAGACGCGAGGACTCGACCGGATCGTCCCCACAGTACGTTGCTCGTGCGCACACATGTTCTGCTTCGGCTGTACTCTAAACGATCATCAACCCGCTCCCTGCGCCATTGTCAAAATGTGGTTGAAGAAGTGCAAGGACGATTCAGAAACCGCAAACTGGATATCAGCCAACACTAAGGAGTGTCCCAAATGTCACTCGACAATAGAAAAGAATGGTGGATGTAACCATATGACATGTCGAAAGTGCAAGCACGAATTTTGCTGGATGTGTATGGGCCTGTGGTCAGAACACGGCACCAGCTGGTATAACTGCAATCGTTACGAAGAGAAGTCTGGCGCCGAGGCGCGGGATGCCCAGGCGCGGTCTCGAAGATCTCTTGAAAGATATCTCCATTATTACAACCGTTATGCAAATCACGAGCAGTCGGCCAAGCTCGACAAGGATCTATATCTGAAGACGGAAAAGAAGATGGTAAACCTCCAGACTCAATCAGGCATGTCGTGGATCGAGGTGCAATTTTTGGATACGGCCTCCCGAACTCTCCAAGAGTGCAGGCAGACACTTAAGTGGACATATGCTTTCGCCTTTTACCTTGCGCGTAACAATTTGACCGAGATGTTTGAAGACAACCAGAAGGACCTAGAATTGGCCGTGGAAAGCTTAAGTGAGATGTTCGAAAAGCCCGTTGCCGAATTAGCGGAAGTGAAGGGCGACATTCTAGATAAGACAGCATATTGCGATCGAAGGCGATGCACGTTACTCAGCTATACAGCTGAGAATTTGAAAGCTGGTACGTTTCCATGATAGGACAAGTTGAATTGCTGATTTTGCTGACTTCGTTTTGGCTGTAACAGGGGAATGGTCCTTCAATGTTGATATTACCATGGCATAGACTAAGGATTCTTCTCTCATTTTTTTTCTTTTTTCTTTTTTTTTTTCTCAGCTATATCTGGTCTTGATGATGGTTGAAGATTTTATGCCTGGCGTAAAGGGTAGCATATTTGCAATTATCTGACCAGTTTCGAAACATATGTAACCTGAACAGTTCTCAGTGCCTAATTCTTCGTTTATGCTATCTACGAAGGCTTTTATATTTACTTTAACGGGACACGACGCATGATCTCAAAACATTTGACATGGCGACAATATTTTCTTGATATGCATAGGAGGATATTACCAAAATTACATGATGACTCTGATAGCAGAATTAAATGTATAATATGCTGCTATATTCCACATAGACTACGGAGTACCGTTTTTGCATTTTATCTGATCTATTTTGATGAGAGAGCGCAGCCATTAGAAATGAAGACGGTAAATGCCGGAGAGACACGGTTTCTCGGATGAGAGAGAATCAGGCTTGACAGCCAATAGCGGAATCTTCGGTTCTCCTTCGAGAACCTCGCTACCCCCCGTCGCGTGGACCCCGATGAGCACGCGCGCCCCCGTCCACCTGGCCTTCACCCTGGGCGTATGCTCGCGTGTCTGTCGTGGATTGGAATTTCGTGCTCTCATGTGATTATGTCATGGCCAACCGTATTTTTAGGTTTTAGGTTTATCAGATCCGAGGCGTTCGCCCGGGAGGAAAGCCGAGGATGACTTAGAACATCGATGGATTAGATTAGATTATCACTGTTGCTGGAAGAATTCTTCCGTGTGTCGCCGTGTGGATGCGCTACTGCAAGGGTTGCAAACGCCGGGCACTCCGGGCGGAGATTTGGCGATACAAGAGCAGTAATCGACCTAGGATTTTAAGCCCGACGGGGCTAACGGAGGCTTCCGTAGCCAATTCGTGAACTCTCTCTCCCCACCTTTGCCTCTTTTGTCCCCCCAAAGAGTGTTTTGTGGGTTGTGGATGCTTCCATCTGCTCGCGGCTTGCGGTCAATTTAGTTTGGTTAGTTAGTTAGTTATCTGATCGTTTAGTTACGTAACATGGGAACTCCGATAGCCTCCGAGGGCTGGTGGCGGCTTGGTGATGCACTCCCGGTTTCGCAGCGCCTCGAGTCAGGTCTCTTTTGGGAATATCGTGTCTTGAACTATTCATGAAATGCTGCTGCCCGAACTTTTGTGGCCGAGAATGATGACCGAAATGTGCCATGTACTGGGTGTACTTCTACTGAGGATGGATGCACTGTTGGATGTGTCAGGATTTGAGCCTTGGCGATGTCCGCCTCGGAGATGCACAAACTCTTTCTGGAAGCTGAACGGTCCTTAATACGGCTCTGTCTTTGCGGCGAGAAGTTCTGGAACAAAATGTCCGACAGCTCTAATTTTCGCTTGACACAGAGTTTAGATATGTTCTCTTTGGATGTAGAGATTACTCTGTATAGAGAGAGAGAAAGACGGACGGGTGTTGGAATATTTTTTTTCGCCGAATCTGTTAACTCCGGGTTTTCCATCATCCTCATCTTCTGAACAGAGGAGGCAACTGGGGAGGATCGGTTTCAGGGTGGGTGGGAATAAGAAAATGCGGATATAGTAGACCACGGTAGAGGGTTCGCCTTGGACGGTGCAGTACCAACCCAGAATAGCCATCAGATGGATTTTAGGGAATAACTGGAGCAAACCAGTTGCCAGATGAGCAAGCAAAACACCCGGCTCTCTCTCTGAAGGGCGCTTCTCCGGTGTGCGGTTTGATGCTTGGCTGGTGAGCCATTGGTTGCAGCACAATTGAAGCTAGTGGAAAATGTGCCCGCGCCGAGCCATGAATGGTGCTTGAAAGAGAAAAACTTCCCCATCCCAGCTATCAGAAAACTGACATTCTTAACTCTTTTGTTACCTTCCTTCTTCTAGCACTCCACCTCTTCGTCTCATTCTCTTCTGTATAGAAATTCCATTTTAAATTCACAGCTATTGCCCTGTGATTCCCTCTGTTCCCATTGACTTCATCCTCCAACGCCCAGTTCCCTCGCTCTTCCTCTTCTCACGTCATCCACATAATTCGCCCCAGTGCGCAAAGACCTCAAGCCTCCATAGCTCGAATTTTTGGAGGCCAGTCCGTCGCGACATATCAGTAGACCACCGCGCAGCTCCGGCTGCAAGAATCAGCTTTAAATGGCCTCTCCAGACCGTGTTCCCGGCGAGGAATATGAGTATGATTTGCCCTTTCCCTATCAAATCGCCCTCTTCTTCATGCAGGCCAGGGGGGAGTGCCAAAGACCTTTGAGCTTCTGATGCTAACGGTGCAACCTCCCTTGTGATTAGCTATGAGGCGCTTCCTTCGAATTACTCCCTCGGGCATAATATGATAGCCGGTGCTTTCGCTGGTATTGCGGTATGTCTCCGTTTCTGCGTGTCGCTTCGGCGGTTTCGCCCGTGAAGGACAAACAATATTGGTATAGTAAGAGAGGAAGGCTGACGGTAGCTCCCGTCTAGGAACACTCTGTTATGTACCCAGTCGATCTCCTGAAGGTAAGCCGATCTCCTTTCCAGGTTTCGCAAGAGAGAAGAGAACCGGTGCTCCTTGGGCTCTTTTTCCCCTCCCAGGATCATTTCAGGCTTTCATCTTGCCCAGTACGCCCGTGGCTGATTGTTCTCTCGTTAAACAGACTCGAATGCAAGTTTTGAACCCTTCTGCTGGAGGATTGTATACAGGTCTTAGCAATGCGTTTACTACGATTTCGCGCGTTGAAGGCTGGAGGACACTTTGGAAGGGTGTATCGAGCGTCATTGTCGGCGCTGGTATGACAACACCTAGAATCCCTCGCTTCCAGGCGCGAAGGCGCTCTTGCAAATGGCTGATATTCATTGTGCTCAACAGGCCCTGCTCATGCTGTCTATTTCGGCACTTATGAAGTAGTTAAGGACCTTGCCGGAGGTAATGTTGGAGATGGCCACCATCCATTCGCTGCAGGTAAGCATGCCGGCTTGCTCCGATTTCCCAAGCAGGCCCAAAGCAGGCCCAATTGGACCTTGTATTGATTAAATGCGGCTAGGTTTGAGTGGAGCATGCGCAACTATTACAAGTGACGCATTGATGAATCCCTTTGACGGTAAGGAGCTCCTCGTATTCCCCTATTCGAGTATTCCAGATACTAACACTTGATGCTCAGTCATCAAACAACGGATGCAAGTCCATGGCTCTACGCACAAGACCATCTGGCAATGTGCCACAACTGTCTATCGGGCCGAAGGAATGCGCGCTTTCTACGTATCTTATCCGACAACATTGTGCATGACAATTCCTTTCACTGCTACTCAATTTATCGCATACGAATCCACGTCGAAGATAATGAATCCGTCCAAGAAATATGACCCCCTCACCCACTGTGTCGCTGGCGCTTTAGCTGGAGCAGTTGCAGCAGCGGTTACAACACCTCTCGATGTTATCAAGACCGTACTACAAACACGAGGACTCGCAAAGGACGACGAAGTTCGAACCGCTCGCGGTTTATTCAACGCAGCTGCCATTATCAAGAAACAGTACGGCTGGTCTGGGTTTTTCCGTGGAATGCGACCTAGAATCATCGCCACAATGCCAAGCACTGCTATTTGCTGGTGAGTCAGATCGGCGGTCTTGTCGAGCACATTTACATTTGACTCGCCAAGGGCGCTCCATTTGCGGTAGCACTCGCTAACGTCAATGTAGGAGTTCATACGAAATGGCCAAAGCATATTTCAAGAGACACTACGGCGACTCCGCCGCCTAGACGTTGGTATACCCCCACGCTTTCAGTGCCTCTTCCTTTATTGTGTATATGTTCTGTATCGAAACATGTGCACTAGATTATTCCCTTTAATAATGCGGCAGATTTCTATCCTTTGCTGGATGAAAAAGTATGGAACGGTTTCTCCTGGGTTTAGATTTTATATTTTCACACTTGTCGTTTTTTTACATCTTGGGTTGGGCGTCCAGTGGCAGAGAGGCTTTGTGTGCACCAGAGCATTTCCTTTCCATTCCCTATCCCCTTGTCAGCTGGAAATACATAGGAACGATTGAGCGGAAATTTCTCGCTTTAAATGTTCAAAGCACATAAATCCATCAGATTTGCTCTTATTGGTTGGATACAGTTCTATCCGGTTGGATTTTCTTTTGTTTTCTCTGCTTTATTTATTTTCTTCCTTTCGGCTATGCGTGCGACTTCAGCCAGTACGCGCTCAATGAAATGTACCAGTTTACCGGTTTTGCGAGGGTAACGCATCCTAGGAAACCCGATGCCAGATGGCGGGACGACGTACCGTTGCGTGAAAATCATTTCGTTGGGAATGGGTCCTATCTCGGGTATACCCTTACAACTTCTGTCCGTATGTCTTACATTTGTAAGACTCCGATCGTGGGAGTATTCCCGTGACGTCCAGATTTGCAAGAGTCTCAAATATAATAAATGGATTATTCGCTTGAGCGCGGTGCAGATACACATGCGAACCCATTTGGGATTGAAGAATATTAGGAGATGGGACATTGGCTGGGTGGTAGGCCCCTGTATATAGCCGCGGGAACACCGATCTCAACGTGGACGAGCTCCTCTTAACCCGACGAGGGCCTCGTCATTTGCTACAAAGGCATGGATACGTTCGGGAGCATTTGGACTCGCGACGTTCATGATTCAGCCCCAAGGTGGCAGTGTGTACCCGGTTTGAATATATGAGGAAATCTAATAGTAAAACATAGGCGCGAATAAATAATCTTGACGCCTTAGAAGCAAGTAGTCAGACGGCAGAGACCTGCTGCCAGAAGACTTAGCAATGCACCACACCAGATAGTTCAAATCTAGCGACAATCGCAGATCGGATTCACGGATTCACGGACCTTTCGGGTTGAAGAATCACGATGTGTTGGAAGCCCATCTCGGCAACGGGGTCTGTTGGTATATCCTCGCAGATCTGATGGAATCGGGTTCTTTCAAATCAGCTAACAGTATGAATGTGAAAGGGGACTGGTTCGGTTCCAGTTGGCCCTTGTTAATCAATTTTGCTTCTCAGATGAGGCCTTTCCAGGAGGATTACGAGGGCATTGGAAACACCGAAGTTGCAGTCCGAGGAGTAAAATAGAAACGGAGAAATATGTACAAAAAGGGCAAAAACTGTTAGGGATATTGAAAACTCACCCCCCTGGCTGATTGGCCTTTTTGCCTAACTAGGTGGTCTATTAAAAATATCGTTTTCAGCTATTTCGATAGTCCCCTTTTTCAAGTCCTACATAGGCCCATAGGTCTCCCGAATTGACTATCCCGTCGTGTATTCAGCCTGCACCTTGCGCCGCTAATTTGCGGGGGTATGCAAGTCGTCTTTTCTCGAGCCAGAGTAGAGGCCAGCGCGCAGCCATCATACCCGCATGCGAGTCTCTCAAAGTATGATAGAAGGAAATGAACTCGGGCTCGAATCTGAGTCCAGTTAATATTTATGTAGGGGAGTAGCCGTTGCAGATTCTGTTGCTGGCCGTGACACTGTGGTATGATGCGGAACGACGGCCTCTCAAGAGTTGGCACCTCGACGTCATACAACTCGCCCAGCAGGGACAATTCCACCAGAGACCTCGTCGTTTTACAATCCCTAATGGCGAACCGAATTTGGCCTTGAGCAATTCCGGCCATACCGTCCGAGGCCTTATGACCCGTTAACTGAACTTCTTTTCATCCACCACCGCTTGCGCGGCGGGGTGGACTCTTCAGACAACGAAACGCCGGAACAGGAGCCACGAGCGAACCACAGAACGACTTAACGTCATTCCCCAGCCAAATAACGGACGAAAAAGTCTATCGAGATCGAACATTTTACCGGCCAGCAGCGAATGTCTGTGTTGCAAGTGTAGATTGCACTTTCCCTCTTGCCTGCCCGTCGCATCGTCTCGGACGGCGTTTGTATGCAGTGATCTTCAGATGGAGGAGCTTGATCCGCCCACATTGCCACGCCTATAATGTTGCGTTCGAGCCCCGGGTCGTTGATGCAGAAGACGTACGATGAGTGTTATCTGATGTGTTCGACTGCCGTGTACTTTGAAGGACGGGTATGCAATTCTCGCTCAAGCACACCTCCCCCCCCGTTGCTGCGATCCATTTGCTGCACTACTGGCCGGGAACACCCAGCCGGTTTCCGCGGATATATACCCTGGCACTCTTTTTTTTCCCGAACAGTTCCGTTCGTCGGTGGTTCTTTGTGTCTTATAGCGCTTGATTGTTGGGAACGCATCGCTAACCGATTCACTGTGTATAGAATAATGAACAAGAAGCCCTACGGTCCTGGCGGGAATCCCTGGATACCATATATCGCCACAATGCCTCTATATCCTCGAGCTACGTCCCACAAAACGAAACCGAGCGCGCTCTGCAGAAGTCAATCCAAGAGTTAGAGACGCAATGCAAGGAGCGTATAGATTTGCTTGAAGCTCTTCGGGAAAGCCGTAGAACGGCACTGCTAGAAGAAGGAAAGGACAAGTCCGGATTGTGTGGCGAGTCTAGCATGGGAACAACCCATGCTGATACGGGACAAGGTATCCCTTCCCCTGGGTGGATTGGTGATGGTACAGTTCCATCGCTCGGTTATCCGGATCTACCACGACCGGCTTTACCTCCACGACCTCAAGCTCGAAACACTAATCGGGTAGCAAATGCGGTCACCCCCTCAAAGCTATCGAGATCCGCAAGTTCTGAGGAAAGAACAGTGCTGTTGCCGACTTTGAGGGGATCTAAGGACAAGAAGTCACCCGAGATGCGAGACAAAAATTCCCGTCGGGTATCTCGCCCAGCTGCATCGCAAGCAGCAGACCTAGCTTGGAGCGCTTTACATTCCCGACCATCTGGCCCACATATGACGCACTCCACCCCCGTAAGTGATTCCACCGCCAGAAAATGGGTGGATTCTAGTCTACGACCAGACGCACGCCCGAGGAAGTTAGGAAATCCAGCGGTAAACTTGGCGTCAGGCGCGGCAGCGGCAGCTACACGTCGCCCCGCTGAACCGGAACCATTACCTGAAGACTCAAATACATCTGCAAGATCATATCGCAACCCAGATACAACGGATGCGCTATCTGCAAAGGCTGCAACGATATCAAAACTTGGCGCACCCGCCTCTGCATATCCTAAATACCGGAAAGAGTATCCAGAATCTGGAAATACGCTGTCATCAGGTCCTGTAACCCCCCAAGCCAAAGCGTCCTCCAATTTGGCACGCAAAGGGCCAGAGAGTCAGCCAGGGAAGTCTCCTGGACAACCGCCAGCAGCCGATGGGACACCGCTTTTTAAGCCTACATCTTCGGGCCAAAAAAATGAGAAGGCCCGCCGGCCTGGTGGTAAAGGGCATAATGACAATTCTGCAAAGCAGAATATCAGCCACGAGCAGTCTCACTCTGCAACGAGTTCTCCCGTCCAGCCAAAGAAAGATTCATCACCGTTGCCACCAGAAACACCCCGAAACCAGGTGGAGTCTAGTGACGACGAGGATCCGTTCGCAGAGGAGATAAGAACTGATAAAGACTTCTGTAACATTATGAAAAATCTTCCGAAAGGAGTAGATCGCAATGCGGCAGGTCAAATCTTAAATGAAATTGTCGTTCGGGGCGATGAAGTTCATTGGGACGATATCGCCGGTTTAGAAATTGCAAAAAAAGCATTGAAAGAAGCTGTCGTTTATCCTTTTCTTCGCCCGGATTTATTTATGGGCCTCCGTGAACCCGCAAGAGGAATGCTGCTTTTTGGTCCACCTGGCACAGGAAAGACTATGCTTGCAAGGGCAGTGGCCACCGAATCAAAGTCGACATTTTTCTCTATATCAGCAACGAGTTTAACGTCCAAGTGGCATGGGGAAAGCGAGAAACTGGTTCGCGCTCTGTTCGCTCTAGCAAAAGCCATGGCGCCGTCGATAATATTCGTTGATGAGATTGATTCGTTGCTCTCTTCTCGTTTAAGTGGCGACCATGATGCCACTCGACGATCGAAAACCCAATTCCTTGTTGAATGGTCTGACCTTCAGCGTGCAGCCGCCGGGAGAGAGCAATCAACCAAAGAGAAAGCTGAAGGTGATGCAACAAGGGTTCTTGTGCTCGGTGCGACGAACGTGCCGTGGGACATCGACGATGCAGCCCGGCGGAGATTTGTTCGGAGACAATATATACCCCTACCTGAGGATGATGTGCGAAAGCTGCAACTTCAGAAGTTACTTAGCCATCAGAAACATGAGCTGTCGGAGGAGGATATTGATGTTCTAGTCAAAGTTACTGACGGTAACTCTTACCCCTTTCCTCACATTAACTTGAGTTACCATTTGAAACTCGGTACTAACAGTAGTTATATTAACCCAGGGTTCTCTGGTTCTGATATCACAGCTTTGGCTAAAGATGCTGCTATGGGCCCTCTTCGCAACCTCGGCGAAGCTCTCCTTAGCACACCCATGGATGAGATCTGCCCAATTCGCTTTAAGGATTTCGAGTCGTCTCTTTACTCTATCAGGCCCAGCGTCAGTCGTGAACGCCTAAAGGAGTACGAAAGCTGGGCACGAGATTATGGGGAACGCGGCTCTTAGCTCCGCCAGTCGACAATTCATGTTGTTTATTCTCTTTTCTTCCTGACTTCTTTTCCCTCCTTCGGGTCCGAGGGAATCCCTGCAGTGATGTGGATACTGTGAGTAGGTTTAAGGGAATTGTACTCTGGGAGTTAAATGCATCGGCATCTGTGGTTCTATTATTGTCCTGATTTTTCTAGTACGTTGGCTCATGGGATGGAGTTGGCTGCTCTCCTGTCAAACATGTATGGATATGAAATGCTGGATCAACTTGAATCCACCGGTTGGTGGCTTTCAATGAACACGTGCATTGCATTGGCACTGGTTTATGATCGATAGCTCTGCTCTTTTCTTGCTAGCCTTCTTTCAGTTTTCAGTTTTTACAGAATGTAGTTATTTTAATCTTCATTGATTAATCAATAGCAATCACCGTGCCGAGTTATATGGTTTTCTGTAATAGTCTATGTCAATGCACTTGCCTCTTGACTTTCGTGCTTGATTATCATCGCTTGGCACATTCAATTCCGTACCTATAAGTTAAGTGTAAAGAGCACGGAGTGCATGCTGGGAATATACTTGTAACAATCGATAACTTCTTCGATTCTATCAAACATACATCATATTATACAGAGCGGCGTAATGACACCCTTCGTCTTGCCGCCGAGAACGGAATAAAGAGAAGAAAAACAAGTTTCTATTCGAGGTTTGACAACACTCGGGGATTTCTCCTTGTTACTCATATTTCTTTGTTTCTCACGCTCTCACCGCAGTATTCCGAACATTCTCCGTTTTCTCGGAATCCTCCGCGAGCAGTAATTTAATGTGCTCGACACGATCTTTAGAGAGCATCCCTCCGTGCAACAATTTCTCGAGTATCTGCCGTTTCACTGGCCCCAGTTTCTTTCCCGAGCCTTTCATTCTTTTCACAGAGTCATCCACAAATCTCTCAGGTTCCGTCAGGACTGGTGGACGTGCGCTAATCGGCGTCTCGAATGGCGCTATAATTCTCTCTACCACGTTCTTAGGATTTCCGAAATTAAAACCGTTCGAGAATTCGATCACATCACCTTCGCGGAGGGAGTTGTTCGGATCCGATACGCTGACCCTTGTCTTGAGGGGATAGTATTTGTGCAGATTTCTGTCCCAATGTGTGGTGATGTGCACGACTTGAACGACTTTGTCCCTTTTACCGGCGGAAATGACGGTGCCGGTTTTGTGGTGGGTTATACCCTTGATAATGGAGTGTCTCGGGGTTTGCGGTTTGCGGGTGAGTTGATTGACTTGGGATTCTTCTGGCGGCGGTGGCGGCGGTGAGGAGGGCGTGGCATTCGTGTTTGATGAGGATGTATCGGTCGATAAGGGTGCGTTGATCTGTGGTCGGTTGAAGTATTGTGGTCTTCTGCTACTTAGGCATGCTGTCGCGGCGAATGAGGATCCGAGAGGGGAGGCCGCTGTCCGCGACAAGCAAAGCAGACTTCTGGTATTCATTTTTGCAGAAGCTCCTCCGGTCTTTGTGCCGCCAAAAGGAAAAGTCTAAAAGAACGAACAAAAGAAGCTCTCGAGGTAATTTGGCGGCCGCCAATCTAAAAGCTCAGCAAAAATTTAGCTGCGTTGTCTTCTGAGCGCGGACTTCAGTGAGAATCGTTTGCAGCTAAATCCTCTCTTATCCAGAAAATTTGTCCGACCAGTCAATCAATTGACACGCCGCGGCACCTCTTCTGCTTCTGAGCCAGCAGACAGGGTCAATTCGAGTCGAACAGCTTGAATGAAACTCACTGGCAGCAGACCAGGATTGATCGAAGCCGCACGATCGAATTTCCTCTCACGTGACCTTTGACTTGGAACCAATCAAATAGATGCTATTAAATTAGTCAGCTAATAAAGGAACAAAGATTTTCCGAAATACAAACATGTCAAACAACCTAGAGAGTACGGCCGGACGTCAAGGGAGCCAGCTGATGATACCTTGGTGTCCAGAGTATACTTGCAGCGGCACATATACTTATTCATGCCGGGAATCGCCAAGTCCAGCTCTTGCTGAATGATCGAGATTTACGCGTGAGATAGAAGGAAAGTAAGAATAGCACAAGGGCAGTTTCAGATATGTAAATGCCTCCACCGAGAGAAGAGAAGGGATTGAGCAAAACAAAATCGGACAAAGATGCCTAACCCTAAAGCTCCAAAGACTCCAATGATGTACCGCATGGTGTGGTTGTATTGTGACATAAAACTAATCCGCTTCCCTTCCTCGGCCATCCATACATGCTAATCGCTTCTCATAAGTTCGCCCAAGGGAAGGAATGGGCAAGGAAATCCCCAGTATAGGAAGATAACGCCGTATTAACCCCATATCCTCGTTTTAATTTATCAAAAGCGCCCCCTTGACTTAATGGCTTTTGGAAAATATAGTGTCAGTGGCCGTCGATATCATTGTTTATGACATCGGCGGCAGCATTGGGTGCTACTGATGAACGTCTCAGGAGCAGTTTCTTTTCTCCATGGGCGGATATCCTAGTCAACTCGGAAACAAACGACTGGCCCCAAAATGCGCTGCATGATGGTGATTAGCCATGTTCTCATCTGTGACGATCCTGCGTGTAAATAGGAACCATACCTAGTAAACTTGTGTACATATTTCTCCAGCTTTGAGTAGTTAAGGGCCCTCTGCTCATCGCTCATGGTGACAGCTTCCTGGTAAGCAGCTGCCAGCTCTTCAGTATTCCAGGGGTTCACAATGATGCTGCCGTTGAGGCTTTGCGCGGCGCCTGCAAATTCAGAAAGAACAAGGACACCATGACGCTTGTGCTGCGTTGCGATATATTCGTATGACACAAGATTCATACCATCTCTTGTTGACGACACGATGCAAGCATCTGACACCGCGTATAGTGCAATGAGCTCGTCGAAATTAACAGATTTATGCATGAAATGAATCGGCATAAACTCCACTGTGCCTAAACAACTAGTGTTAAAGCTGCCTTCCCATGAGTGTACTCAATACGTACCAAACTTCCCGTTAATCCTCCCAACAAGCTCATTGACCACTGCTCTCAAATTCTGATATTCTTCAACGTCTTGTCTGCTCGGAACCGCAACTTGGACAAGAACGACTTTGCCAATCCATTCGGGATGGTCCGTCAAAAATACTTCCAGGGCATGTAATTTTTGAGGTACTCCTTTGATGTAGTCAAGTCTATCGACTCCGACCATCAACTTTACACCTTGGAACTTCTGCTCCAACTGAGCGATTCGTTTTTGCACTTTTTCCTTCTTTAGCCCTTCGGAGAACTTATCAGGGTCAATGCCGATCGGAAATGCACCAACAGAAACCATCTTGCCCTGAAACTCCACACCGTTAGGCGTAGTAGATAAACCCCTAAAAGTAGTCATGTCAGCCGCCATCCTATGACACCCTAGATGCATTAGCGTATTCTGTCTTACAATATCCGAGAGCAACTGCTCAGAAAATGTCGCGCGTAGTCATATGTGTGGAATCCAATCAGATCACAATGGAGAACACCGAGAAGGAGCTCATTTCGAACCGGTAAGATACGATATATCTCGCTGCTGGGAAATGGAGTGTGAAGAAAGAAGCCTATCTTGACGTTGGACTTGGTCTCTCCGATCTCTTCGCGCAACATTGACGGTAAGAGCATTAAATGGTAATCGTGAACCCAAACTAAATCACCATCCCTCACGTCTTTTGCAATGGCTTTTGCGAAAAGGCGGTTGGCATCCCGGTAAGCATTCCACGCAGATTCATCGAAGGTTATCTCTCCCGGATGATAATGGAAGAGGGGCCAGAGGATTGAGTCTGAATGAGAAGCAGATAGGTCAGCATAGAGTTTTGAAACTGAGAAGCTTCTCGCGCAACACCGCAAGCTATGGGGCATCCAAGTTCAAAATCCAAGGACGGGTCCACGATACGCACTTGAAAATCCATTATAATGCCTATCAGCAAGTTCATCGTCGATGAACACAGGCACCGCATTATATTCATCCTTCAATCTCTTGGTGACTATTTCAATTTCATCCTCCGGTACCTCTAGACCAGGCCAACCGTACCATTGAAATCTCGTCGTCTTTGAGAGACCACTTAGCCCGCTTACGAGACCGCCTGACGACATCGAGGAATCGTACTTGCCATCGTCTGAACGCTTAATGGTGATTGGAAGCCGGTTGGAAACCAGAAGCAATCTCGGGTCTTCTTTGTGCGGGGACTCGAGGGACGGCATTGCGGGCGATATTGCTGATGTGACAATGGCGATTTTCGGAACGACGATTTGAAAACTGTATGGGCGTGGAATATATATCCCGACAGTGCAGTGCTAGACGAGCTGTTCAGCGTGCAAGATGCTGTGTAAGGCTTGGAGCAGCGTGGGGTTTGTCGATAGACTACGTAAGAGGTCGATGGCGGGACACTGGTATTTGTTTGGGCGATTCGGCAGTGGTCTGGCCCTCGAGGCGGCGTTTTAGTATGACATAACTAACAAGGGCCCCATCAGATAACAAGCGCTTCTCACGAAGCAAAGGATTGGGGATTGGGTGCGATGTGGACACAGCAAGGATTATGGGGGCAAGATCAAAGTCAGACGCCACCTGCTTGGCGCTTCAATGCCCTTCGTCACAGGGAGGGGCTCTGTTGGGAAGAGAACTCTCTGTCCGCTTTTGGAGGTGCTTGGATCGCTTCAATAGCGAGTCCATCGACTGGAGTTAACTAAAAACGCCGTGTTCGATCTACGTTAACCTAATTCGGTTGTCCTGTGGTATTCCTCCATCAATGTATTATTAACCCTCAGCTCGCAAGGGAAGAAGACACGGCAGGGCGATGACAGCTGGATTTAAGATTTGAGCCACGGGCGCGTGCAAGACCATTTCCAAGGGAAACCGGGAACCCACGAAATGGACGGTGAGAGTGAGAGGACCCTGACAGAGTTGCGGGAAGTTTGCTGCATCGATGGCTGACTGCATGGAGCATTCGGATGGTGGAACCAACAGGAAACCTGGCGATGACGGCATTGCTCAACCCCCTCAGCTTCTATCCCCTTCGTCTTGACTCTGACCGTCGTCTTGGCTCTGTCCTTGCTGTCGAATGATTCTCCAACCGTCTCTGGAATTCGATTCGTTTCTCGGGAATTGCCAAACGAGTCGACAGCCACTCCGGCGCGAGAACAGAAGCCCTGCGTGCCGTGATGAAACGTGCTGATTTGATGCTTGTTAGGTTTGAATTCGGAGTCTTGCATCCAACGACAACTTGCATGTCATACCCATCTCGTGGACACCTGCATATGCACCATGCAGCCAGTGTAACAGACTCATAATCTACGGAGTATAGCTCATCAAAAAGTTCCTTGGGATTGTCCACATTATAAAGTGACGTATGTAGATACTCTGTACAACAGTGCCGCGTCTAGGAGGGTATACAGACATACACACAGCACCCATTCAATAATCCAATCAGTTTACATGCTCATAGCGTCGATCTCACAGAGATCAACGTCCATTTATCGGATTTCCGGTCATGGATTACTCTTCCATCGTCTTCCAGCTTGAGGAGCACTTGGCTCACTCCGTAAGCGGCCGGCAGATGCAGATTCTCCGGCACATTTTGGTAGATAACCTTGACAAGCTCCATCGGAGTCCAGGAGCTGGGTTTGCGCTCCGATGACTCCGTCATAGGAGAGGCTTCTAAACTCCCGTATTCCAAAACACGCAAGATTTCGTTTTCTCTTTGTTGTCGGTGCTTGATATATTCGGCTATTTTCGTTTTGCAATCTTCAATGATCGGACCGTGACCCGGGTATCCTGTTTTCGTCCCCCGAGCGCTCATCTTCTCAAGACTAGTCAGATAGACCCCGAGGTTCTCAAACACCGCTGTGCCGTGTCCTAATACATCTATTGAATTTCGACCTCAGTAACCTATGCACCGCAAGAAGGGGGAAAAAAAAAAGAAAAAGAAAAAGAAAAAAGAAAAAAGAAAGGAAAAGGCAAAAAAAGTGTGGAGAGGGCTCTGCAAAGACATCGTCGAAAGAGAAAACTCACTGTCGGCCGTAAACATGGCATTTTCCTCCTCTAGCACAAATGCCATATGATCACTGGCATGCCCCGGCGTATAAAAGGCCGTCAACGTTGCCCCCTCGACCTTGAAAACTTGCCCATCATGTATATCCTCCTGGCCGCCGTCTGGCTGATGTTTATATATCTTCACTTTAGGACATAATCTCGACAAATCTGCCACGCCACCGATATGATCGTGATGCCAGTGAGTAAGCAATGCTTGACTCACGGTGGCTCTCTCCGCCGCGAGCACCGATTTTAACGCTGCGATCCAACTGGGTTTGCCTTCGCCCGTGTCGATAAGCAGCCGCTGGGGTCCACGACCGACGAGATATGTATTTGTACCTGGTTTTAAAGAAAGTTAGCCCCGTTTACCCATGGTTTTGCACCCAAGAGGCGCAAATGAAAAAAAAAAAAAAAAAAAAATCCGCTTTCATTTCAAGCATGGGATGATTCTCCCGGCGAAATGCAACTACTAACCTTGCAACGTGAACTACCGCGATATCAGTAAATCCTCAATAAGCAGTTCTCCAGTTGGAAGATGAAATGTCACTATGACATACCTTGCCGGGATTTCCGGCCAAAATTCTGATCACCGACGCACTCAATCTCTCCACCTCTGGTATCGATATCAACTGTACTGCCATGTCTTCTTCCCCGGATGACTTCTAATGCTCCCCGGTGCACCGATAAAGAGCTACTCGCGGAGCCTTAAATGTCCTTACAGCATTTATCTGTATATGGCTTGGGAGAGAAACGATGCGCGATGACCAGGAGCTTGGTTAAACCGTGGAAAATCAGTCGGCTTAATTGAAAAACAGACGTGAGGAGGGAGTGGCTAAATAAAAATGTAGAGAACGAAAGGCTCTTCGACCAAGAGTTATAACTAATTTAGATACCTCGCACGCTGTTATACATACACTTGTCCCTGCGCCTTGCGCCAGTCCCTGCTGGGAGCGTCTCCCTCGGCACGAGGAAAGTCATCAGCCCTTTTTGCACGCGGGGCTTTTATGTACGCTGGTGACAAGTCCCCGAAGCTCGGCTGCAGGCTGATTACATAACTAACATAGATAACGAGTTTAACGGATCTGGGCTTGATAATGTCGAGTCCTAGAGAGACGCTTTGAAGAACGGGGTAATGGGCTTCAGAATGGTTTACAAACTCGTAAAGGAAGGTTTTCAGAAGACATAATTGTACAATGAATTGAACATCGTAGACGACATTTTTAAGGGCTGAACAGAAAAATAGAAACATCAGAAGACAAAAGACAAAGAGTATATACAAATGTGAGACACCAATGAAACCCCAAAAAGTGAACATGAAGGGATAGCCGGCAAAACATCCTTTCTCTTTTCCACCCGGGCTCTATATTGTTGCACAACAATCAAATCGTCTCTAGGGTGAAAAAATGATTACCCCCCCAATTGCACGTCCTCCGTACGCCAAGGCAGAATAAGCAAACATACATTTCCGGGGGGTTTGAAAGATGCACCCTTTTTGGTCATAATTTACGGCCCTCAATTGCTAGGTAACACCACTCCTACCAATAGTGGTCCTTTTAGTGACAAGTGACCACCTGAGGACCGGAAACTGGTATTATATAGCACGTTGTGACTCGAAACCCCGCAACAAGAGCCGAAAGTTCGAAACCGCTTCGGGCTCAACGTTTATGCTCTCTGCTTGGCCATGGTGTTGAGAGCGCTTCCGTCCTTGAACCACTGGAGTTGAGACTCGTTGAAGGTGTGGGACAATGAGACATCGAATGGCTTGCCATCCTTGGGGTGGACACGGAGGGTGATAGGCTTGCCGACAGCGAGCTCAGTGCACATGAGGTCGACGGTTGCGGTTGGTGGGATTCTGTCGTAGTCGGCGGGATCAGTGAAGGTGAGAGGCAACATTCCTTGCTTCTTGAGGTTGGTCTCGTGCTAATGAAAAGTTAATTTTGGTAAACATCAAAATGAATAGCTCCGGCAACTACTCACAATGCGGGCGAAGCTTCGGGTGATGATGGCAAGACCACCAAGATGTCTGGGTTCAAGAGCAGCGTGTTCTCGGGAGCTACCTTCACCGTAGTTCCAGTCACCAATCACAACCCATTTAATGCCCTTAGCCTTATAAGCACGGGCAGTATCGGGAACACCGGCGTATTCTCCGGTCTGGAAGTTCTTGACATTGTTGGTTTCTCCGTTCTCGGCATTCACAGCACCGATAAGCATGTTGTTGGAGATGTTGTCAAGGTGACCACGGTATTTCAACCAGGGGCCGGCCACTAGAAAAGCTCTGTTAGCAGGGGCGGCCAAAATTTACTTTACAGGTGGGTTATAAACTTACTGGAGATATGGTCGGTGGTGGTCTTTCCTTGAGCCTTGATCAGGATTGGGATGCCCTTGGCATCCTTTCCATCCCAGGGTTTGAAAGGCTGGAGAACCTGGAGGCGGTCACTGCTTGGAGAAACGTCAACCTGAATCGAGGCTCTGTCCTGGGGTGGGGCCTGGTAGGTGTCACGGCCAGGATCATAGCCCCTAGCTGGGAGACCTTCACCAGTGGGAGGAGCAAGCTTGAATTCCTTTCCATCCGCGCCCTTCAGGGTATCGGTGAGTGGGTTGAAGTTGAGGGTGCCGGCAACGGTCAGGGCAACAACAAGGTCGGGCGAGGTGACGAAAGCGTGGGTGGCAGGGTTGGCGTCATTTCGTCCAGTGAAGTTTCGGTTGTAGGAGGAGATGATGGAGTTCTTCTCGCCCTTCTTGACGTCCTTACGATCCCACTGACCGATGCAAGGGCCGCAAGCATTGGCAAGAATGACACCTCCGAACTCCTCGAGAGTCTTCAGCTGACCATCACGCTCGATGGTGGCGCGGATCTGCTCGGATCCGGGGGTAACGGTGAAAAGAGACTTGGCCTTGAGTCCGTGGTTCAAGGCATCACGGGCGATGGAAGCCGCGCGGGACATATCCTCGTAGGAAGAGTTGGTGCAAGATCCGATAAGACCAACCTTCAACTCCTCTGGCCAACCGTTGGCTTTGACGGCCTCCTTGAACTTGGAGATAGGAGTGGCCAGATCTGGAGTGAAAGGACCGTTGATATGAGGCTCAAGCTCGCTCAGGTTGATTTCAATGAGCTGGTCATATTCGGCACCCTCGTCCTCACGAAGACCCTTGGAGTATGTGCGAGCAAAGTCACCGATAGCTTGACGCTTCGTGGCCTTCAGGTAATCATACATGCGCTCGTTGAAGGGGAAAACGGAGGTAGTAGCACCGATTTCGGCACCCATGTTACAGATGGTTCCCATACCAGTGCAGGACAGAGAGTCAACACCAGGACCGTGATATTCGATGATAGCACCAGTTCCACCCTTGACGGTGAGGATACCAGCGACCTTCAGGATGATATCTATTAAATCAAGTCAATATCCGGATCGTGACAAAATTCTGACTGGCAAATTACCTACCCTTTGGAGCAGTCCATCCGGACAATTCACCAGTGAGCTTCACACCAATAACCTTGGGGGCCTTCAGTTCCCATGGAAGTCCAGCCATGACGTCGACGGCATCAGCACCACCAACACCAATAGCAGCCATACCGAGACCACCACCGTTAGGAGTGTGAGAGTCGGTACCGATCATGAGACCTCCGGGGAAGCAGTAGTTCTCGAGAAGAATCTGATGGATAATACCGGAGCCGGGCTTCCAGAATCCAATGTTATATTTTGCGCAGGAAGAGGAAAGGAAGTTGTAGACTTCTTTATTGATCTCGTTGGCTCTGGCAAGATCCTTATCTCCTCCAAGCTGAGCCTCAATCAAGTGGTCGCAGTGCACGGTGGTTGGGGTAGCGACTGAGGGCATGCCAGCTGACATGAACTGCAAGATGGCCATCTGGGCTGTGGCATCCTGACAGGCAACGCGATCCGGTCGCAGCTTCAGGTAGGACTTTCCACGCTCAATCTCCTGACCGTGTGGGTCATCAAGATGGGAATAGAGAATCTTTTCCGCGTAAGTAAGAGGGCGATTCAGACGAGCTCGGACAATGTCCAAGTTCTCGGCCATCTTTCTAAAAATCGTGGACATTTATTAGTAAATGCACGCTTCAAGAAAATCGAGGCGCCGGCTCAGTTCCACGATCGGACCAATGGCCACTTGGAAGGGCCTGATTTAAAGCAATTGCAGCGAAATACAACATAGCTGCAAAGTTGCACACTGATTAAGATGAAAACATACTTATAGTTAATGTGGTTACCCTGCAGTAGAATGTTAGCAATTGCACGTTTGATCACAGCCGCCTTCATCTTGGTGAATGAATATTGCCCAAAGAAGCTCTGGGGGACTTGCCTTCTCCCAATTGGTCATCTCGACCTTCTTGTCAAGCGGAGAATCAGCGACAGTGGCCATACCCCGCGCTCCAAGGAGCTGGTGAGAGAAAGAATTACAGTTAGCCAACGGTCAGATTCGACGATAATAAGAGGGCTGGTGAGCCCTCCCCCTTGCGGGGTTCTCTGTCCAGCCGAAAGTTCACACTTACGAGGCGAGATTTGGATGCCTGCAGGTGGGAAAGAGTCAGTCAAAGACACCATCGAAAGTCGGCCCTCGCAGATGGCCATTGAAAGGGATACGGCGAAGATAACACGTCGTTGGGGGGAGGAGGGGAAACATACCAAAGCACCCACACGAGTGAGCCTAGTGCTGATCATGACTGCGGATTCCTAGGCAAGTGGTCTAAAACAGTTGTTCGTGGCACATCCAATGTCGAGGCAATCTCAGCTACTCGACGAAGGCCTTTGATGCAGGAGGAATAGAGGGATGAGAAGGGGAATTGCTCTGGAGAAACGATTTTCGAAGACCGAGAAGAAAAGAAAGGAAGAATAAAACGCGGAAGCTTGGTGCTGTTCAAGTGGAGATGCAACTTCGGCCCATTGTAACCAAAGCGGTTATGAAACACCTTGAAAGGGTCCTTACGCGTTTGGACTAGGCGTATCCTTCCGACGGCTGGCTTGGTCGGCTCCGTTTCTGGGCCTCGGCTGTAATTCGTTCGTGTTCCGTACCATACACATACGGTAAGTTACATCGGTGGATAGCCACGGCTACGAGCAAGCATGTGTCAGCAGCGGCGCTTCGCTGTGATTTGCGGAGCCAAGGCCCCTCAGAAAAATTTCGACTGACCTGCAGACCATGAGTTGAAAATCCGCCGGCGCTGATTGGCGGTCCGGCGGGCATTCCTCATGTCCGTGGCCTGCAAGGTGTGAGCCTGTTGTCGTCTGCGCGGAATGACATAACCACCGGGACAAGCCTGGGCGGTACCATCTCTCCGCTATCCTGCAATGGAGGCAATGGAGCGCTGGCTGGAGCAGCTGTTTGGCCCGATGAATGTCCGAATCATACGGACGACATGCGAGCGATCTTCGCGGCCAACCCGAGAAACGAGAAGTTATCCCTGTGGCGTAGGCTCTGTCGTTCAAATTGTTTCTATGACGTTGCTCGGGCAGCCTTTGAACAAAGGCGCTAAGTTCGTTCGCCGGATATTACTTCAGCCAACCTCAAGGGCTCAGGTTCTTTGACCAGATGCATTCGGCTTGCGTTTCTAGAGGCCTTGGATTTGAGAGCCCTTTTCCCCCTTGGTGTTTCGTCGCTGGAGAAATGCCTGCCGCTTGATAAGAAAAAAAAAATATCCCCACTAAAACATGCATTGCTACCTGACCCTGGAACTTGGCTATCGGCTTAATGCGATCCTCGGGATTACTCGCTGGTTAGTCAAAAGGCCTCATATCCCTCTCATATTTCAAGCGAGAACTATCAACAGAACCCTCGACTAGGTGACCTCCCGGTTCGCGAGAACTTTATCTCGCTTCGGGAAGATTGCATGCATAGCCGGTCATTCTATCGATTTTCTTTATTCGCCTTTCATTCTCATACATCCACTGGCGATCCTTTCTCTATTAGATCGTCGAAGTACGAAGTAGATTTACCAACCCGAGTGGCTGGGGAAGTTGGAAGCAACCAAAAAGCATCATTCCTCGTTGTTTTCATGGTCTTTTCGAGCAGTGAATATCGGAAGAGTTTGAAATTGCTGACCTAGTTAATTGTTCAGCAATGTAGTTTGCCATATCACTGCGGCTGTAAAATGTGTGATTGTAGTTACCCTCTACTTATATATTTATTATTTAATATTGTTGCAAGCCCGAATGCCTTTCCATTGGATATTTTCAAAGACACCTTTGATCCACGATACTTCGCGTTGATATCGGGGTTTGTCTCGCAAAACCCCAAGGACAATGCCGAGAGGCGCAGACAGCGTACATGGGCCCAGAATTTGCATCTTCTCTTGTAGACAGTACTCTACCGACCCACAAATATTCCGGGCCAATGGCATATAATTCGAGCATTTCCCCAAAGATGGGAGCCGCCTCTGATTTTGCGTGATTCGATCATGACTATCAATACTGTCGTCGCCTTGCTCGTCGATTAAGTTCGCATCAATCGACCGTATTAGCTGATAAAGGTCGCAAATCCCAGACCAGAGCATCAGGAGTGCTGCCCAGTACATCATTAGCGTTCCAGCTGTTCTCAGGTCCGCAAATGATAACTTTACAGCCGGAAAGAAGTCATCAAAAGGGCTGGCGCCGATTGAAGGCTCTCTTCGCGATGACGATGGCCAGAAGAGCGGAGCTGGACCCGACGACTCAAAATCATCGTAGAGGGCTTGAAGCGTCTCGTTGAGTTGCCAACACTCAGTAACAATGTCATATGCAAGCCACAATTGCTCCGCTGGCCTCATGTGTGAAAGGTTATCGCTTCGACCAAAAATCTTGGGCGCTTGTGCAAGGCAGTCGAGAATGCGATCCATGGGTGTTTTGCTTGAATCCTGCCACGGGATTTCCATCCACTCTCGTTCCGCTAGAAAAGTCGGAGAGTGGGCTTGCATCGCATAGAAGATCTGATATCGAGTTAGTGCGCTGTCAACTCCTTCCAGGCAAAGTGTCTAAAATGTCAAACCCACCGCCTGCGCCCTAACGGTGACAAAAAGCAGGTGCCCCAAGCCCGATCTATGGGCTTGCACTCCTCGGTGCTGGACTAGTGATACAAGGCCCTTGCAATGACTTTCGTAACCGCTGCGCCCTTCTGCCGGGCACTCTAAGAGCTCGTACAAACTTAAGGCCAAGCAGGCTGCCAGCGTCTCATCCTCATACATTAGCGCCCGGTTATACAGAGCTCTCTGAAGTTCGTAAAGGCTTCGGGTGTACAGTTTCAGGCTTTCCATCACCATTGAAGTATCTCCATACACGCGGCCGAGAGCTATAGTAGAGAGCGCCAAGGCCGATATCTCGAGGGCCTTACTTCTCATCGGAAGATTAGGAAGCAGCAGCAACCAATACCTATCACTTCGGATTCGGCAACTTTGTATCGCAGAGAGACAGTGCAATCCAAATGCATTCAAGACAAACTGCCGTTTGCTTGCTCTAAAGACTGTATCCACACCGGCGCTATTAGGACTGCAAACCCCATCATTGCAACGGGAGATTGTAACATGACTGCGATTGACGGTGGAAGTCACAGTCAAAGCTGCATCACCTCCTAATTTCGAAGTGGATGAAGTTTGCTCGGGTACGGTGTATCTCTCTTTGGCTCCAGGATTTACCAGGACAAAAATGCGCTCTCGCTGATAGCCGGCGCACACTCGATTGGACTTGGTGCACTGGATGCATACGGGCTTTTGGAGGCCGCACTGAATGGTTTGTTGAATTAGTTTTTGACCAAGAGCTCCCGCAGGTATAGAGTTGCCAGCACTCACCGCAATCTTGCGCCGCCTGCAGGTATGGCACCCCTTAGATCTGCCTGGCACCCCTACCATTCAGATTGTCTATGTAGCAGATTCTGTTAATTCAAGTACCAAAAAGGGAATGATATGGCGAATATAATGTGGCGAGGGCATGGGCGATCGCTTCGTACTCTGTGTGTCTTCCGCCGCTTTTGCCGTCCTCATGCCGAAGCTGGAGACGCCCAATCCAATGGATGCCGTCGCTCCTGGCTGGGTCGATGCGGCTGAGATCCGATGGTTCGATTTTGGCGCTAAATTAGTTAAATTCAATTCCTGCACTATTCCTACTTAGGGCTCATTCTGCGAGGCACGTGATATACTTCCCAGATCGCTAATTTCAGGCCAATATCAAACAACCAGCTCGCATTGAAAGCGTCAGCATCGAGATAATCTTTGTCCTATTTGGGACTTAAGGTGCGAATATACTTGCAAATCAGGAGCCCCTCCGCCCCAATTCCTACAGGAAGAACTATGTATCTGCTCGAAAAACGTGAAACATGGCTACCTCTTGCATCTATAAAAGGATGCCAGAACCCTGGGGAGTTGGACAGAGCAAATTCACCAACTCACTCATTTCTACTTCCTCTATAAGTCTCCGAAGGTATTTGGAGTAGGCTGTAATTATGCTCAACGACCACTCTAAGGCGAGTATTGCACAGATACTCTTCTACCTTCCTGCCCTCGTGTTCACGGGATACCTTCGCTGGCACCGCCATGGACGCCCAAGAATGGCATGGATTATCCTCCTTGTGTTTACAATCAGTCAGTTACTATTCCCAGTCACCTTAAGTATCTATTTCATGTGACTTAGTTACCGGTACAGTTCGGATTGCATGTGGTGTTGTGGTGATAATTTATGAGAACAACCAGAATAACGACGGTTTATTGGCTGCTTCAACCATCCTTTTGAATGCAGGAGTATTTCCTCTTATTGCTGCAACCATTGGCCTTATCAGAATCATGTATGTGAATGGTTGACGGGGATGTCTTCAGCATGTTTTCCCTTCCCAGCCCTGGCCCGCTAATAGATAGACTATAGCACAGCCTTAGACTTCCAAAATAGTCCTGGAGTCCGCTATGGTTTGATCCTTTCACGGATCTTCTTTATTGGTGGTATTTTCGTTATTGTCGCTGGTGCCTCCATTGTCGGCGATACCGATCATCCAAAAAAGGTGTCAACTGGCTCGGACTTGGTGAAATCCGGCTATATCATTCTCGCAATATTTGTGGCCACGCTGCTTGGATTCCAAGCCTATTTCTGGTTCAAGCGCTCAGGTCTTACTCAAACCAGTGTGACGGTAGGCTTATCCCTATTGCCACATTGAGTGCATAGTTTCTCCTATCATCGAGCACTAAGAGCAGAAAGCTAATGACATAGAAGGTTCTCAGAGGCATCTCCACTGCAATGCCTTTTTGCCTCGTTCGTCTCACATACCTATTTTTGTCCATTTTTCGCCCATCAGAGCCCAGGTGGAACGAATTACTCGGAGACACTGCACCGTATGTTGTCATGGGGCTATTGATGGAGTATGCGGTTGTGTGCATCTACATCTTCACTGGCTTTCAGATTCCGCCGAGTAAAAAGACGAGGGAAGAATTGCTGGCCGTCTAATTCCACTAAAAGGGGTGACCCGGCTCTCCTAAAGTGCGGATTCTAAGCAGAAGGGACATCGCCCTGTGGATCCGTATAAAGATTCATTGACTGACAGAGTGACCCGGTGACTTGCCAAAGGCCATCTGAAAGTGGTAAAGGGACGGTGATAATGGGTAGTTTTTTGTAGATGTTAATTTTGCTATGGATACATGTGCTTTTTACGCTGAAATTTGGTTTGGCATGTATAATTTTAACTGCTTTATATCGCACTCTTTTCCATTACATTTTGAATCAGGGAATGAATCGTCGGGAGTGAAGAGTCCTAGCTGTAAAGTTTCCCTTTGAAGGGGTTGGGAAGAAGGTTTAGCAAGTGGGCACCTGCAAATTCAACTGGGACGGCGTAATTTTGATCCGGGGCCAAATTTTGTTATCGATAGTGTCCCCGTAATCGATTCATGGAAAGACGAAAAGGATCTACGGAGTGCCCGGAGCTTACAATACAGAAGAAATAAAGGCCAGGCTTAGGAGCAAGAATGGGTGCCATCAGACGATCTAAAACTAAACGGCGAACAAGGTGAACTCCAACGCGCGCCCGGATTTCAGCTGATGCTAATTACTCTACAGGGACTACGACCAGGTCCGCAATGACATCGACTCAGCGAGGCATCTAGAGTTATATAAAGAGACAAAAGATGTGGAAGACTTGCCCGGTTTAGGTCAATATTACTGCGTTGAATGTTCGAAATGGTTTGAGAGCGAGTACAATTTAACAGCACACCGGAAAGGCAAAAACCACAAACGAAGGTAAAAAACGATCGGATCTCCGGATTGGAGCCTTTGCACGATGGGATGCTAATCATATGGCTAGAATTCGTCTATTGAAAGAAGAACCACATACACAGAAACTAGCCGAAGCGGCGGTCGGATTGACGAGTGATAACGGGAAGCGTGGTGATGGAGATGCGATGCAGATTACCGAGTCAAACGAGGGTTGAAAATGTTGCCGTTTGACTTACAAGAATGGCCCCTAATGCGCCATCAGATCAGCACAGGTACAGTAGAGTCGCTGGATGATATATGTTGGCGTTGTCGTTTCGAGACGGGTTCTGCGAAGCGCCTCCAATCCCACGGAATCCCCATCGGCGGACGTTGTCAATGTCCAAAGTCATACAGACTACAGCTAGCTTAGCCCTCAGGAACCCAAGAAAGTCACTTGGAAATGTGGAACCACCAACTAGGATGATGCGTATGGTTAAAATCATTGGAGATACGGATACCAACCTTCACGAACGGTGGCCGCGATCTCTCCGACCTAGATTTTAATCTAGATTTTAATATGGTTTATACTGGTACAGAATAGTTAATGAAGCTTAAATTTTCTCTAAAATTTGAGGTAGATCACGGGATTGTTCGAAGGCTTTCATGATCCACTCGTAAGTCGCCCACTGGGATAGTCAGCGCATGATGGAGATTCAAGTGCTCGTCAAGCTTCATACCTGCACAGCGTTCACGATAAACGCTCGAATACTACACACTCCAAGCCCTCGGTAGAAAATGCTCAGGCCCTCGGAGCGGTATGCTTGCCTGGTTATCTCAACCGAATTCAATATCCGGCCAGTCGTGGGGGTCTGAGAGTGGGATGCACTGGCCAGCAACAGGTGTCTATCCGGAAGGATGCTACCCAAACGAGCTCCTGGAAGAGATTGAGCCTGAAGCCTCGTTTTAATTACATCAAGTGGAAAAACAGATGCCCACGTTACAACACCTGCAATTCCACCGCACAACAAAATAGTGATGGCTTCTTGTTGCGAACTTGGCCCTCCGGAGTCCATCAATCGCTTGCAGAGTTCGTAAGACCAAAAACTAAAGAATAAGTTGGCGGTCAATCGGACGGAAATCGATAGCTTTCTAGAACGGAGGCAAACGCACTAAAAGCCGTATCCCACAGAGTCACGGATACTTGTAACTAGGCCCCCGAAATAAAGACCTTTTGGGCCTGACTTGCGTAAGATATCCTTTGCAACGGCCCAGGAGGAAACAGACTGATGGCTGCTGAGTTGCGCACGACATTTGACGAGCTCAGTTGGAGAAGATATTGTCCAGCTTGCAAGTCCTCCTATTGCGCCTGCAAGCCAAATCTGAGATAACGGCACACCTTGCGGGTTTGTTGGGTCGGTCGTCGTTGGCGATAAATACATCAAAGTCCGGTTATACGCAACGAACAGAAGGGCGTTAAGAGCTCCATATCCAAGAATCGGGGCCGCAGCGCCTGTTGAGACTAGTGATAAGTCGAAACAGTACTTTTACGTTCTTTGGGCGGGCCTAACCTCTGACAAGGGAGCTGGTGCCCTCAAATTGGCCCCTTATAGGATTGGGCGGGGTTATCGCATTCGCTGGGGTAGTATGTGAAGCCTGAAGGCGGACCTTGATAATATCCAAAGGGTTGCCGATGATGATACCAATGGCTCCGCTCAGGTAGCCAGCCCAGAAATCTGCGGACATAGGGCTTGACTGGCCATCCAGGGACCCAAGAGCAGCCGAATTCGTGTCATTGCCAACGAAATCCTCGTGCTCCGTAGAAGCCGGTAAGCTCTCCGCCTTGGCGGGGCAAACTGGTGGACCGAGGAAAGTCAGCGGGGCTCCGACGACTCGTTTCTGGGAACGAGCTAGTTGGTTAATCATGTGATTTCGTGGCTATTTGGCGACTGCCAGATTGACGCGCCATCATAAACACCACAGACGCGCCCCGGTCACTCTTCATCGCCCGTGATTCACGCCATTTTGAAAAGGAAAACGCTTGGAGTTTTTAACTAACTGCGATAATATTGACGAAGCCTGCAGCAGTTGCTAGATTAAATGTAAGGTATTCATACCGCTATACTCCTCTATGGCTGTTGACAACGTTTTAGGCACCGTCCAAAACCGTCTGCCCCTGGAAGCAATACCTTGTCGAAGCCTTCTCGCATATACGGAGGAGCAGACACGTCGCTTGAAAAACTTACCAAGCCTTTCAAATGCCCCGGTTCGGCAACAAGGTCTCGAGCTTCAGACAAACCTCTGAGGAAGCGAAGGAAGGTCGACTATACAGAAGCGGGCGGCAATGGTAAAGATGGTGACGAACAGGCATGGATAAGTGAAGAGCGCACACCGCTTTCCAATCGTGACGTCAATAAGTTTCCTATCTATAAGGTTAAGGACAAGGAAATTGCGTTTAAGCAACGCTTTTCAATACCACTGATTGATAAGAATTCAACGAGCTATGACCCTGGACGCCCGGCACCGCTCTTGGGAATGAGAAGAGGCGCCACTTTCGTTGTGAAACCTCTCCATGATCCGAGTGGAGAGTTTGCTATTGTCCTTTACGACCCTACTGTGGACGAGAAGCCGGAATTCAAGCCCGAAACTGAACAAAAGCAAAACGAGGAAGCAGCTAAACCTAAGTTGAATGAGCCTCTTGTCCACAAGAGCCTAGCTGAGATTTTGGGTATAAAAAAGAATGTCGAGGAACGACCAAAAGTTCCGGTAGTTATCGACCCCAGGCTTGCTAAAGTCCTTCGGCCACATCAAGTCGAAGGCGTTAAGGTACGTAATGCAGCTTTTGCTTTCATGTGACGACATATTAACGACTTCAGTTTCTTTACCGCTGTACGACCGGATTAATCGATCCAAACGCAAATGGTTGCATCATGGCTGATGAAATGGGTCTCGGGAAAACGGTATGCGAAACTTGCTTCACCATTCCTAGCGTTGCTAACAGTATTCAGTTACAATGTATAACGTTGCTGTGGACTCTCCTTAAGCAGTCGCCCGAAGCTGGTAAGCCAACTGTTCAAAAAGTTGTAATCGCCTGTCCAGCAACCCTTGTGGGAAATTGGGCCAATGAATTAGTGAAATGGCTCGGAAAGGATGCTGTCAATCCATTTGTAATTGACGGCAAAGCTTCGAAAGCGGAACTCACATCTCAACTTCGACAATGGGCCATTGCCTCCGGACGACAAGTGGTCCGACCTGTTCTGATAGTGTCCTATGAGACTTTGAGACTTAATGTAGGGGAGCTGAAGGAGACCCCAATTGGCCTTCTTCTATGTGATGAGGGCCACCGCTTGAAAAACGGAGAGAGCCAAACCTTTACTGCATTGAACGGTCTAAATGTGGCGCGCCGCGTCCTCCTTTCCGGAACACCAATCCAGAACGACCTCTCCGAGTACTATTCTCTCCTGAATTTCACCAACCCTGGCGTGCTTGGGAGCAGGAGTGAATTCCATAAGCGATTTGAAATGCCTATTCTCCGGGGTAGGGACGCCGACGGAACAGAAGAGGAGAGAAAAAAAGGTGACGAATGCTTGGCGGAACTTCTTGGGATCGTGAATAAATTCATCATTCGGAGATCAAACGACATCCTCTCCAAATATTTGCCGGTCAAGTATGAGCATGTCGTCTTTTGCAACTTGGCACCGTTTCAGATGGACCTATATAATCATTTCATTCAGAGCCCCGATATCAAAAGTTTACTGCGGGGTAAGGGAAGCCAGCCGCTGAAAGCTATTGGCATTTTGAAAAAACTCTGCAACCATCCGGATCTCTTGAACTTGTCCGCGGACCTTCCCGGAAGCGAACAGTTTTTCCCTGATGATTATGTCCCGCCAGAAGGTCGAGGTCGCGACCGTGATGTCAAATCATGGTATTCAGGTAAAATGATGGTGTTGGATCGTATGTTGGCACGCATCCGCCAAGATACAAATGACAAAATCGTTTTGATTAGCAACTACACACAGACTTTGGACCTTTTTGAGAAACTGTGTCGGTCACGCGGGTATGGAAGTTTGCGGCTTGATGGTACGATGACCGTCAAAAAGCGGCAGAAATTAGTTGACAGGTTCAACGATCCTGATGGCGAGGAATTTGTGTTTTTGCTTAGTAGTAAAGCTGGAGGTTGTGGCATCAACTTGGTCGGAGCTAACCGTCTTGTCTTGTTCGATCCGGATTGGAACCCTGCGGCAGATCAGCAGGCTCTTGCTCGAGTTTGGCGTGATGGTCAGAAGAAAGATTGTTTTGTATACCGGTTTATCGCCACAGGAAGCATCGAGGAGAAGATTTTCCAGAGGCAGTCCCACAAGCAATTGCTATCGTCGTGTGTTGTGGATTCCGCCGAAGATGTCGAGCGCCATTTCAGCTTGGACTCTTTGCGAGAGCTGTTTCAGTTTAAGCCTGGAACCACCAGCGATACCCATGATACATTTAAGTGTAGACGATGTCGTCCCGATGGAACGCAGTTCATCAAAGCTCCAGCCATGCTTTACGGCGACACGAGCAGCTGGAATCACCTTGTCAACAATGGGGACAAAGGTCCAATGAGTAAGATTCAGGATCTACTATTGAGACAAGAGACATCCGAGAAAGATGTCAGCGCTGTATTCCAATATATCAGCCATTGATTTCTGCCTTTTTCAGGCATTGTCTAAGTTAGAATTTAGAGTAAACGGCATACATGCACATTCTTTTAGTAGTCTCTCAGCTACATTGTGGGCTCTCGTCGGCCGAGCTGATCTAGGCCATATGGAGAACCCTTTTGCCTGAATGGGAGCGTAACTCTTCTAGAAATAATAGTGTCCACCGGTAGTGAGAAGGGGCTGATGCAAAAAGTTTCCCCGGAAATAACAGCTGAGCTATTCTGGTTACGTCACCCCGCCTAAACACGCGAACCTCGTCGGTGCGCCTGAGAGCTTTTTCTGCTCGGCATTCGACTCGAATCGGCCACAAGAAGCCGCAAGACCGCATCATCACCTTGATAGGAGTTCACATGAGGGTCTTATGCCCAAATGGTAATGATTGGTGCATGCTGACCTGCTTCTTCCTGACCTTCCTAAGTCCAAACCTAATTCCAGAGCTTGTTTGATCGATAGCTCAATCGGCATTCGCCCTGCTCCTGAAGGCCCGCGGCAGACGTCCCGTCGATCATAATGAACTGTGCGGATAATTAAAGCAGTGCGATGTTTTTTTCTAGACAATGGCAACTGCGATTTATGTGGATCCAGCTATCCAGCGACTCTTAAATGACAAGCTTTATGACAAGAGGAAACAGGGTGCCTTAGAGTGAGAGCTACCATCAACGCTACAATCCGGCGATGACCAGACTGACGCCAAATACAGGCTCGAAAGAGTGATTCGAGAAGCCGTCGCAAAGGGAGATCATGTTAGAATTAGAGGAATAATCGATCAGCTATGCCGCGACTATGCCTACGCCGTTCATCAGCCTCACGCGAGAAATGGGGGGTTGATAGGGTTAGCTGCAGCGGCTATTGCGTTGGGATCAGTGAGTTTCAATTTATCATACAGAGTATATATATTGAAATGCAATGAAACTAACAGAGAAGGTAGGAGGAAGTTGCACCCTACCTTACGTCTATCGTTCCTCCAGTTCTCGCCTGTTTTACCTGCCAGGATGCTCGCGTCAGATACTACGCCTGCGAGAGCATGTACAACATTGCGAAAGTGGCGAAGGGAGAGATATTACTATATTTCAATGATATATTTGATGCTTTATGCAAAGTGGGTGTCGTGCCTTTGGTGGTTTGGTAGTAACGAAACTAACTCCCTACCTTTTGGGAATGTAGCTGGCTTCGGATTCAGAGTTATCTGTGAAGAACGGTGCTGAGCTTCTGGATCGCCTAGTCAAAGACATTGTAGCTGATTCCGCTGCTTCCTACGTTTCGGTGCTGGAGCCATCTCCCAAGGATGAGGATGAGAACGAGGAGCTCTTGGAACCTCCAACAGCGTTCTCGCTGGCAAGATTCATTCCTCTCCTCAGAGAACGAATCCATGTCAACAGTCCATTCACACGCAACTTTTTGGTTTCTTGGCTAACCTTGCTTGATACAATACCTGATTTGGAGCTTGTTACCTATCTGCCAGCGTTTTTGGCAGGCTTGTTTAAATTCCTTAACGATCCTAATGGGGATGTTCACACTGCCACCCAGGGGCTACTTGAACGGTTTCTTGGGGAAATTAAGAAGATCGCTCGAATTAAAAAGGGGATCGCCGAGAGTCGACGTGATCGAGATACCGGCCAGTCAAAAGATTCGATGTCAAGTGACAGCATGAGTGTGAGTTCTGAACGGAGCGATATAAATGAGCCGAGTGAAAATGCGATTGCGGATTCAGAGTCCGGGACAGTGAATGATGATCAGACTATCAATGTCTATGGTGACTGGGTTCCTGGACAAGACATTCATGTCGACCATCCCAAAATCCTGGAGATTTTAGTTGGGTTTGTTGACACTGCTTTTGGTATACGTTGGACTCCCTCTTTTTCATATCATGTCAGATTGAATGCACGTGCTTATGTTTCGAATAGACGAGGAGATTCAGTTGACGGCACTACGCTGGATTGATAGCTTTTTCGAAATAAGTCCCGAAGACATCCTCCAATTTGTTCCGCGGCTACTTTCACAAGTCCTACCTGCACTGTCAAGCGGATCAGAACAAGTATGCCAGGCTGCAAGCCGTGTGAACAACTCTCTTATGCAGTACATTGTCTCTTTACCGGAGGAACCCACTAATGATAGTCGATTAACGCCGCCTCCTCGAACTTCAACAACGAACTCTAAGGACTCAAATGAACGTAGAGGATCAAATCCCATGGGGAAACCTCCGAGTTCCACACCAGGACAAAGACCCTCGCGTCCTCAGTCAGCGGAGATAACCCCACAAAGTACCGAACAGCAGGCCCAACCCCAGCCAGCAGCAGATCTCGATTATGCAGCAGCAGTGAATGCGTTAACCCTCCAATTTCTCAACGAGAACGAAGCGACCAGGGTGGCCGCCCTTACATGGCTGATAATGTTGCACAGGAAGGCTCCTCGAAAGGTTCTAGCATTCCATGATGGAACGTTCCCAGCATTACTCAAAACCCTCTCGGACCCTGCTGAGGCTGTGGTGACGCGTGACCTTCAGCTCCTCTCCCAAATTTCAAGGAATAGCGAAGATAGCTATTTTACCTCTTTCATGGTGAATTTATTGCAGCTCTTTTCTACAGATCGAAAGCTTCTCGAAGTTCGCGGCAACCTTATCATCAGGCAACTTTGTATGAATCTTAGCCCCGAGCGCATCTATAGGACTCTTGCAGATTGTCTAGAAAAGGAAGAAGTAAGCTTTGTTTTGTTGAAGGCAGTATATCCATGCTAATAGCTTCAAGGACATTGAATTCGCCAGCATTATGGTCCAGAATCTAAATAACAACCTCATTACAGCACCTGAACTGGCAGATCTCAGAAAACGATTAAGAAATCTGGAAAGCAAGGTTCGTGATTTTATCTTCTATCTCGTGCTCTAGCTCAACATGCACTAGGAGGGGCAAACGCTTTTCATGGCTTTATTCAGGTCATGGTGCCACAATGCCGTGTCAACGTTCTCGCTCTGCTTATTAGCCCAGGCTTACGAGCAAGCTTACCACCTTCTTCAAATCTTGTAAGTTCCTATGGGAGTGATTTAGTCTAATTTTAGCTCTCTCACTGACAATTTGTTGCAGCGCTGAATTGGAGATGACAGTCAACATGCTTATCCAAATCGACAAGCTTGTTCAACTTCTAGAGTCACCAGTCTTCACATGTAAGTTCCTTATAGCATTAATTTGGCTTCTACATGTGGAACTCTAACTCATGGTACCGTTTAGACCTTAGACTTCAACTTCTCGAGCCCGAAAAGTATCCATACCTTTACAAATGCCTCTACGGGGTGCTTATGCTTTTGCCACAAAGCTCGGCCTTTGCCGCTTTGAAAAACCGCCTCAATAGTGTGAGCAATATTGGTTTGTTCCATACTGTTCCCAGGACGTACGTATCCCAATCCAACATAATATCTTGTTCCTCCCATGGCACTGGAATGTGTGGTTTTTTCCTTTTTTCTTTCTTCGACTCACAACCTTGATAGTCCTGGAATTGGCGGTTCTTCTACATCGTTAAGCTACGAACGACCCACGGGCAGACTCAAACGAGAAGAAAGTGTAATCCGGTGGGTCGATCTATTGGATAAATTCAAGATAGTGCAAGAAAGATCGAGACGATCACGGGGATTGGGCCAGCGAGAATTTGAGTCAGAAAAATACCCTTCCTCTATGGCTGTGGGATTGGCTTCTGCCGCTCTGGCCGATTCAAACAGTGGAAGGGAGAAGAATGAGGCGTCCGGTGGCGGAGCTGGTGCTCGTTCCGGTGAAACGGGTGCGCCGCAGAAAGGGACTGGACATAAGGCAAGATCATCGCTGGGGAATTTTGGTCGGCTGAGTAGTATCGGGCAGAGGAAGCTGAAGAAGTGAAATTTGGGGTGGGCAAAGTGGTTGTATGTCGCCCCAGGATGGACCGGGACACACATACGACTTTCCCCGAGTGAAATTTTTAGAGGTTGCATATGGATGCTGAATACCCTGTTGATAATTCCGCAGTCAGACGAGTTAATGTTAAAAACGGTGTGATAGATCCATGGTCCAGGTTGCAGCATAAGCAAAGAATGCAGTATATTTTTCAAGCCCATATATCGTCAGGAGAACATATATACATGAAGTTACATCCACGTACAATAACATGCATGCTGAAAGTAAATCCAAATTACAAATTTATCCATAAATGTGTTATAAACACGGCCAAAAACGAAAAAAAAAAGGTCTGTATAGGCGTCACAGTCGAATTACCAAAAAATGGGGATCCCTTATAAAATATTTTGTTTTAACATTTGTTCATTGCTCCTCGATAAAGCTTGACGTGTCCGATATATCCGGAGGTTGAATATATATATGTCGCTCGTTTGCTCAAAGGTCGACGTTCCCTTTTAATCGTTGGTCGTTTTGCAGGTGTCACCTCCATCGGAATTTGCTGGAGGATGATCTCCACCCGGAACCGGTATAATTCTTGGACACAGTCGCCGTGGAGGAGTAGGGTGACGAGCCAGTGCTGTTGGCGTAAACATATTCGCCGTCAACGTAAGTGGCTCCTGTGGTAAATGTGCTCCGATGTTTGCGTCGGGCATACCGCTGCTCAAGGCGGTAGAGTTCAAGTTCTGCGTGACAAAGAGGCGTTAGGACAAAAGAGCGAGTCCATTTTTCTCAGAGTCAGGAAATTGCACGAAAATGTGTTTGACATACTAGCATGTAGTTTATCGAGGAGGTTCATTTTTGTGGACTAAGGATTGGAACGACGTTGAGGGTTGGAAGCGATCGTGGGTATTGGTATGGCTTTTATTTACTCGTTGAGCAAAGGGCTACAACTTGTCCGTTGTGGAGTGCTCTCCGTCGTGCGAAATATGTATGTAAGTTGGTTGGAGTTGGATGACAGTCGGTGCATCGGACTCCCACAAGGTACCTCGTTGGATATTCTTTGGCTTCCCCGCTTGACTATGAAAAAGGCATTCCTTTTTACCCCGACGGGTAATGCAATTGAGTGGCTCACGATCAAAAATGAACCAGTCTCTGAGGGGATTTCTAGGGAGGGTCGTTTGCGCACAGGATATCGGCGGCTCCGGAGTTCTAATTGATCGAGACAACCATCAAACTAATGAACGCTGAATCGGAAAGGCGAATGGCAATGGTTTGCGGGCGAAGTGCAGGGTGTTTGTGAGCTGATGATTCGATTCAGCCGCAGCGCGACGTTGGTGTTATACAACAGAAAGGAAGGAAGAGCGAAGACTGGATTTAAACAACAATGAACGGACAAATGGTTGGTCTCTGAAAGAATGAACGAACGAACGGAAAATCAAATAATGAGGGGAACGAAGGCCCAGCTTGTGGTCGGCTGTCAGGGCGAGCGAGAGAGAACGGGCTGGCGAAGGGAGGGATGGCCTGGCGAGGAAAAGGGACGGGCGGAAAGCTTAGCTAATAGCGGCTTACCTAAGTGGGTGGAAACACGCGATGCTTAGACATATCGGGCTAGGCTGGAGGATCCGGCTGGAAGTTTATTTTCACGCCGAGAATCGCAGCAGCAAAACCGAGGCGAACTCAATCACGCTCTGGACGAGGTGCTGGTAGCAGCGCTCTCTCTTTGCTCCTGAGCGCATCAAGTCGCCATTATTGTCACTGTCCTGACAACATGGCTGTGAGGATGTGTGTTCCGTGATTGGGCATCACGTTGCAGCCCTACCAGTCCGTTCGAACCGCGATCCGATGAAAACCCACCAATAAAAACCCTGTTCCTGAGCAGTGTTTCCCGGGGCTGAACCCCTGTCGCAAACCCGCCTAGAACTCCATTCCGACAGCGAATCCTCCGTCCTCCGGGCACAGCCGATAGAACGGAGTCTCGTCTTTTTTTTTGGGGGGGGGGCTTGGATCCGAAAACCCAACCTGTTGTCTTTTTTAGATAACTACTCCGTATGGCCGCTCGCTTCATAAACTTTGGCGGGTTGCGGGGTAGAAGGCATTCGATCCCACTCAACTGGAGCCAAGAGGGGCATTTGGCCGCGCTTGTTGCCAAAGACTGTTCTACAAGCCGTGGGGAATTTAGTCTGTTATGCATACATTCACCGTTTGGCGACACTTATTTTTCACCAGGAATCCCTGAATCATTATATCAAACCCGGAAATAAACCTCTATATCCAGAACCATGCAAAATGCATACCACATGCATTGAAACTTTTCGTTTGTTGGTATGTATGTATATGTATGTATGTATGTATAACACAGATACATACATACATACATGCAATGGGTATAATGGTGCTGATTGTCTGCTACAATCAATGTGGAATCGGTGGATCCTGCGGTGGCTGTGGTTGTGATGAAGAGTCCTTGACCCGATCCGGCTGTTCCAATCTCTTTTCTACTTCGAGCTCTTCGATCTCGATTTCTCGCTCATGCTCAGGGTCCTGCGCGAGCGACGTTTCTTGCGCTGTAACCGGTCAACTTAGCATATGTGTGCACGGAGCGTTGTAAGGGGAGGGAAGGCATACCTTTCCAGAGGTCTGAATATACACCTCCTTTTTCTAGAAGCTCGGTATGGTTTCCGGTCTCAGCGACGTGGCCGTCCTTTAGGACTAGGATTCGGTCGCTGTCGTAGATCGTACGCAACCGGTGCGCGACGAAAACGCTGGTTCGAGCTTGATCCTTGAGGATGCTGTTAATATTTTGAAGCAGCGCTTGCTCTGTGTATGTATCGAGCGCGGATGTCTAAAAATGAATACCACGATCAGTTAAAGAACCTTCTGTTAGAACGAGAATGAGACCGACCGCTTCATCAAAGAACAGTAGTGGCGGGTCTTTCAAAATCAAGCGAGATATAGCAAGTCTCTGCTTTTCTCCTCCAGATATCATCATGCCACGTTCGCCAACCGGGGTGTTATAACCAGCCGGTAGGCGCTCAATCAACTCATGAATATGTGCCCGTTGCGCGGCCTTTCGTACCTCCTCCGGCGTTGCATCAATTCGACCATAGCGGATGTTGTGCTCAATGGTATTGTTGAAAAGTGGAGTGTCTTGCGGTACGACACCTATGGATTTCCTCAGACTATCAAGCGTGACATCGCGTATATCTTGCCCATCGATCAAAATTCGACCTCCCTGCACATCGTAAAACCGGAAAAGCAGCCGTAAAATAGTCGATTTACCACATCCACTCGGGCCAACGATAGCGAACTTTTCGCCCGCAGGGATGGTAAAGCTGACATTCTTCAAGACGGTTCGATCTGGATGATAACCGAACGTGACATTCTCAAATCTTATTTCTCCGCCCTGTCGAAGCTGCAGCGGCTTCGCATTGGGCAACTCCTTTATCGTGACGTTAACCTTTTGGAGGTTGAAAAGTGTCTCCATATCCAACAATGATTGCCTAAGTTCTCGATATACTGAACCAAGGAAGTTCAAGGGAACAGACAGCTGGAATACAAGCTGATTAATCATCACGAGGTCTCCCACTGTTAATGAACCAGTTGCAACTCCGTCAGCACCAAAATACATCATCGCTGCAAGTGCACTCGAAAAGATCATGTTTTGACCAGAATTAAGGAACGCTAGAGAAGTAGTGACTTTAATCGACGCATTTTCGTATGCCTTCAGAGCTTTATCATATCGGGAGACTTCGAAGGGTTCGTTATTGAAATATTTTACAGCCTCATAGTTGATTAAAGAATCAACTGCAACTGTTGCCCCTCGATTATCAGCAGCATTCGCCTGTTTCCGAAACTTCGTTCGCCATGCCGTAGTTGTGATTGTGAACGCCGAATATGCGACCATGGTCGCCGCTGTAATTGCCGCGAACTTGGGCCCATATTGGTAGCTCTGCCCCTGTTAGCATTGTATAGAACGCTGTAAATATGTGGATCAGTACATACCAATATTCCACACACCATGGATATCTCTAGGGCAGTAGGAAACACGTGGAATACCATCGAAGTGAGTAAAAAGCTAATTCCTTTTGTACCCCTATCTATGGCGCGGGTGAGGCCTCCCGTTTGTCGGCTCAAGTGGAAAGTAAGGTCCAAGCGCAGCAAGTGGTCGAATACATTCCGCGCAACCCTCCTGATAGCCTTTTGTGCTACCCCAGCAAATACGGCATTTCGAAGCTCCTGGAAAAATGTTGCGCCTATCCTCGTTGCGCCATCTGTGATAGTTTTCTCATCAGATTCGGTTTCGTAATACGTCGATAGGTCAGGGTACGCATACAAGCCACGATCATGGAGCCCGCAACGGTCCAGGCAGTGCCTCCAAGCGCTGCAAAATCGATATTCATGGAGTCCACAATCTGTTTAAAGTAAAAAGGTACGTTGACGTTCAAGATCTGTGACGTGATAAGCCAAATGATGTCCTAGAAAAAGGTAGAATATGTACCAAACACACCTTGCCTCCGATTAAGAGTGAAAGAGCAACGCCCACACGGAGCTTAGTTCCCCAATCATCCTAGAATTGCCCAATCAATAGAGAAACGGAGAAACTACGCCGGACAACACCCTTACTTTAGGCCATAGATATTTTGTCATTTCTCTCATGATGGCCCAATCTGCCTTTCTCTGAGCTTGTCTAGTCACCGTAGCCTCGCCGAGGAGGTCTGGTTTCGTATTTTCCAGTTTAGGGGCCTTGTTCTCCGGTGTAGCCGCATGTCGTGAAGCGTTCTGTGCGGCTATACTCGAAGTTGTAACCTTCTCACCACTATTCTGCTTGTTCAGTGCAGAGCCTTGCGTTGTAAATATCCGCGTTTGACCTTCAGGGCGTATATGTGTTTGGCGAAATAGCTTAAAGTGAGGGGCGCGGGATGTCGGAGGATAAGGAGATGAGAAGCGGCATCCAAATCGCGCTGCTCGGAGCAACATCTTGAGAAAGACTTGACCTCTTGCTCCAGCTGTAAAGGACTTCCTTTGCGAATCCACCCTATCGGGGCACCATGACGTGCGGAAGCCTCAAAATGTCCGCGGTGGTGATGAATGGTGTGCGGGAGACTGCAGTGTCAATTGTCAAAGTCAAGCAAGAAATGTAGCAAAAAATTTGAAAATAATACCTCAGCTATGGATCCGGAAGAATGAATCATGAATCGGACATAGCCCGACCAACTCCGTCTCGTCACTGTGATCCCGCACGCTGAGGGCTTTTCGATCTGCGACGGGGACTTTGCTTATCTGATCCGCCGCCATGTCCGCCCATGTTTGTTCTGTTTGCTTCCAACTCCATCCATCCCAAAAGCTGGACGGAAAATACTGTTTACTTGATTTGAATAACGACCAGAGAAAGCAAATGAGAATTGTATGGAACCCATGAACTACCTGGTCAGGAGAGGCTTTAGGCCTTCTGCCTGGAAGTATGGAAAATGGCGCCCCATTGGGAAGACCGTTTCAGAGCGAAGACGCATATCCATCCAACCCGTGCCCTCAGTTGAACCAAACACCGTTAATGCGAGCTATCTTCCGGCCGCGACGACTCCAAGTTCTGTGACGTCCCCGGGTTTGTGCATAGTCTCCAATGGTAATTTTATTGATTGTTAATATATATCCAAAGACGCCAGCTTCGAAGTCCTTGGCTCGCCCTATTCTCTCCTCTCCGTTTCTCTCTCCGCGTCCCAGAACCTATATACAAGACGCGGTACGCTTGTCGGGCTAACAGGGAAATCAGAAAATGTACCTTACAAGCCTCTAAATATCCTCATGTGATGCTTTCTGATCAATTCCTAAGGTTGTTTCTACCCTCAGGCTACTTGAGCCTCTCCGACGAGCTGCACTGCGCATGCCATTCCTATATCAAAAGGTTGTTATTCGTGGAAACCCACCGTGGAAAAGGGACTGGTCTAACCCGTTTTCATGACGTTAGATATCCTCCGCCAGTCCTGTTAACGCCCTTATTTCCGTCCGATCCCCAATAACTTCATTTGCTGTTGTTCAACTGGATGGTACGGTGGATTGGATGATTACACAACGCGATGCTTTACTTTCGTGGACTGGACACGCATTAACTGTGAAACCAACACTCAACAGAGAGCTAGTACGTGCGCTTGGAGGCTCCTTTCTACGGTTCTATAGAAGCTGACTTAGGAAGAGTTTGGTTCATTGGGGTAGTTCAAAGGTGACTGGACGTGGCCTGTTAGCGGTCGTGGGGAAAGGTCAGGTCTATTCAATTAATCTGAGAGCTGGGGAACGATATATTGCCCATCCTAGGTAAGCCTAGTCGGCCGTCGGATCCGTGGTTGAACCCCGTCTAATTGGGATTCCAGCAATGTCGTCGCATACACCATAAATTCTCACTGGCCGCGCCCGTTTCGGTTCAAATCAACTTCTCTAAAGTTCCAGATTCCGAACCTTGGGCTAGGCACTTTATTGATGAAATCTAATTTCCTAAGAAACTTGGCCGATTCGGACACATGGAAAGCCACTATGAGGATTTTCCACACTGTTCGGACGTGGGCGAGGAGAACTATCTGGGGGGATAGGGTAAAGCTTCCCATTATTTAATTATCTAGCCGCGGCGTTGAAATTAACTGTCGTCTAGTTGTTCTTACAATTTGAAGGACCAGCAACCGTTCTCATTCAGTCGCGAGCATCGCGAATAGCCGAGTCTCTGACGGCCCGTGAAGTGAATGAGATTGCGAGCACTCAACCAGGTGTTACCAGGGAAGCTATAGAAACCGTTGAGGGACGACTTGAAAAGCAATCGCCCCCACCTGCCAAAGATGACGGAGTGAAAACTGTGGGCCAGTCTGTTGCTTCTGTTCGACGAGATGGCAAGGTCGAATTCGAAAAAGTTGATGGAGTTTGAACAAAAACACGCTCTTCTAGAAAAAGAGGCTTGCCTGTTTGGATAGTCATAACTTCAGGAAGTGCTGTACTGTTAGTTCTATATACCTATTATCGCTTGTATTATATTCTACTTGCAATGATGATGATATTTTGCATTCGAAGCCTTCGGTAGTATTTCAGCATTGTTGACTTCAGTAGAGCACACAGTTTTTAAGATATGGTGACCAGGAATATTCCTCAATGCCCATGGGTTGGCAAACCGCGGGTGGAGAATTCCTACCTGCGACGCTCTGAGATGGATAGTAGGGACATGTCAATGAAGTATCTCACCGGATCCCGTCTACAAGGATCCGTTGGAGAACCCTGCTACCGATTCTCTAAACTTAGGCTTGCTAACCTGTATGACTAGCATTCTAATTTTACACCAGGAGCTTTCTAAAAATGGATCATGGTAGAAACGGGCACACGCTAAATTCCCACAATACCTGCCCTGCTCTTGAACCCAGGACGATATGTAACAAATAAAATTAAATTGGTTTACGCAACCCAAACATCCTTCCCAACTCCCTCGATCCAGTGACCAAGCTGGTTGACGCCAGCATCCCATTCCTTCAGCCGATTCCTCATTCCCTCAATTTGCTTCATATCCAAAACCTTCGGTTGTACCCAGTTGATTCTCGCAATTTGTGCAACCTGGTCAATCGAGCCCTTCAGTAGGCCCAAACTTAAGGCTTTCATAATCAGATGTTCGACCTCGTTCGGCTGAACCTTGGTTTCTTCCGACATCGCTGCGAATGTAACAGTCCGATCATGGGGTGGTCGACGGAATATCATTTCCGTTAGGGCTGAGAGGGATATTTTCTGATATAGAAAAACTTTGTGCTGTTCGAGGAGGGGATTTTTGCTAATGTTTCCTGCTAGAACATCATAGGCTGTCAAGTCACCACGGTTGAAAGCAAAGAGAAGCTCGCGGAGCCACGAATGTTGCGTTTCTTTGAGTGATTCGAGAATTGGATGGAGTAAGAGTTCGCCAAAGTTGTAAATCGTGTCAGATACGAGTGCGGCTATGCTAAGGTCATATGCTCTAGCCGCACGCTCTGTCGGTGTGAGCTCAACTATGTCGATACAGGCGAGGTAGAGGAGGGCGTTCTTGTAGTAGGATGCGAACTCCATTTTCGCCTAGAGCAAAGCCAACAGTTAGACAAACACGGGACAGAGGTAGTCACAGCCACGTACATGGTAATAATCAGCGTTCACTTTATAGAACGCTGCATGTACAACATTCTCGACAGAATCAAAAGAGTCTAACGCCGCCTGCGATGCATCAAGATCTTTCCGCGAACCCTCAAAGTCCTCGAGTCGTAACTTAACGGCAGCAACGTCTGCCATGGCGTAGACATAAGCATCCTGCGACCCAGGCTTGTTGACCTTATCCGCGAGCGCAGTTAGGAAGGATAGACGTTCCCCATCATCTAGTCAAGCTCCGGGTCAGCACCGCTCTTCGCCGTACTGCTCGCAAGAGGGATCATTAAATACCTTTACACTGCGTCGATGCCATTAACCCCAGAGAAACGAATTTCAACTGATTGATTTTATCTGCAAAAATAAGAATGAAATTCTTGAACATGGGTAGTCTCTGCGGTGCACTCTCTGACAGAGAGAAATATGTTATCAACGCGTTGGTCAGTTGATGCCATAGCTTTCGTTCCCAAAAGTCTTCGAACTCTAGGAATAGGGCTTGGGATTCGTCGGGAGCGAGCTCGCGCTGCTCGGTCAGGAACTCGGGAATCTTGTCGGCCTGCATCGCGGCGGAAGGAGCTTAGGGTACGGCTGAGCTGAGTACGGTTATAAAGGTTAAAATAAAGCCCTATCCTATAAAAAGCAAGACAAGCAGAGGGTCCGACTGGAGTGACAGACAAGTCTGCGAGATGGTTGTATAGGTTAACAGCTGGTTTTTACCAGGCCATTGAGGTTGGCAGTGATAGGTGGTGATGGTGGTGATGGATGCCAAGCTCGAAAGGTCGCTTCAGTCTCCCGTAACCAGCAAGCTCGCCCGCCTTGCTGACTAAGACATCCCGTTGCGATTTGCTCCGCCAGGTTGATTTGAAATACTTCTAATGCACTTGCGGACGGATGATCCTCACTTAATCATGTCATGTAAACGGCGTGCAGAACCAATGGTGTGTTGCGCGCACTTTATGCCGCACGTCCGGCTCTGTATCGCCCCTCTGGGATGCGCAAGCTCATCCAAAGACTGCAGTGTCTTAATTATTTCCCTTGAATATTTCCTTAAATTGGCGTGTTGGCTTCTCTCTCACAGATTTTGAGTCGCATTCGAACAACCTAATACGCTTGACGCAATATAGGATCAGCATTCTAGTTTTCTAGGGTGCCGTCTGCGCATCACGGTACATGATGCATGAAAAACCATAGATGCCAGACGAAGATCAGCGGAAACCTGAGACCAGTGCTAACTGAATCACGGGGATAGCAACTACGAACTTTCGGCGCAAACGCCTCCCCAGATCAAAACGAAATGCGACCAGCCACTCCCGTTGATGGATGCGGGTTGGGATCTGTTATGCTATTGTTGTCAGTGCAGATCCGAGTTCCCATCTAAGGCTAGAACAAGTAGTTAGATGTTCTGTTAGTGACCGAACAGGACACTAGCTGAGGAAAATTAGGTATTCAATGTCCTGATTAGGAAGCCTGTCCCGAATTTGAGTAACAACGCATGCAATTACATCCTTCCCGGCCGTTGCAGTGGGACACATTATCAGCTCCAACGCTACTTTCTCTTCCTCGAAGCCTGGCTGGTATTGAAAGCTGTGAGTCCGAGATCGTTCAGGCATAGATATAAGAGGAGGCTGGTTCCCCGGGTTAAGTTGTTTTTGTCTCGTGTTCAACTCGAACCAGCAATCCCAAACACATCCCCAGAAGATATACACTATTTTATTTTAACATAATACCAAAGTTATCATGAAGTTCAGCTCAGTTGCAATTCTCCTCTTAAGCTCTTTTGCCTCGGCAGGCTACATCAGCTTGAGCACGGCCAGTGGACGCAGCACCGACACCGGCGACGCGAACAAGGGTTGCTTTGGCCCTGTTGCGGGTAAAGGACCGTATAAGATTACCGCTCATGGTGGGCTCAAGCCGAAAGAGCTTAGGATCTACGCAGGAAAGGATTGCAAAGAGCCAGTCCTTGCAAAATGCAAGGCCCGTAAAGAAGGCGATTGCCAATCTCTCTCGGGCGGTAGCTCAAGTAAGTCAAGTCATAACTGTCTAGTCGGTTCGAGATGTGGTCTTCTCTGACGCTCTTCTGTGAAAGAAATGACTGGCGCTGTGTGGGGGTGGTTCGCTTGAGCTCCGGTGGGAGTCTCATGATGGGACGGATTGTACTTTAGGAGGAAATCCAGTGGCCGAATGAACTGGCAGAAATAACACATTTATCAGATTATGCATCCTCGAGTCCCTATGACAAGCCAGTGAACCCCTTTTCACGGATCAACTTGGGGAACTGATGAAGGAGCAATATCATTTCGTTAGGATTGCTAATTTATGTAAATGGAGCGTTGGATTTTCCTCTTATTGTCAACAGGTTGTGTGAAATGAGCATGATGGGAAAGTTAAACTGATATCTGAAAGTTTCGTGATCCTCTGAAGCAGTACCTTTTAATGCTTAATTTATCTTCCCATTAGTTGTCTTTCCGATTTCCGATGGCTACGGAATGTGATATGGAGTACTCCGTAGCTCCAGCTCAAATGTAAACATAATAGTGACGGGAGAGTGATCTGAAGAGCCACAAAGGTACGGAGCATAGCGCATTTAAAAATATGCCCATTTGGATATATGCCGCTAACGGAACCTTGCCTGTCCCAATACGCTCGGTTGAAGCTTGCTCCCACTCTCTGTGGCCTGGGGTCAACCATCAGAGCGTTGATATCGGCGTCCTGGTGAACGCCACAGAGAAGTGGCTAGAGCCTCAGTTCTGATCTAACCTAATCTGGGTTTAGTATGTTCCCTGATTGGGAATAGCGTTGCTTGTGGAGATTCGCGGGCATCAAGTCAGTTCAAGACCACAAACAGCCGGTTGTCGAAGTTCAACATCATCTCCGGACTGGGACGGCCAATTAACCCGCTGTTCGGTCAATTGGCTTCGTTTGAACTGACATTCTGTCCCATTTGAATTATCATCTTTGATGATTGTATAGCTGGGAAACAATGCAGAAGTGCCGCGCCGTGCAAGGCGCACTTGGCTCGAAAGCCTTCCGCCCTTCTCCCACTTCGTCCTCTCGTCTGCAGCCGTATACCCAAAAACGAAATGTACAAGATGTTTTTATTACTCGGACAGGAACCCCAATTATAAAAGTGCAGGGTGGACGGTAGGTCTCAATTCCCTAATCCTTTCCTCCTCAGAGAAACACATTGGTGCTAACTAGCATATTTGACTGGTAGGTCATCGCTTGGAGGTAATTGATCAATCGGAATAGCGACGTCATTAGTGTACGAGCTCAACGGATTTCTAGGTCATACTGCTACTGTCTTCGGTGCTACGGGTTTCTTGGGCCGTTATATCGTCAACAGACTAGGTAGGGAGGCTGGTCCATGAACTTATGGATCGTAGCTAACCAGATGTACAGCCAGGCAAGGATGCACGGTCATTGTTCCTTACCGGGAGGAGATGGCAAAACGTCACCTCAAAGTTACTGGCGACCTTGGGCGCGTTGTCTTTATGGTGAGGATATAAGACCAGGATGCGGGCTTTTTCGGGAGGGGATTCTGACGTCCAAGCCAGGAATACGACCTCCGAAACACACAATCAATTGAAGAGAGTGTGCGCCATTCAGATGTTGTGTACAATCTAGTTGGACGAGACTACCCAACAAAGTACGCCAAAGTAGCATCATATTTCCAGCTTCATTCAACAAAAGCTAACCCGTCCTAGGAACTTTACACTCGAAGATGTCCATATTGAAGGCACCGAAAGAATAGCGGAGTCTGTTGCAAAATATGACGTCGATCGTTATATCCACGTTTCGTCCTACAATGCTGACCTGAACTCTCCATCCGAATTCTTCCGTACCAAGGTTTGTGTTGATTGAACATATACTCGATGTACTGCATCATTGACTCCAGGGTATAGGCGCAAGGTGAAAATGCCGCCCGGGAGATCTTCCCAGAAACTACCATTGTCCGCCCAGCTCCGATGTTTGGATTTGAGGACAGATTGCTCCACAAACTTGCCGGGATCACTAACATTTTCACCTCCAATCACATGCAGGAGAGATATTGGCCTGTTCATGTAAGTTTTGCGAGTACTTATGTTTCGCTGGCCGATACAATGCTTACAATTCTAGGCGATTGATGTCGCTCATGCCTTGGAGCGTATGCTTCTTGAGGAATGGACGGCATCCCAAACGTTTGAGCTCTACGGGCCCACCAACTACTCTACCGCAGAGATCTCGGAAATTGTTGACCGTGAAATTATCAAGACTCGCCGCCGTATCAATGTTCCAAAAGCTATGTTGAAGCCCGCCGCCTATTGGCTTAATAGGCTGATTTGGTGGCCAACAATCTCTGCCGATGAAGTCGAAAGGGAGTTCCTCGATCAGGAAATCGATCCTAATGCAAAGACATTCAAGGACCTAGGAATTGAACCAGCGGAGCTCTCCAACCTCACCTTCCATTACCTGGTAAGTATAATTGTGTAAAATCGCACATTCGGGGCATGGACTAATTCTCCTTTTCAGCGAGGGTACAGAAGCGACAAGTACTCGGATCTTCCGGCAGCCTCGGAACGGGAGCGATTGGAGGAGAAGAAATATCTCCACGTGCTGGATGACCAATAAATTATTTCGTTTTACAAACATTGTATATACATAACTAGACACAACCGATTTCATTATCTGTTCTATCATGTTCTTATTTCCATTCTGCATACCGTAAATCTCAATTAGGTGCCACCGGAAGGGTCGAGTAGTCAGTTGTTTGCAAAATAGCGATGACGTTCTTATATTTAGTAGCCAGACATGCCAATTCCTCCAAACCTTTTCAAGAACAGATAGTGTCTGATATCCCATTGATATCTCTCCTACGCTTAATCTTCATGTAGCAATGACAGATGACGCTAGCTTTTCCACTTCCAAGAAGCCCGATGAGGATTCCATCCCGGTCCTTTTGCTCAAAACCAAATCAACCCCGCACGATGGATATGAAGAGTACTTCTCTTCCTCCACGAGAAGATATAGCTACAAACCTATATTCGTTCCTGTGTTAGAGCATGTATTCGATTATCAGAATTTATCAAAAGTGAAAGACTTATTTGTTTCCGGGTCGCTAAAGTGGAAATATGGCGGCTTGGTATTTACGAGTCAGAGGGCTGTGGAGGGGTTCAGTAGGATGATTGCAGAGGAGGTTAACCGTGAGTGTGATCTATTTCTCCTCTCACCTATCTTGATCTTAGTCTTGGGTGCATTTTGGACATTCCTGGCGAGGACTGACTCTGCAATTTATTTAGAAGACATAGCCAGCGAAGCATCTCGCGATCTCGCGCTCTACACCATCGGACCAGCTACCTGCCGCTCGCTGAATACTCTGCGACAAACCCATCTTCCACACGCAACGTTGGTAGGTGAAGATGCAGGGACGGGTGAAATCCTCGCACCACTTATACTCGAGCACTATAACGGCCTTGAGCGGAATCAGATAACATACGGCAGCGCAGAAGCGGTTCAGGACCGGAGTGGAAAACTTCCTCTCCTCTTTCTCGTGGGTGAAACGCATCGCGACATCATTCCCAAGAGTTTGATGTCTCCTGACCTTCCACCCAACGAGAGGATTCAGATCGACGAGTTGATAGTCTACAAAACAGGCGTGATGGAATCTTTCAGGGAAAATTTTGCATCTATACTGGACGAGCTTGATGCGAGCGTCCGCAGCACCGAAGGGGCTACTAATCCGGATGAGGGAAATCAAATGTCTCGGTCGCCGATTTGGGTCGTCGTGTTTTCCCCTACGGGTTGCGACGCCATGGTGGACATACTTGGGAAGCATGATCAAAGCACCTTAAAAGCGAGCGGAATGTCCCAGACATACACGAAGAAACATCAACAGCGCAGGAATTGCTACATAGCCACCATCGGCCCCACGACAAGGGACCATCTACGCTTTAATTTTGGTATTGATCCCGATGTATGTGCGGAGAAGCCGTCTCCAGAAGGGGTAGGGGAGGGTATTGAGAGTGTCCTAGTAAAGAGGAGTTGAAAAGTCGAATGTATAGGGTTAGCTTTGGTGACTCGGTCAGGGAGAGTGTACAGTAGCTTCATCAGTTCACTGAGATTTTCAGGAGATATAATTCGTATTTGCGTGTGTACTGCGTAATTGACCGCCGTGGTGCACAATAGATCAAATTAGCTTCTACGTGGGATACCCGCACATCTCACACTCTTTGAATTGAGGGAAGCAGGCTGGTTACGAACATTTGCATCCACAAGAGACCTCATTGTCACAACCAAGAACATTCATAAACCAAGTCATATGGAAAAATATGTTATTTAAGACCCATGTACAAACAACCTTTATTCACATCAAGGGCATCAAAGACAGCAAGTCTGAAGGAGGTATCAAATCAGTCACATCTCTAAGAAAAGCTCAGCCAGCTTATTTTGAAACTGACACAAAGAAATCCAAGGGATATTAAGTCATCCTGGCATGTACGTGACTGGAATGTCATCGTCATGCAGTGCGCCTGGGTATACACTCTGTTGTAACCCGATCTCTTACCTCAAAAACATAGCTCAGTGATGCCAGCTTTTTGGATTTATCGCATAATTTCTTCGTAGATAAGGACTAAAAACGATTAGTGGTGATCAAAAAAGACAGCTACTGACTGTTACCTTTAAGCTGCTCCTTGCTCAACGAATCCTTATTCTTATCAAAGTCAAAAAACTCTTCAGGGATAGGTTCCGCGGTGGGCTCATCATCTGGATCGTGATATGGTTCAAGATATGGGTGGCGAAGGGCTTCTTCGACAGTAATACGCTTGACAGGATTAAACGCGAGAAGCTTCTCAAGAAGGTCTAAGGCGAGGTCGGATGTCTTAGGGAATAACGCCTTCAGGGGAATTTTCTTTTTGAACGGCAACGATCGGATATATTCTCGAGCACGGCGAGACTTGATACCATAGTAATCCTCCATGGTTGGTGTTCCCAAGACATCAAGAATCAAAGTCAGTTGATGATGATCTGAGACAGCACCGTTAGCATTGAAACAGTATCACTTATGCTGCGGATAGACTTACAATCCTTGCCCGGAAACAATGGCTTTCCGCTCAGCATTTCAGCCAAAATACAGCCAACACTCCAAACATCTATAGCTTTAGTGTACTCTTTGAAAGTCAACATAATCTCCGGAGCGCGATACCACCGAGTGGCAACATATTCTGTCATAAATCCAGAATTATCATCCGTGGAAGCAGCGGAACGCGCAAGCCCAAAGTCGCAGACCTTCAGGTCGCAATTCGCGTTCAAGAGCAAGTTGGATGGCTTCAAGTCACGATGAAGGACATTTGCGGAATGCATAGCCTTCAGAGCGCGAAGTGTTTGGTAGATGAAATATTGGCAATGGTCATCTGAAAGGTCTTGAGTGCGAATAACACGGTGCATATCAGTCTCCATGAGCTCCTAATGGCAAACATTAGTTTTAACATTAACGGCAAAAACGGGATACCATACTTGAATGAGATAGACTTCTGTGAAACTCTCATAATTTCGAGGCTTCTGGATATCCAAAATGGAAATAATGTTCTCATGGTTGAAATATCGAAGCAGTTTCATTTCACGCAATGTCCTCAAGCAGAACATAGAATGGTCGAAAGGTGTGATCTTTTTGATTGCGACCTTTTGTCCGGATGGTTTGTGCAAGGCAGAGCTGGTTTTAAGTTAGATCTATACTCAAGGACGGCGCATAGAGCAACTCCACTTACCAGACTACACCATAAGCTCCCTCGCCAATGACGTCTTGGATATCATATTGGTCCGACACATTAAAGGAGATTTTTCTCGAACCCCCTTGGGCCCCTGGCTGAACCATTGCGTTCGGTTCTCGATCTGTAGTCTGATTAACCGCTTAGTCTCTTATCGATTGATCGCTGAACGAAGCGAAGAGAGCCAAAACTTCTGAAGAAAGGCCAGTAAAGCAGGATCCCCAAAACATTTGGGGCAGAGTAAATGGGAGTTGGGTTTACACTGGAAAGTGGAAGGTGAGCGCAGGGAGCTATAAAAAGCTCCCACGCGCGGCCAACGCAGTCATTGAGCAATTGACACAGTTGCATCAGATCTTCAGTTCAGGACCAAATACGAAAAGCGCAGAAAAGCAAGGAAAGGAAACAAATAGGTAAGAGGTCATCAATTAAATAAACACCAAGAGGGAAACCAGTTATGGAGATGTGTGATAAAAATATACAAGCTTAACATGCTTTCAAAGGAAACTCACGTTATAATGTTGGATGACAGACTGCCCCTCCAAACCTTTCTATTCCTTCTCCTCTGCCAAATAGATTGCAGATATCTATATGTGGTGCCACCTATTTTCCAGTTGTAAAAACCAGGCTTATATTGCTTTAGAGTGCAGTGTCTTTGGTAAACTGTGAAGGATTGTTGTTATGCAATATGTTCCCACCCGGTCGAAGGGAGAGATGGGACGGAAGGCACTGGAAACGTGAACAGATCACAGGGCATTAAGAGTTCGGAATGGGCAGTTGACCCAGAGACAGGCCAGACAAAGGAATATGAGGAGGATGGAAGAGGAATGTCTGTCAATCGATGGAGCCGAACGTGAAGGATGCTAAAACCTGGTGCGGAGACGCTGTCAGTGAAGCAACTTGGTATATAAAGCCCCACCACCCAAAAGAACTTCAAAATTGGCACTGCTCTCCCGCAGTGACACAGTTCTCACTTTGGAACAAAGGAGCCATCCTGGAAAGGTGGCCATGAAAGTAACACAAGATCGAACAGCTTCGTACCTGATGCCCAAGACTAGCTTCAGTTTAATCCAAGCTTTTACCCTCGACTGTGCTACTTTCCAACACCGGGAGCTGCGAAGACGCGTGTAAGCTGGATTGTTGGAGCAATCTTTCTTCAGGGAGATGCCCCAGCATTGACTGACCTGTGATCTGTTCCCCGCCTTTCAATCCCTGAGGGGAGTAGATCCAAAAATAGCCGCCGGGTGGTTGGCAAGCGCACCGCGTTCTGCAGCGGGGTGAACAGAGGAGGAGAATAAGTCGTACTTAACTAGTTATCTTTCGTGCACAAATTGTTTACCAGCCCTTTCCAGGAGATCACAGGAGGATGAGGTCGGCGTCGGTCGGTGGGATGAAAGGTAGGTTTCAAAGGGCCAAGTCCAAACAGGCGCCGCAGTTACAGAGTGCCTCGAGGTGGGGCAGCGCACTCCAGACCTCACAGATACGATGAGTGTCAAACGTGCAGATCGGGGAAAAATGGATCGCTAACTACGTTAACGAAGGAAAAAGCAAAGCATAATAATCCGCAGACGCTCCCAAGCATAGAACAGCAGCCCAGCGGGCCCCTTAAAAGCCGACACGAGGCGTCCCCCATTTCAAGCGCCCTCCGTTTCTGTCGAGGATCAATACGACGGTTCACCAGTTTAAATTAGACCGTTCCTTGGGCGGGTATCCCGCCCGTGGGTCAGATCCGGAGAACGCCCCGAACTTTACGCAGTTCAACTCGCAGATGCCGGAGATGAAGTTTTAGATTTTCGCTCCAAGAATATCCTGCTGGTACGGAACCGGAGTTGGGTGGAAGTGTAAAATCCGCGGTGGACTCTGCATGTCCGGCGACAAGGCCGGTTGGCTGCAGCTATTCGCGGATTGGCCCTTCGATCCATTCTGCACCCCCCTGCCTTGGCCCCCTCGTGGATTTCACCATCAAATCGCCTGCAGATTTTAGCCGCCGAGCGTTGAGCCAGAAACTGCCGCTATCTCCATACAATTCAGCGTTCAAGATGCTGACGTCCATCCAGCACCTTTGAAACGACGGGCCGAAATGGGACAATACGAATGTGTCCTATAAATAAACACCTGCGCGCTTAGTTCGCCTGCAAGGCCAAGCCTAGGATGATGATATGACGTTTATCAGCTGCCTTACGGGCAAACTGGCATGATTAAGATCGGGAGTACTGAATCCATAGCCAAAGAGAAATGAACAAGGGATTTATTATGTAATCCTAGATATGTATTGGGCAACAAGACTACTCTCAACACCTTCATTGGATAACCTGCAATTAATTTGCTCCTGTCAGCACGGTCTAATAAACAGTGAATGGGTTCGCAAAACGCTTCTAAAAAGTGAGGAAGACATACCTTTTCCCTAAGCAAACTCATCCATTGCTGCAAACTAACTCCTTGATCTGCGCGATCCTCCACGAGCATCGACTGTGCCCATAGCCTGAGACCAGGCTCTCCGTCCTCCTTGACCACGTACAGCTGAGGTACGATGATGCTGCCCACGCCCCGACTGCGAAAGTCTCGGCTCTTTTGAATAACTGCCCGTACTCTCTCATTAAAGTCGTTATCCAACTCCGGGAGGAACTGTTTTCCGACGCGAAGCTGGGACTTATCTGGGAAACCAAATACATCCTGGACAAGTTGAGGAACAGCATCTCGCCCGACCCAGAGGAACTGTGTCTGGCCATCGTCAATGAGGTACAGCCCATATGGCACCAAACGCTCGGATGTAAGGTTGCAGAGTGGAGGAAGAACAATTTCTCCCGTTGCTGGGTCAGGAACTCCCGCATCATCGGGCATGTCATGAAGGGAATACATTTTCGGATAGATGTATTGAATGAGAAGGGGTAGTGGCAATGTTGATAATAGGCAGAGCGCAGCCGATCGCATGTCAGTTGGTATCTGTGCGGATTTTCGAAGCCCAAGCTAAGGAAGAGTTAACACCACGTAGTAGGCTGGAGGGTCAAATGAACACTTACATTCTTTATCAATGCTAAGAATAGAAGAGGTAGTCCACGGAGATTTGATGGGAACTGCAAGCCTCCACCGGTGACACTGCCACCAGCAAGTTCTTTCCTATATGTCGATAGTAGCTCGATAATCTTTGCTTGGAGAGCATCTCGAGCTTGTTCGAGCCCACTGCCAAGCGTCCGCTCTACGGCTTTGTGACTGAAATATGTCGCGATCGCGGTCTGATCTGCGGATGCATACACGTCGGCCAACGACTGGGTTGTAGGTAGAGCCAACGTCAGAACTCTGATTCTTCGTTCGCCATTACATGTGGTATGTAAGACAGCAGTCTGAAGACACACAACTGATTTCGTTACCGTCTCATCAATAGCGACTTCGACGACATAGGCCTGGTCGCGGGGGAAAGCAGGGAAAGCACAGAGATCAGAGCTTCTATTGAAGAAATTGCCATAGAATGTGCTCATTCGTAGCCCCGTCGTTGCTCGTACACGAAGGACAGCTTCCAATCCAATTTCGGATGAGAGATAATCTGAAAATTCTTTGGCGAATTTGATCGCATCCTCACTCCTGGCAGCATTCCATCCCGGATAGAAATAAGTCTGCCCACCAGTGTATCTTGGAAGGTTGCTCAAAGACGCAACGTCTTGGTATTGCGAAGAGAACAAAAACATGTCGACGGAAATCTGCTGTTTCGAGCATTCCACTGCGAAGCTCTTGTAGAAGCTGTTGCCTGTTTGCAGCAAACTACTCTCTTTACTCGTTCCCAAAACCTTCTTGTCCTCTCTCATCTCAAGAGAGCCATAGCCGATGTTGGGAAGCGATGCCGTTAGGACAGTTAGCTTTCCTCCCACAGGGCCAATAAGTTTGTGGCCCGCACGAAGCGCAGACCCCATAGCAGATCCGCCGTTCTGGGTATTCTGGAACATTTCTTGAAGCTTATCGAGGAAAATCTCAATATTTTCTCTGCATTCCGTCAGAGTGACGAGGAGATCGCCCGGTATTGGCAGGAAGGGTTCATCCAGGTCGCTAACGACAAGCATGCTTGGATCAGAACTTTCAGACCCATCCCTCGGTATCGTGAAATAGTGAAGGCTGGAATCGACAGCGATGAAACCAAGCCTGGTGCGGCGATCTGTGTTCGGTATCCTGTCCAGGCTTTCCTTGATGCACCGTGCGGCTGTAGCCAACAATCCGGTAGTGACGGAGGAGTAGCTAACATCGATCAAGAACAGGTATACCAAGGGCTGCGGCGGCCGTACCATGTACTCTTGAGGAGCGACGAACTCCACCACGGCATGGTTTAGCTCAGGTCGCTGCCATCTATCGAGAGCCTGTTGGGCGGTTGCATCCCAGTCGAACCCTTGAGGAACGTCATTGGTAAGGTTACACATGTTGCAACGCCAGCGATGCCCATGATCGAGAAACGTTACGAAGGGGTTGATATACGATCGGCAGCGTCGGCATCTTGAGATAATCTGATCCGAGACAATTGGAACCGGATCCTCCGAATCATGTAGCGATGTAAAGGGTTGAATTACAAGGGCGAAAGGTAGACGGGATTTCTTCAATAGGGAGTTGGTAGTCGGAACGGCGTTGAGCGTTGAGCGGACAAATTTGGCTGAGCAGTTCGCTGTTGGAGAAGGCGTAACGCTAGCCTAAATTATTCATTAACATCAGAACATCCCGCCGGGATTGGCGGACCCAAAAGAAGGACTCACATTCGGCGGAAGGATGACAGGAGGTGGTGGGAAATCAAGCTCCGCGACATTGAACGACTGAGCCAAAAGGTCGGTTGGATAAAGCTGGTTTAACGAAGTGGCTCCTGGCGCTCGACCTGGCATCTGGCCCCCCATACTCATTTGTCCCATCTGCTGTGTAATCTGGCTGACATCGGCCGCCGGATAGCCGGGGCCCGGTGGTTGGTAGCCTCCGGCTCCCAGCTGCTCCCCCGCCGCGTAAGTCTCCGGAGCGGGCTGAGCTGGTTGGCCTGGGTACGGGACAGGTGGGTAGCCTTGTGGTTGCGGTGGCGCGGGATACCCTCCATAGGTACCACCTCCTGGTAGCTGTCCTCCCAGGGCAGCGTTGGCACCGGATCCGAATTCGAAGGCCTGCCCGGCATAGGCTCTCTTCTTCCTGCCACCATGTGTGGGACCTCCAGTTGCGGGGGCGCCAGCTGGTGGAGGCGCAACGGGTTGGTCTGCTTCGGCGGGAGGTGCGCCATATGGCTGGCCGTAGCCCTGCTGGCCATCGGAATGTGGAGGAGGATATCCTTCTTGCGGCGCGGCCATCTAGGAGAGTACTGAACGAATCAAAGGCCGCAAAGGGTCAATGGGTAAAAGGGGATCAGCAAAGGCGTCGTGACGAGATGCTGGAGATTATAATTACTAGGACCCGAATTCTGGGGTTAGGACTGATTTCCATGGACTGGGTAACGGCGTCGGGGAGCTAGGCCACTCACCAAGACGGACGTTCGAGCACGCATTGAACAAGGTGTGCAATACAAGGCCAGTCCTATAAACCCCGGGAAACCCAATGGTCAGGGTGCGGTCAATGTGGCCTCTATCCTGATAGAGTGACGACGGCGGGGGTTGGCAGCTCAGTGGGTGGTAGGAAAGGTCATCGTTTTGGGTGAATGGTGGCCTTTGTTCCGCATCTTGGTTGACGCACCTCGGCCAGCCAATCACATCGCGGGGCTGCCGGAGTCAGCATCATGACAAAGCCGTTTTGCTCGCCGGCTCGGTTGCTACAATGCACTTGTTATTGTCCGAAAACGTGTCGAATGCAATCTGTCAACTCTACTCTGTACGGAGTACTTGGCGCATCTTTACCAGTGTAGGCTCTCTAACTAATGCTTTGGAGCGAATACAACACGACATCATCATATGAGGTTTGCAAAAGCATCGTGTGCCTCTCGCATTAATGTATTGACTGACTGCACCCATGATGCAAGACCTCTTGGGAAAACGTTATGGATAGATAAAGAGCTATGCCAATGTATATGCGCCAAAACGCCATCGCTTCGTTGGAAGACAGACATGAAACAGAAAATGCGTGGGTATATATATATATATATATGTGTGTGTGTGTGTGTGTGTGTGTTTTTTTGTCAAAGCAGGCTCATGAGGCCAGGACTTCAAGAAGCCCTATGCAACATCGACTGCATTCCGCATATTCTCCACCGTCTTCAACCCAACGCCTTTCATCTTCCCTAATTCCACCAGACTGCGAATCTGAACCGATTTATCAGCATCAGAAACATTGCCATCCATCTCACACAGGCAATCAACAATGGCCTCTGCTTTCTTAGCCCCAACGCCGCGAAGCAGCTTAATTTGATTAATATTCCTCGAATTGATAATGGAGAGAATGTGTGCTGTCCGCGGAGATTGGATCGCGTTGTTGGCGTCTACGACGCCTGTCTCTTTTGTTCTCGGGTGGCACCTTCGAGTCGCCGCTTTTCTAGCTTTCGGTTTGGGGCGCGAATGACCCTGTGCCTCGTAGTTTTCGTCGCTCAAGCTATCATTCTCCTCTAACTCGCAGTATTCCTCGTCGCCACTATCATAATTCTCGGCGCTTTCACGATTAACTCGTCGACGGTTTTTATGCCCTTGCTGTTGTGCCTTCTCGGAATCATTGTGCGTTGTGTCATGTCCATTCAATCTCGCCTGCAAAACTTCGATTTTCTGTGCTAATTTTGCATTTTCTGGGAAGAAGGGGAGCGCCAACTGATACATCTTTAAAGCTGACTTATCCTCACCATGGCTCTGATGTTGCTTACCCATTAGCAAGTACGATAAGCCTTCAGCCCGTGCATCTTCGTTCCCTTCAACCCTTTGCTCCAAGCGTTCAAGTCTGCGTTGTAACTGGGCATTAATGTTGTTTGCTTGCGTGCGAAGCGCTCCACGGGACGTTTCAGCTTTATCTCGAGCTCGAGCAGCTAGGATCTGTGCGACCTTCTTCTCGACCATCTCCTCGATCTTTGCAGCGGAGACACTGTTTGATTCTTGTGTGCACCGGGTACTCGCCTCGTTTGCAACACGAGCAATTTTTGAAGGACGGGCCAATGGCAGGAGATTGTTTCCAGACTTTCGCTTCAATGGAGAGGCTTTCGCTAAAGCAGGTTGAGCTTGCTGCTTGGCCTGCGACTTGTCTGTGTAGACCATGAACGACTTTGTAGGCTTGCCATCGGATGGCTTCGAGGCCCCATTGGCGGCTGGTGGCACAATATTTGCATTTAATGAAGCTGTTAGTGGCCGCAACGGCTGCCTTTTTATGGAGGACCCTTTCGCGGATAACCCCGGGGCAAGACGTGGCGGTCCTTTGAACATCGGCTCATTCTCCACCTCTCGGACCTCAATCTTCTTTGTACGGTTCGCAAAGTTGAGAGAACTCAGCGTATCCAGGTGATACGAACGGACTGGTGCAAGATTAAGGATCATCACTGTAAGCCCCTGGTTTTGACCAAGGGATAAGATTCTCGTCATTTTCGATTCTCGATACGGGATTCTTGCTTGCTTTTTACTTATAGCCTCCACACACTGGGCCAAGACGAACAAGCTCTTATTAATGCTCGCCGATTCGACCATGCGTTCTTTACCATTGTCTGTTCGGCGGTTATCCTCCGAGCCAGCCAGGTCTATTGCAGAGGCAGTGCTAACACGAACGCGGTCTCCCGTTGTAACTGTTAACTTCACGCACAAAATTGCGTGTGACCTGGAAGAATGTGCATTTAACTGTTTATCCCGTTCGCGGGTTAGCTGGTCAACATCTCGAAACCTTCAGCAGCCGCTAGAGATCCATTTCCGTACCTTGGTGGCAGAAGTCGACCTGTTAATATTGGCTTGGTCATATAGACATTCGAACTCCTTCAATGAACCGCATGGCCGCTCAGTAAGCCCTACAACTATGGTCTTACCTCCACTGTCTCTGAGTGGAAGGCCGGAAGGCGTCCTCTTCTCGGGCGGCTCAAAGAGATCAAACACCTTGTCGTTGTATATTTCATAGTAGCTCATGACAACGTTCACCTTTGTGGCACCTTGAGAGTCTTTCTCCATCTTCCGACTTCTCCTATATATGCCGCTTAACAATCGTGGGATGACCCCTCTGTCGGCTAGGCTTTTTCCTCCTCTCATGGTATGGGTTTTTCCCGTGCCGGTGACTCCATATGCAAACAACGTAATATCGAACCCGTTGAAAAGATGCTTTACAGTCGGCGCCACTAAATAGCCGCAGGGAATCGAGTCAGTTTACCGATATTGTTCATTCACGTCAGTCTATGCAGCCTAAGCGAGTATACCTTCTGCATCGAAAAATTCTTGTTGCCCCACAGTGTCATCATATACCGAATTGAACTGAAAGCTATACTGCTCTCCCTCATTTTTCGGGTTCGGGATACGCACAACATTGGGCCGGTCGCAAATGTCCTTCTGCGTCTTCAACGTCGTATTCTCATCGGAAGATTTGGCAGCAGAAGGTAACGTCGGGTTGGACGCACCAGGACGGAGGATGATGTCGATTTCACGTTCCGTTTTCAGGAGCGGTCGAATTCGCGCCACCACCCTGACACTCATTTTCTTCGTTTATGTGCAAGTCGGTACCAGCAACAAATTTCAAATTCGCCAGCGCTTCAAGCTATCGCGTTGTGATCGCGACCGATTTCTTTCAACCGCTTTTGGTCCTCCACGGTGTTGCAACGCAAAAAGAGGCGGAAAAACGACAAATCTCGACCAAGGTGCGATATCCACTGAAATTCAAAGTCTATACTCCGTGCTTTCGACTCCAATGACGCGAAGCAGTATAGAAAGAGGAGGACAAACAGTCTACAAAATGATATCTTCCAAAAAGATGATCAATGCAAGTTCAAAGGTGTTTCGGAATGCAACCCAATTAAGGCTCCTTTAAATCCAATCAATGCAGATGCCACGCTGCGCGAAAATGCATTTATGATCTAAATGCAAGATGCAGCAAGATTCAACAAAAACAGAAAGAACAGCAATCAGTAAAAGAAAAGGAAAACAAATTTGGGCACAGTTCTGCCCGACTTACCTTGCGAGTTTGTGGAATTCGACCCGAGTTCGACAGGCTTCTGCGGGTTCGGTCAGTGTTGTCGATGCTTGAAGTGCGACCACCATGTTGGCATGGCAACCGAAAGGGGCCCTTGTTGATTATGTAACTCGCTGGTTAACAGTTAACTAGTTAACTAGTTAGCGAACCGCTCCAAGAGCGCTGACTTGCGATGATTACAACATGCTGAAAGTACTCCGTACGAACTATTGATTTGAGAGCTTGGAAGTTATACGGTCTATCCGTAGCCATACATCGTTTTCAAATGGCAAGACGAAGAATAGATCGAGATGGACTCTAAATATCAGTTTTCTTCGGGCTGAATCTCTCAACAACTGGAGACTTGTGGCCCATCGTTTCGACTATGAGACGATGTGCTGCCTTTCCTCCCTCTCTCATCCGAAGTTTATAGTTTGTGGTCTGAATGTTGGAATTGTATTTTTCCCTTTACTCAGCAGTTCTAGCGTCGTTCAAGCTGCTATGGGCAAATTTTCCTTAGTTTTGGATCGATCTCCTCTCTTGAGCATGAATAAGGATGCACCAGAGGACTGTTGCGTGCTCGATGTTCTGAGGATCACTCCTCAAAACCCCCAGAAATCCTGTCTAAACTCGCGAGAAGATAGCATTCCTTCTGATGAGTATACCCTCTAAGTTCTTCGGGCACTCTATCTATCCAATTTTCTCTGGTCCCGCCATCGGTTCTGAAGGAAGGGCTGCCGGTGCAGATAGCTAGCGTGACATTTCATCGGTGCCTCAATGTCTTTATTATCTTGTTCAATTGTTACTTGTCTTGAGTTTGCCTTATCATCCATCACTTCTCATTTGCCAATGATTCCCACTTGGCATCTCGCAGTCGTCTCATGGTACGAAAGCATACGGAGTATCGAAGCAATCATCCCACTTTGTTTTCCCAGAGGGCCAAAATTTTTTGAAAACCATTTTCGCATGCAGTGGTAGAGGTGTCCCGAGGTCTTCAGACATTTCCGACAAATGGTCAGCGACAAATTCACGTGCCGCTGGGCCTCGATTTACCGCTTCCGCGCCGGCCACGATTAACGGCCACATCATGCACTTATTCACTTTTGGTGAGAGTAGGGCCTCCTTGAGAAGTTGGAAGAGGCGATTACCGTGGGCAGTTCTCCTGGCTTTGAGCTGCGAAGTGAAGGGGAGGACAGAAACGCTTTGCAACGATGAGATGCAATACAGGGCGACTGCTGATTGGTATATACGCCCGATAAGGAGCCAATCTTCCTGAGACGAGGTATTTGAACAGGCCCATTCCTCAGGCGAGAAAGCGTCAACGTGTTGCAACACCGCCTCGGCTGCAGTTTGAGAAAATTGATTTACAAGAGACGCGATCTTCCATTGATATCGAAGGTGATTGATGCTGAGGATATCCAGAAACAGGGAGGGGGGACAGAGAAGGTTTGGAAAAAGATAGCCCTCCCCATACATCTCAGATGCCAGATTGGCTAGGTCAAGCTGAGACGTTGTCGCGACTTGGTCGGACGGGGGTGTGGTTGTGTTTCCAATGACGCCAAGTCTGTTAAACGCGAAATTAGTACACAAGACCCCGTCACAAGCAGTTAGGGCTAATCCAAATCAATTCCAGGGAAGAATTACATCATGTAATAAAGCAACATGGGCTTCATATGTGGGGACACGCGGGCAAGGTTCTCTAAACCGCCGCGGAGCGAAATTAGCTTCTCAGCACCAATAAAATGTTGCCGCCAGTTTAGCGAAAGAGAGTCTCGGACCTATTGCAAGGACATGGTTAACACTTGCTTAGCTTGCCCACTAAGAACAGAGAGGAACTGACATCCGTGACCATGAATAGCAGAACACTAGTAATCGTCGCATCGCTGCTTCGGGTTTTCTCTTTGCCAACATCTTCACCCAATGCCCTGATAGCCAAGCCGCGATAATGATACAGATTAGATAGCGCCTCCGCTAAGGTTGAGCGACTCGTTCTTGAGAGTAGATGGTAGATGCGATGGTTTAAGGCCATGGATACCAGAGTGTATTTCATACCAGTGGGAATATAGCGCGCTGTAGAGAGAGAAAAGCGAAGGAGGTATGGATTTGGCGCCAGCTGGTGCATAGATTCAAAGTGTGGATAGATACAAGAATTGTCTAACAGAGTCCAAGAGAGTTAGCCTACCCCTCCAGTCCTTTTACCTTCCACGGCCAAGTGGAGGGTATCAGATTGATCGGCTCACAGTAGAGTATGGCTTGAGTGAAAGCACAGGCCTCGGTTCCAAATGTGACGTGCGAGAGAGCTGCAGCAACGTCTTTCATACCATTTTCGGTATGGCACGTCAAGCTCTTGATACTACTTTCTTCCACCTCGCTAGTCCCAAGACTAGGATTGACTGTGGTGGGGGCGCAACTACTAGTATTGCTGTCGCCTTTGTCGGTAGGGCGACCTCGACGTCGCCTAGTTCTAGACGTCACCTTCCCTGGGGGAAGCCACTTTAGGGGTTTCTTCTGGCTATACCCAGGGCAAGTGATCCCAGCAGTCTGGCACTTGTTGCAGGCCGGACGTGATGAGTCGCATACCAGTCGGCGGCGGGAACACTCCCAGCATTGTCTCCTTTCGTTCGCCTGCGTTGTCTCCTTTTCGCGGAATTCCATCATATGTCCGCACGTTGCGAAAATCTCATTCCTAACTAATGCAGTTTAGGATAAAAGATAGCAGACGGGAAGAGAGCCAACTAGAGCCGGCCTCATTCCACCCATGACTTTTATATATGCCCAAAAGCGATAATAAACCTCTCCAGCTCTGTCTTGGTCTGCCCACAGCATCTTGAAGTCTAATCTTCAAGCGGGTCGTCCGTCAGCCCTGCGGGTATGACAAGGGTTCTCGGCTTGGCCAACTTCCACTCCTAATTCGGTAAAGCGTTGGCGCAAGACTCTCTGCAACGGAACAAGGATATTGAAAAACTCATATCCTAGTAGCCAGTCATTATTGGTCAAGCTGTGGTCGGTCAGGCCCGTGCAGAATTGGAAGTCGGAATGTCGACGAGCACCGCCAAGCTGAACCCGTGATCGGTCGACGATCTGCATCTTTACCATCGATGGCGCAGCACTACAGTGGAGTTCCGGAGCACGGAGCACACACCATCAGATTGTTTTGGCGCCCACAATTTGTTTGTTGGATGCATGCTGCAGCATTGCATCACTGACCAGTACTGTCAGTAAACAGCCGCGGGTTTAAAGATGAATGGTGATTAGCACAGAACTGGACTGATGAGTCAACTGTCACCAACACATATGGACTATGGCGAAGGTCGATTTAAAAAAAAAATAAAATTGGACGCTGCTTGAGTCAATTCCAAAATAGAGGGCTGTGGACTGTCGAAAATCATGAATTCTCTTCCTGAAAATGCTAATGGACAGGTAGTAATTACGGCAATTATGCCTCGCGCGTACCCCATACTCCGTACACGAGCGTATTAAACTCCAGAATCCTTCAACCTTCTTTCTCGTTAGCCGCAGCTATCCCGAATTAATAACACCCAAGCCTCTTCAGGCGCCGTGGGGCTCCATCACACGTTACTGTCGGTACCAACATGCCCGTTAGTTTCCCAAAAGGGCTTTTCTTTTTCTTTCCTGGGCCCAAAGAAACCAAAAGGATCGAGCAGGGTGATTAGCAACGAGCGGTTATCATTCCAGCCAGGCCCTTCGATTTCTGTGGCGCCATTTTGTGCGAGATAGACCTTGGAACTTTGGGGAAGGAAGCGCCCTGGGTGCCGCCAATTCCATAGAAATGAATTGAGCAGCAACAGGCTCGCCTCGAAGACGTAGAAATACCATTCATATCGCACTGCGGGGCTAAGGGTCGAAAGATCGGCTTCCGAGTTAATTTCCGTATCCGAGATGTCGAACTGCTCCACAGTGCGATAGATACATCGCACCAAGATAAGAAATGTGCTAATGTACATGGTCCTTAATGGGGCCATGACAGAACGAACGTTGACCTTGGCTTTCGCAGTGCGCTGGTGGAAAATACCGGCCAGAAAGTAGAACAGCGAGATCACGACAATTTGGGTTATTAGCGAGGCCTTTATCAAAGCTTCGCCAAGTTCCCTGAGGTTTTCAGGCAGCGATTTATTGGCGATGTAAGCCACTCCTATCGCGTTCAAAACCTCCACGACCGCGGACAGTGCACCAAAGGTGGTAAGGACACGCCCGGGGTGCAGCGGAGAGCAGTATGGCACATAATAGAGGATGCGACCGAGGACGTGATAATTTGCGAGTTCGAGGATAGGTCTATGAGATAAGGCTCTTAGTAAGGGGTACGATCCCCCGTTTCAATGGAGTTTTGCAGGTGCTCACGGGGCCATGTAGATCATCGAGGTACTCGCGATATACACATCAAGATTCTTCTTGGTGTAAAGATATTCGAAAGCGCCGTACTCCCGCAGCGCAAAGCCGGCAGTTAGCATGAGGCAAGAAAGAAGGTGTAGGCCCATGAGCTTGAAAGATTTATAATGACTATCGAAATTGTCAGTGCATCCTTCCTAGAAGCTCCTATGCTTATAGTTGAGACAGCAATTTCTTACGAGCATTGCCATAAATGTATGCCGCCCGTCAATGTGAACGCTGCAGTAAAGATTATGGGCGCTATCTTGTTAGGAGCGTAAATATAAAGGCTCCCGTCGACTAAATCTTTTGTCAGCACCGCTTCCCGTTGCATTCCAATTGATGACCATACCAGGCTTTCCGTCAGGCATTTTGAGCGTTTGTTTGTTGCCGTGACTGTTGTTCGAACGGAATTTTGATAGAGTGAGGTTTGGGGGAAGAACATGAATCAGGAATATGCTGCTTTGAACGCCAATATATATATATATATATATTCGGAAGGCTCCAGGTGTCAACCCTTATAGGCTAAAAGGCACTTTGCTCCTGGCCTCTAAGTGCAGCCCGGTACGGAGTACAGTATGGCGAAAATACGGAGTAGACCGACGCATCGAGTTTGATGCCGCAAAAGGCCAATCGTATCAACAGCCAAAGGCCGCTAGACCTGGAACGGACATAAGTAAGGCCAAGATGTGCCACGGCCCACCCAGCCGTGACAGGGCTTTGCACGAGCTGATCACTGCGGCTTGTGGTGCGGCGATCTAGTCCAACAGGGTTAATGGCGATCATCTTGCTCTGTTCGTCAAATGGTATAAATAATAAGCCTTTCTTAGGGAATAACCAAGGACAGAATTTTTAATCCAGTGGCACCTTGATATCCAAGCAGCATATCATTCGGACGCAAGCAATCACATACCTCATTTACACATTCCACATTTTCACCGTCAGAAACATGAGCTACCCAGCAGGCGGGTATCCATACTTGCCTGCTGGCACTGGTGGCGGCCCGAACCTCCCTCCTCCATCTTACACACAACTTGACCAGAACCCTTTTAGAGACCCGGTCCCGCCATACCATACATTCGGCTATAACAGTTCTACAAGAGATTGGAAACCATCGAACCCCCCGACCGTCAAATTTCCACCGAGAATGAACGGGTACTTCAATTGGAAGAGGTCAAAGACATTTCACCTGGGACCGACAGCCGAGCAGAAGGTGCATGCTGTGACAGTGCATTCTGCTACTTCCACCTGCGGGCCTTCCGTTGACCTATACGACGGACCAACCAATACGCACCCGGTCCTGGCAACAGCTGCTGCCGACAAAAGTAGCAAGAATAAGCTTGTTAACATAACTGTGCCGCGGTGGCCGGGATACCAAGAAGGAATAGCCGAATTGGAGTCGATAACCACCTCTCCTCCATCCAAACACGTCGCGCTTGCATTCTCTTTGCCCGTTGGGGTCGGCAAGGAGATGCGGCTCGAGAACTTTGAATGGCGCATGAGCACAGGAAATGAGATCAAGGAGCAAGACGGCCACTCCTACGGCTGGAAACTGGTGCGAATGTCGAATACGATGGAGGACTGCGTTGTGAAAAGATCGAGGCGGGAATTCGGGGTGACAAGTGACGGGAAAGAGGTTGTGGCGGTTTTGGCGTACTACTGCGGGTGGAGCATGACGAAGGGCTTCAAGTTCGCTTTCCTCGGCAGCGGGCTAACCGGCACTATGGGCGAGCAGTGGGAGATCGTGACTCTCGTTTCGGCACTGCACGTCTGGTACATAGATTTCCGGCAAACGATGGCTGGAGCTGCATTATACTAGGGAGAGTTGCATGGGATTGGAGTTTCCTGAGTTTGGGAGAATTGGGTTTTTTTTTAAAGCTGACCAAATTGCTTGCTCTAATAGTTATCGAATCACAAGATAGACGGAATACTATACCTGGAGACAACAAATTGAATGGTTTTAAGTAACATCGAAGCCAGCCTTAAAGCTATCTAAAAGCCTACCTGGCCAACTGATCATAATATCAACGCCAATGGCTCATGAGCAGCCGGATAGAAGTCCTAACTTTAAGCAAGAGTCATGATGACCGAAACCAAAGAGGCGACTTGAATGCTGAACAACGTTATTGCAGCAATCCATGACTCCGGTAGGCGTAAAACAAAACTTGCAATGCCATTAGGAACGAAATGCTCTGTCGAAACAAGGCACCCCCGGGATTGTGGAAGAATCCTGGCCTGGCAGTGCAACAACTCCCGCTGGAGGTCGTCGTGGTCACGACTCATCACACGATTCAAGCCAAGTCGGAACGTCTCTTTTAAGTTTTGAGCACAGCCCGGTGGAGCATGCTGGCGGATACGCTAATCCTAGAATGGTAAATGCGGCGCATGGATCGGCGCTTGGAAGGTCCAACCCGCGTGTGGCAGCCAACCGCGCCTTCCCGGCGGGTTGAAGCGCGGTCGCTGCATGGGGCAATTGCGGTTTCGGGTCAGCCCGATTCGTTTGCCTTAGGTAATATTCTTCTGGTTGGAAACTTTATATACGACTTCAAAAACGTACCCAACTATGGATGAAGAGTAGGATGGTTAAATCCACGCGGCCTCACCAATCCACATATGCAGAGATGTATACATTATATTAGACCATCACCGATGACACCACTCCCATCACTCCAGCCAGCCAAGCGGGCCACCACACACACCACACGGCAACCTGCGTCCACATCCCCCAAACATCCCACCCGAACGCAGCCTCGGTAAGAACTTTCTCCACTGAGACGTTCCACGCCTTGCAGGCCCCGAGGAGCACGGCACTCGGAGCAATGGCGTTAAGGACTACCAAGCTCACAGCCACCTTGGCAAGAACACAAGGTGTCAGTGGGGTCGCTGATTTGGAGGGCTTTCCCGCCTTCATAGATTTGGACTCTGCGCTGGCTAATATGGACGTCGGTTTGGGCTCGATGTATCCGACGAATGAAAGAGGCGCGCAAAGTAGGCCCATTAGGAAGGAAAGTGAGAAGTTCAAGGTTGCAAGAGCGGAGAGGAAAAGGCCAAGAAGTAGGAGAGAAAAGGATTTTATGAGGAGGAATTGCTGAGCCGTTGGGTGGTGGAATCGCGTGAGGAGAGTGGCAAGCACAATGGGGATGAGGATGTCGATGAAACCGAAGTAGTAGGCTGCAGGGGCAAGGAACTGCAAAAAGGCGGTTAGCCGGCTTGTGCTCTCTATGCAACGACAAAAGGAAAATTGGGTACCTGGTGTGAGAGATTGTTGAAAATGTAAAGAGGTATACCCCCTAAGAAATGCAAACCCATGACCAAACTTGCCGGTAAGGCAAGATGCCTTTCCAAGATGCCATTGTTCTCCCCGTTCCCAGGCGAGGCGCTTCTTCCCTCCCCCGCCGATTGTCCTTCCGTCGTTTTCTCTATTTTACCCTGGTTCAACCGTATATCAAGGCCGGAGTACCCGCTTTTCATCCACGACGCAATCGCCATAATGGTAAAATTGCCGGCAATCAACATTGCACTTGGAAGATACGTTCCAATGCTCACAAATCGATTCGTCTGCATTAGCAGGTAAAAGAAAAAACTCTGATGCAGATGCTCTAGCAGGTTATTCAAGCTTCGAACTAAACCCTCTACCGTTCTACCGAGAGCCATTTCATCCTGCCATCCCTGACCAACGGTTTGAAGTGTGATCGCATCGATATGATACGGAATAAAGCAACTGTGTAGGCCCGCCGCACTGCCGAGGCCCTGGCGCATCATCCCCCTGACCATTGTCTGTAGGCGCATCTTGTAGCTATCATCGTGGTTCCACATTTCTTGCAATTCTGCGCGAATGCCCATTTGCCCATTAGATATGGATACGGCAGTGTTGAACAAGTCGAGATTTGGCAGCTGTCCGTTGACTCCGTCGTAAACAATGTGGATAGATTCGAAACGATGGTCAAACGGGTATTCGAAAGCGAGCGCGCCTTGTAGAGCGCCACTCTTCAGGGGCAGTGGCTCAACCGATGGAGGGTGCATATCATGGTACGCGTCGATCCACGCTTGAGCACCAGACCTGCTATCCGGTGTGATGAGAAAAATTATATCTTTTGACCAAAGAGACCATCCTAAGGAGAGAACGTCAGGATAAGACAATAGTCCACCACAAAAGAGAAAATAACTTACTCTTAAAGTACCGAGCCAAAGTTAAAGCCAGCGCAACGCCATTGAGATTGGGTTCTCCCTTGATCGTCTTCCACGCGGCTACCAGGACAATTGCCTCCGTCCCATCACCCCGGGGAGCTTGAATGATGCTGTAAACATTCTGGCCCGAATAAACATTCCCAGCAGACCGATAATCATATTTCTGAGTCGCAACTTTCAACCCCGATTCCCGAAAGATCGACTGTAATTTTTGTGAAACCCTATATCGAATCAATAACCATCAGCGTGGACCGTTTCCAACAACCCCAACATCCTCTTTTCACATTGAAAATTCAAAAGGTTTCTCCAAGGCTAGACACATAACGTACACATCGTACTCCGCATCCTTCACTGCCTCGATCTCCTGCCTATATCCACGGAAGATATTCTGCTCACTGCCCGAAAAGTACGTGTGCACCTGGCCCGGTAACAGCGCATTTTCGGAAATATACGTCTGTCGAGAGTACTCGTTCAGCGGGAGCAGGAGGAGCCATATGATACCTACAAGAATGAGGAGAGCGGAGAGATAGGGGGGGAGTTTGGACAAAGGGCGCGGGTCGCGACGTAGTCTGAGGATAAGATCCGCTATGCCGGAGCTCCAATATTTAGTATTCAGGTGGGAACGGAGAGTTGGGATTAAAGCAAAGGGTGGGATTGGCCCAATTACTCGCGCCAGTTCGTGACTTACATATTAGTGCCATTGGAAAAGAAGCCTTCACGGGTCAGGTCCCATGAAAGCCATGGGGGTGAGATTGCAGGGTGTTGTTTGGCCTGAGTCCGCCTTGAAGCTCTCCAGCACGCTGGCCGCTCCTGGGTGCCCCGTCTGGAGTTGGGCGACGTAGTGCTGTCACATGACAAGCAATGCTCACTATATCATGTGACCAAGGTGTATTTGGAATCCCATACAGAATTTAACTACGGAGTACGGGAGTAGTTAACTAGTCAATGAATAGGAGTTTACCTCAGCTCACGGTGTTCCCGCGTCGAGGACCTCTGGTGCTCATTCTATTTGCACTATTCCTGCGTGCATTTGATCAATTCATTAACTAACTGTCATCGGCAAATTATTCTACATGAAACTATCAATGGAAAGGTAACACAAGCGTGGAATGTTCAGTAGCATATAGAGCCCGACTTTGTGCAAGGACCCGATCCGTCGCCGTCGGGAAATTACTTTTCATAGATCATTATTAAAAAGATAAGTACGCAGTTCAGCTAACCATATACATGAAGAGTATGCTCTTCCTCAATCCTTTCTAATCGCACTTCAATATTCTTTTTCAGATGCAATATCAAAGGCAGCATCGGGAGCTAATGTTTGTGAAAAGCATGGAGTAAAATGCCGAGCGACTGACATTTTCAAAATAGACCCATTTACGGCCCTAAACGCTGAGTAGATCCAAAGTAACTCATTGTCGTGCCCGGGCCACTGGAAGAATTGCCCGTGGGCAATATTCCGTAGCGCCCATACGTTTTCTGATCTACCGACACGTAGTGTGGGAGGATCCCCAGAAGGTTCAATTTGCTTTCAACCCATCGTAGGATTTTCTCTGGAGGGAAAAGGATTTTTAGGTAGCCAAGTCCGACTACGAAACAAAGTCAGCAATGATTCTCCCCCAAAACAGGGTGTGAGAAACCCTTACGGGCGTATCCAACGGCAATTCCGCACAAGTGGCCCACGAAACTAGTGTTCGGAATCAATGCGGAAACGAAGATCGTTCCAATCAGTGGCGTTGCCCACGTTGGAATCTTATACGTCCCCAGACTGCCAATGAGTCAGTGATGCCTGCAAAGAAAGCATTCAAAAAGAACAGACCCAACGAACCTGAAGTGAGGGTTTGAAGCGTAGGTCTTCATTGCTTCTGATGCAAGTAGCAAAAACACCCAAATACTACATGTCCCTCTATTAGCAGCGCCCATATAAAAGCCCCTCTTCAAAAGCGCACCTTGATCCTAAAATAGCAGTATCTTGGCGGAATATACATTTCTCGACGAGTATATATAAGCCTCCAGGGAAAGTCGATAGCGCTAAAATCGCAGGTCAGCCTCCATCCTTTCGATCAATCTCAGGTGCCGAGAATAACGACTTACGTCCAAAGAACATAGCCAGCGAAGTAAGCGTTCCATATTCAGCCTCGAATCTCTCCAGCAGCGGCGTCAGCGCCAAGATATTTAAAAACGCGTGAATAAACCCCTGGTGGACGATTGGATACGTATTAAGACGGTGCACTAAACCGTGAAGAAATCATTGAACACTCCTCGTCAGCAAGGCAAACGTCCTTTTCTCCAAAATCATACCAAAAGACACAGGGTGTATACCTACTGCTCATAAGGCTAACTTCACTCGGCTTCAATGCTCCCCAGCGCGCCACGCTCCATGCCGGCTGTAAATCCAAAAGGCAAAGGGTGACGATAGCTATTAGGACAGTTCTGGTGAAAAGCGGGAGGCGGAGTATGTACGATCGAAGCCGTGTAGGGCTGAAGGGGAGAGGGGGGAATGCTAGCGGCATTTTATCTTCGGACCGTCGAACGGAGGGGTGTCGGAGCACGATGCGGATAGAGAAGGTAGATCGGAGAATAAAGAAAGGAAATTAATCAAAGATGGAGTGCTTTCGAAAAGCACAAACTAATGTCGGCCGTAATACAATCGCGGTGGGAGAAAAGAGTTGGGCGGGAGAAGTGGTCGAGCTTTCTGGCAAGCGAACGCACCTCACACTCCGCCAATCCAAGGATTCTGAATAGAATCGAATACGACAGGAAATATCCCTATATTACTTTAAGATCTCTGCGTTGATAATCCCATCCGAACCTGAGCGTCTCATCCCAATCCAAGCAACTTCGATAGGGGAACGCACGGCAGATGGTGAATGCGTAATTGGCCTCGAGAAACTCGTTAGCGACTGAAGAATAAAGAATGTCTCTCCTCCACCAAAAGAAAGGCCAATTCTCCCACGCAAGAAAATCCACATTGCAAGAAAGCAGGGTCCTTGGAGGTTTGTAAAATCTTTGGACGGAGATCAATAACCCATGCGGTTAGGTTCACTCAGCTCCCTAGATCGTTAGCTTGGTTGGCCGCTGGAAAGCTTAGTTCGGTAAACTCAAAAGCGTGATGTGGAAGCCCGCGCCAAGAACATCCCTGGCCCCGTATCAAAAGTATGTCCTCCGTATCGAGGTACAGAAACACATTTGGATTAATCTCTACAGTGGTCTATGCTACTGGATAAGCTGTGCTACTCACAGTTTCATGCGCCAGCCGAGTCCATTTTGTAAAGCCGATCAGAATCTCTAGGACCCGGCCATCATAACCGTGGACCCATGAAATCTCCTACTATCAAGCAAATTCACAAAATCTACGAGGTAGACTATCAGGTGCTGGATGAATATGAACTTGTTAATACGTAGTTACATTTGAGTAGAGACTATCATTATCATAAATACATAATCATTTCAATGCTTAAGCTTCCCTTTCACCTCCACATTGGGCCTTTTTTTTTTTTTTTTTTTTTTTTTTTGGTTGCCTTTTTCGCAAAAAATTCATACTTACCTTTAGAGGTGACAACCCAAAAATCGCAACAAGATGAACCAACTCGATAAGGGGTATAAAACTAGGGCAATCCAAGTAAATGAAAAGCCAGGGAATAAATAAAAGATCAATTGCGCATCAACTTTGAGCCAGTAACAATGTTCATTTTTCACTCCGGAAAGTGGAGGTCCTGAGGAGACGGAGGAGCAGTCTTCTTTGATGCCCACGCCTTTAGAGAGATGGTGACGATCTCCCAGGCCATCACAAAGGCAGTGAAGCCCATTGCAACTGTAAACACAAACATTGCGTTCAAGTCGTAGTGAATCATTACTTCGATGATATCCTTGGTCTAGTGGCTATCAGTGAAACGGCCCTTAAAACCTTCATCGCCCTCGAGGTTACACTTACGCTCAGCATAAAGATAAGCCCGCCAGAAATAAGACAGAACGACGCGACAAGCTCAGAGGGTGGTCGGGATGGTAGCAACGAACTTGGTGGATTGAGGTAAAGGATGATATAGGTGACTGCACGAGCCATGGAAAATCCAACGAGGAGCATTCCCCACTGCGAATGCACCATCGTCGAAACCATACTAGCTTGATGGTGCGAACTCATCATCAAGCCCAACAAAAGTATCACTATGGCAGGCATCGGGTTGAGTGATAGTCTCTGCGTCTTCGGCGCTTGCCATACCTCGTCCTTGGCGGGCTGTTCAACATTGGTTGGCGCAGGGAGCACACTCATATTTATCCAATCCCGAACACGTTGTGACTCTGAAAGCATACCGCACTGACTCGGCCGTTAGTTTTAGAGATCCTTTCAAGCAACAATTGCCCAACTCACCAATCCTCCACCAAAAAACATTATCGAAATCGACACGTGCTCCAGATCTTGCGCAGTCCAAGCTCCTCCCCAGGCAGCTAAATGTTCAAGGAATACGTTGCTAGATCCGTAAAGGAAAATAACAAGAGACTCGGTGAATTCACCGGTAGGTACCCTGGATTTCCATCCAACAATGGCACGGGATGGCTTGATGTTCCATGCCCATCCAAAGTCGGCAAAGCACCCAAGCCATCTTCCCAATGTGAGAAGCCCATACCACAGGAAAATACCTCCTTTGATAAAGTGGGCAAGACCATTGAAGATGTTGTTGCCTCTCTGTGCATGGACTGTCAGCTTTATCGACAGCTGGCCATTTTACTTTCCTTACAGTCTGAACTTACAAATATGCCGCCATAGGTAACTCCACCACTAACCAGTGCAATGAAGCCAAGGGGAAGAATAGTTCTCTCGATAATAACATATATCGCCTTTAAAATATTAAGAGCGCGCTGAGAGAGTAGACCTGGAATACGGTGCGCGAGATACTTGTCCAGGAAGCGAGATCCTAAAAATTTTCGTGGTCTAGTGATATCGCCAGCCTCGTTGATTGGCTTCTCCTCGAAATCGTCGACATCATTGCCCCGAGATAGGCTACGCCCTCGCTCCATCGAGCTAGATCGAGGGCTACGCAAAGACGAAGAGCATCTCTCGGTACCCTGCCCGCTATCTCCCGACCAGCGATATTGATAATCTCCACGGGAGTATGAGGCCCGGCTATCCTGTGGCGTATCCTGCGATACTGGGAGGAAAGCAAGCCTTTCATAGGCGCTACCCGCAACATACCTGTTTCTCCCCGAATAAGCAAAGAGCAGACCCATGACGACTTCAGCGATCATGACCCAGGTAGCGATCCACCCAATTTTATGGTGAGAATTATTCACATAGAGGTCCGGAGTTTGGGTGTTGTAGATAATGCCCAGGAGCAGTCCGACCGCATTGACGACGAGGAAGAGGAATTGAACGGGGAGAGCGAGGTGAGATCGCGCAACGCTGAACATGACACCTGGATTGTAAATGCAATTAGCATGTGTAGAATCGACCCGGAGGCTTCCCTATCCATACCAATCGGAAGGATGAAGAACCAAGCAAGTACCATAAGAACGATGTGACCCAGGATAACTCCAAAATGTTCTCCGTGGGCGAAGTAACTTATTGGGCCAGAAGGCTCGGCAACTTTCGCGCTCGTACTCATTGATGGGCTAGCGCCTGCAGGCATCCCGCTGTGCATGTCCATGGAGCCATGTTCGTTACCATGCGGCTGTGCGTTTACTCCGAAGGACAGGAGGAATAAAAACACGCCCAGACGGGCAGGGAAAGTAGATAGCCGCAGCATTAGCGAAGAAGAGTACTCCGTAGCTGGGATCGATTTCCAGTCTGGCAAGAGAATGGCTGCTGGGGATCCAAGCGAGGGTCGCTGCAGCTTCGCGGCAAGATAAAGCAAACCATACAAGTATATGAGAGAAAGCAGTCGTTTCAAACGAAGGGAGAATGAAAGAGCAAAGAAGAAGATGGAAATATTAGCTTCACAAAAAGAAGACAAGAGAAAGAGCGGAGCTGGGCTATTATTAATGAGCTGAGTGTCGTCCGAACGAACAGGTCGGAGCTTTCTAGAGGCGGCCAGAGTTCGGCCTTGATAAACAAAATTAAGCTCTGGAGGGGGTTTGGGTTAGTCGTTGGGTACCTCGTTGCCAAATAATTAGTCAATCCCATAAGAGCTCATGATTATTTGCAGGAACAATTTCCATGCATCAAAGCTTCTCAGGGAAAAGAACCGAAAGACGGCAAAGCTTGTTCTGATCAGTTCCTGAAGTTTTCCGGGGATGAGGCTGGAGACAACTCGAAAGATGAAACTCCCACACAAGACATTCTTCAGTGTATTCTCCCAAGAGCAAGCAGAGTATCCCCGATCTGACACCCGTCTTTCCGTGCATGTGGAGGCTTGTCCGGCAAAAAACTGCCAGGATAACCACCATAGCGAATTTTATCCATGCGATGATCCGCGTCGACATCACCGGTCGATGACGCTAAACGTGGTGGGGAGATTCATCGTTTGTTAGCTCCGCATGACCTGGGCCTCTCCCGCCCTGCACGGTGCCAACCCTGTCAGGCTTGACAGAAACACTTGGCCCGCCTAACCGGTCTTGAGAATATGGGCCCAGGTAGGCGGATAGACGGCTAGGTATTCTGTACTCGATGTGGGCATGTAGAGTACTTCCATCCATGCTTGTTGTCCGACACAGCAAAAACATGCATGGTTAACTGTCGGTTCTATCCGCTCTCCGCACTTCAAGTGCAATGATATCAAAGTAGGCTGTCCTCTTTCATGCTTTTTCTTGAAAGCTCTTGATAGGCCCTGCAGCTCGGATTTCGCAAGGTCCAGCCACGAAGGAAGCATTTGTCATCCGCACACTTTTCCTTTTAAAACCACCAGTGACGCCGGTCCCGGTTCTTCCGCAGGCCGCCATGGCTCGTAACAAACTGTAATGCTGCGGTAATTTTATGGATATTGATGCCAAACTGGAGGCTGGATGATGATGGTTTCCCCTCACTCTGCTGTAAATAGTCATCCTCGGCCCCTAGCTCAAGGGACTCGTAATCGCAGTTATCGGTGGCCGAGATGGGCAAGTCAAGGGCGTGGGATGAGGACTTGACTCACTTCGGCAATGATACCGCTTGCATTCCAGCGTCCTCATGCCTCTCTCCTCACTCGGTTCCAAGAGCTCAGGCAGACGCGGGCTGACATTGACACGACATCCGATACATGTGGACTTCGTACTCATTTCGTATACCGAGAGCTTATTTGATCAAGTCACTACTGTACTGGATGTTTGTACACACATACGTGCAGCCTGCGGGGCTTGACAGCTCACCCTCCCAACGACAGCAGGGGGGATCCAAGCGGTCGGTCGGACATAGATTAACAACAGCATCCGGCTCACTAATCCAGAGCATCACGCGCCCAGGTGGGATTTTGAGCATGACGGGCACGATGCAAGACCGAGTCCTGGTATTTTACATGTTCATGGGAATTCCTGCAGTAAGGCCAGGAGAACATTTGATATCAGGTTTGGGAATCCGTCTGGCGACGTGTCGCCTCTAACTATTACCTAGTTAGCCAGATGAAGCGATGCGGGCTGGCCATCTGAGAATTCTTCCTCCCTCGATTGGATGTACTATACGGAGGACTCGGAAGTAGTTCCAGAGCATAATACATTCCAAGTGACGTCGGATACATGCATATCAGTCCAAATTCATAATTTTTCCTCCCGACACTTTTAGGCAGTTTTTTTTCGCGCCAATTTCCTCATATCGGGCTCCACTCAGCACGCCTCGCGGCAAACGGCTCCCTCGTCAAGACGGATTCTCTGGGCCCCGTGTCGGAATACACGGCACTCTGACTCCGGATTTGGGGGGGGGGGGGGGGGGGGGGGGGGGAGAAAAGGCGCTAAAATTTTTGTGCTGAAGATCGCCCCATAAAACACTGCGTCGCAACCTGCCTTTGGCTCAGAAACGGTGTACCAGGTCCCTTGTTCGTACATTGTATGTACTGGACATATGTATGTCCTGAGCGTTGTCATACACCAAAGTCGGCGTGCATCCGCCAGACGAACCCCGTGGGATAATAGCCTGACTCTGACTCTCCATTTGAGAATGCAATACTCCGTACTGAAGATGATATTCCATCACATACCAGCTAACAGGATGGGATACATATGTAACTGACTACGGTGTACGGAGTACACAAGCAAGATATTGGCTGAGTTTCGTTCGAGAGATGTCCTAGCAGTAATTTTCATAAGATATCCCTGGCCGCTAAATCGACATATATATCGGGCTCCTCCTTCAATCCGGGACACATGCCTCAAATCCCGAGCTGGCTGTTTTTGCACGGAGCGCTTCGCACCCCTGAAGCTCCGACATTCCCTCTAACCAACCGCATTTATTTTACAAGGGGCGGGAAGGAGTCATAGAGAACCCCCTCACGGCTCATACACTGGGTCGGCGACTAGGCAACTAGCGATTACTTGCAACATTTTTCCTTTTTCTTTGTGGGAGGGGCAAGAAAACGACCAATTATTCGGACGGGGTTAAATCGTTCTGTCTCCAAAGGCTGATACCAAGCTTTCTGTGCATCCTTTCGAAGATGGACAGCTCTGCATCTCTTGACCTATCGCAGCAGAAGGGATTCGTCGCGAATACAGCCTGCTTTTGTTTGGCCTAGTCTGTTCCCATTTATAACATCTATATCCAGGGCAACCATCAATCAAAATGATCGATGGAATCCTGAGAAGCGATGATGCAATAACCATCTCCAAAACTTGTATGGACAGACTCACATGATGCAGTAGAGCTGTGGTCTTGTGCAATTTTGGTGAACGGGTTTGTTGATAATGTCCTACACACCACCCTACCAAACCTATCCAAAGAAAAAGTCAGTCTACAATCTTGCTACACCTGACACAGTAATAGTAAAATAAATAGCTTGCTCATAAGAGATATATTTGCTGGTTTTTGAATGGTTCTTACTCTTCGATTTCGCCTCGTAACCCGGAGCGGAGTTTCGATTTCTATTTCTATTTAACAGACGAAAGCCCTTGTCTATTTGGGACCGTATGACGGTGATCTGGCCAGTTTTGAATCCATCTGGGCTATCCACGGCTATCTTCTGATACATCATTCCATGGAGAGCATGCCATACTTGGAGTTCAAGCATCTAAAAGGCGTAAATGTACAGTTTCCTTAAAGGATCCTGGAGTTCTGAGAGCACGTACCTGCATATATATATATAATATGTGTGTGTGTGTGTGTGTGTGTGTGAGAATTGGCGATGAGGATTCACTCGAATCAACGCATGAGAATCCAGAACAAAAGCCGCCCAAGTCGTTGATTTTCTTTTCTGCCCTCTGCAAGTCTCGTCAAAGGGTTCCATGAATGCTATGGCAATCGCATCCCTCTAAAATCCCTCGACCACAGCCTAATTATAATGTGGGCTTACCACAACACACTTTCACCGACAGTTAGTGTTGCAAGTAAATGTCTTTTTTTGTTATACTGACGATTTCTGTGACTCTAGCAAAAGATCTGCAGGTCTAATATGCTCATGGTCATATTCTAGGTCTGTCCTTGGCAATTTTCATGTATATAAGGGCTTGACAGCCCTACACTTTTGTGTTAATAAGGGAAAACCATGAAACACCAGCTTGATGCATGAATTAGGGTCACATCTCTGTAGGGGTAAAACAATGCAGGTATTTCACTTTAACCCGGGTGAGCCGATCACTAGCTACTAGGCTTAATGATTCCTAAAGATGCACACCTTATTGTAGAGAAGGGCGCCAACATGGGCTTCCTTTATCTTTGAGACGATTAAAGCAGAGGATCATGTAAGAATAGGGTCTGGGAAAGAGAAAATATGTAATCATTCTCATTGAATTGTCCGTTTTGCGTCACTTCCTATCCATCCAAAGCAAGGTATGCGCCAAAGAGAACTTTTGAGAGCTATGGTACCACGGATTATTTTGGAACGAAAATCAACTGTGTGTCAAAGAATATTCATATTCTAAGAGGGTGACTTCCACACCCTATAAGTGGAAGTGGACAAGAAACAGTAAGAGGCGATTTGAAACTCTTAATTCATGACACAGGTTATATGGTAGAGCGAAACGTGAAAAGGAGAAACTGCAGTGCTTAGCACCCTGATTGAGTATTGCTCATCTCTGCAGAGAGAAATACAGAAACAAAAGTTGACAGAGTGAAAATTCTTCTGAGACTGAAGGCACTGAGTCAAGCAAGGCTCAACAGAAGAGAAAGGTGAGGTTCTCCAGGTTTGCCAGACGGAAATCACACTAGGATCACGTGATATCAAGATTGACAAGGTTGTCATCACTTGTGGAAGAGCACTTTGGAAAGGAGTCTGGGTTTTCAAAGATGTCAAGATTTATCCCTTATTGTAGACAGAGTGTTGTGTTGTTGCAAGAGGTTCAGGTTTTAGCTTCACTTTGTTCCTTGGTAACGGGTTGGCTACTGGTACCTTGATCTCGATATCAGCCTGAGGTCATCCACACCCGATACCGTTCCATTTATTACAGCATATGAGACTTGTCCCTAGCTCTAATACCTTTTTTTTATTGAGTTGGTCTATTTTATTGAAGGATTGATTTGCTGTAGCAGCAAATCAGCACCAACAGAGCACTAGATCTACTTAGCCCAGCTTTATCAGTATCTTATTCTTCCTCTCCATGTCTTTCTGATCATCTTATCACTTGAGGTCTCAGTCACTTTTTCCTTTTAACTATCCTGGACTCGACCTGAATTCTGGCCTTTTTTCGTTTTATAGCAGCATGGCAGACGCTGTTATTAGCGTGACACCAGAATTTGGCTGTGGTATAGCTTCACTTCGCGATCTGTTGAGGATAAGCAGTCGCTGACCTGAATAGAACACCTCAGGGAAATATTTGAGAGCAACTCTAGAACTGCTGGCCAGTTCTACGACTCCCTTCTCCTTGTGCGGGAATCCCAGTCCTCGCTACCTCAAGTGTTCCGGGAGCTTCCTCAGCCACGCTCCGCTTCCACACGACGGTTGTCTTTCAAACCATTATATCAGTGCCTGCACTGCCCGGTTAGTCGATCGCGGGACGGTCGAGCGGCTCATCGGGAGATGACCGGTCATTTATTCTGTGAGAATGGTTATGCTTAATTCAATTTGATGGTTTCGCTAACGAATCGGCAAAAGTCGCTGATTGCCGAAGTGGGTCAATATGGTGTCAAGGCTGTGATGACTTCATATACGACAGTGAGGTGGACAGGGTACTATGGGATACGTCTAGAATAATCCGGCGCACGGATTCGACTTCAGAGAAGCGCACTATTGCTGAGACTCTAGCCAACCCTGATACAGAGGACGCTTCCTACTTGACATCTAACAGTAGCAAACGACTCTGTGGGAAGGATGGCGTGAGAGGCTTGTATAACCTTGGCCAGACGTGTTACATGAACGTTATTATGCAGACATTGTTCCATGAGCCCCTGCTCACATCTTATTTTCTCGGACACGGTCATCGCATCTATGACTGTTCCGAGGCGAACTGTTTTGTGTGCCAAGTTGCAGAGACATTCGCAGAATTTAATAACGATGAAAAACAAGAAGGATTCAACTGCCTGAATCTGCTGTTGAGTTCATGGCAATCATCCCCTGTAAGTTTCTTCTGAAAGAAAATCACCAGTGGGATATCAACTGACTTCCCTCGCTTGTAGGACCTTGCCGGGTATCAACAACAAGATGCCCATGAATTCTATCAGTTTCTTGTCAATAAACTCCATGCCACAGCCGAGGATCGAGTTGACGGATATGACCAGAGATGCCGATGCTTCTTCCATAAAGCCTTTTTCGGCAAGTTGCAAAGCAGCGTGACTTGCCATAACTGTGGAAACACAAACCGCACTGAAGACCCAATCATGGACCTAAGTCTTGCTTTCCAGGTACAGAGGAAGAAGAAAGCATTGCATTGGACGCCTGGAGAGTCGGATACGACGCCAACCCTCAACGGCTGCTTAGAGAGCTACACAGCTCCTGAAGAATTGCCTGCGAGCGATTACAGTTGCAGCTGGTGCGGAACACCGCAAGGGGCTACGAAGCAACTTAGACTTCGAAATTTGCCGGTGATATTATGCATGCAGCTCAAGGTTCGTATGCCGTTACCTTGGCCTTTACGATACAAATTGCTGATACTTCTAATCCAGCGGTTTGAGCGACATCGCTCCGTCTCGGAGAAGGTAGACGCCAAAGTTTCTTTCCCGCTGTCGATAAACATGGCGCCGTACACCACACGCTCTCACTCTAAAAATGTCTTGAAGTATACCTATGACTTGCTAAGTGTGGTAGTCCACATAGGGGACATTGACTCTGGTCACTATCTTGCTTATTGCCGGCAGGGCGAACTGGTAAGCTAACAGTGTCTTGTGTATTCGCGGCGATCTTTTTCGATTGTGTTGAACAGACGCTGACTACGAGGTAATAGTGGTTTAAGTTCAACGATGATCGAGTTACGTGGGCTACTGAGGCGGAGGTGCTGGATGCCGACGCTTATCTGTTATTCTATACCTTGCGCTCTCTTTAAGGCATAGTAGTTCCGGTTGATGAATTACGCGTTTGAATGAAGATTCAATGTATCAATACGGTAATAGGGACTTTTTTTTTTTTTCGTCTTGTGTTTTTGCCTTGAAGGATGGTTCTCTCTTTTTAACGCTACTTATGTTCGATCTCGTCACGTTTAGAAAATAGTATCTAGATCAAGGCACCAACCGCAAGACCTTACTCTTTCTCCCGAATCGCCCGTCTGAAATGACACTATGGGGATCATAATGCTAGAGAGAGATTAAAGCTATACAGCGTATGACAGGGTGATAAATGCGATATTGCTAGCATTCTCGTATTGAACCTATTCATTGGAGCCAGTGGCTCCACTCAACCAAAGTATATTCGTGGCAAAATTTCGAGCCTTCATAGGCCATTGCAGCGAAACTCCATGGACATCCCCGGAGCCCAAAGCGGGAAATGCTTGTTTTGGAGTTATTGCCCCCGCAGATGGCCCTTGGTGCCAAATATTTCGGACGTTGGGTGGTAGCCGTGAGGTTTCAGCGCGTAGCGCGTATACCTTTCCACCATTTCGTCAAAATAGAAAAGAAAAAAAAGAGTTCTCGGGCCGCAGATCCAGTGAAAGCCACGGTTCTTGAACGGTGACAAAGTGCATACAAACAGCACTTATGCTCTATTTTTAAGCCAAACAAAGGGATAGTGTTCGGTAGAGCCGATGTTGTGGGAGTCAGCGAACTCCTCTTCCCCGAGGCCTTGCTAGGCCGCTCCCTCGTTGCTGCCGGCCCGTGGTCCCTCTTGTAGTGTACCGACCTCTTGCACCTCCTCGACTTGCACCCGTTGTTGGCGAAGTCGTGGAGGCGCCTGGTGCAGAGAACTTCGAGCACTGTTTCAAGGACGTGGGCGGATTATCGACGAAAGACGTATCGGTTGTCCTGGCACGGATACATTAGCCTCGGACATGGACCTAGTAATGGAGAAGAACTTACAAGAAAGTGGTTTCGGGATCGACTTCAGGCTGGGTTGGCTCGGGAGTTGGGGGGGATTCCGCTAAATATGGAAATGTTAGATTTTATGTGCCTCTTTTTTCTTTTCTCTTGCCTCTCGCCGATCAGGATGACGACTAACTCACCGGCAGCCTCCTTTGCTCGCCGAAATGAGTCTGGGACAGGGGCCTAGTGCAGCTGTCAGCAATGCCATCGCATCTCTGCCATTATGAAAGGACAAAGCTAGCCTCCGGAAAATCAACGCAAAACGCGTTCATGTTCAACCCATACAAGAAGCTAGCAAAGCTTTCACTGAAACGGGAAAGACTCTCATGTAGGAGTTGGAGGTGCATGAAATTAGCTTCCAGGTCAGCCATGGAATCGGAGAGCTCTGCGAATTGTGGTTCTAGAGCATTGATCGCCGGCTGCATCGAATGTGAACCGCCCAGGCTGCCTCCAAAGCTCTGTTCACGGAGAGACGATCTTGAGCTCGGACGGAGGGGTGTAGTTGGACGGGAGGAAGGTCTCGGGCGTGAGGTCGACCGTCGGCCACTTGATTCCATTTTTCTCAAAATTTCCCTTGAACTGTATACACGTTATGTGAAAGGAATGGGGAACTTGAAAAAAAAAAAAGTCGAACCACACCCTTCCACTGACGTAGTCCTCGGGCCAGCTCCCCGTCGTCTGCGGGTTTCCAGAGCTACACCGATTGACTTCGGGCTGCTGCTATTTTTGTCCATCCAGAACCGGGTCACGTGGGGCGGTGAGCTTCGGGTTGTTCTGGGAAGACTTCTGCCAGCGCGCGCAGAGGCGCCGAAGGTTGGATGGCGAAAAAGTGAGCGATATCGAAAGACGGCAGTCTGGTTGACGGTTCCAGGTACGAAAACCCTCCCTGTCCGCCAAAAGGTTTTTTCATCTTCCGTCCCACCGTTTCCAAGCCACGTTGGTGTTCCCACCAACCCCGGCAGTGCACTCGATTGCCCCTCCTTTGCCGCCGCCGCCGCCGCCGCCTTCGCTCCCTCCTCGCCGACTTAGTCTATAACTTTTCTTCCGCTCCCCAACGGGGAAAAAAAAAAAAAAAAAAAAAAAAGTAAAAATAAAAATAAAAGGAAAAGGAAAAGGACATTTCGTTGACACTCGCCCGTCACTCGCTATCCTATCGTTTGTTGTTTTTGTGAATGAGTGCTTGTTTTCTGCGCCGTGTGCTACCTTCTCAGCTCAAGGCAGCATTCCAGTTTGGCAAACGACGCGCGGACACCCGGTTTTGGCTCAAGGATAGGCAGGCCTCCAGCACCAAAATCAGCCCTATTGTCTCTCGCTATCACGTCCTGACATTCGTCCCTCGTTCTTCCACCGTTGCTACCTCGAAAGCATCCTCTCTCTGGACATTTTCGATTTCGCTAGTTCTTTTGTGCGGCGGTCTAGCATTGAGCAATTCATATACGAGTATTTGGCCATTTGGGGACCCTAAGATAGTTAAGATACACGACGAGTCTTTCGCCGACGAGCTGCAAAACCCTGAGATTCTACAAACTATGACTGAGCAAATCCCTACCGGCCACGTCGGCAATCTTACGTTGGAGGAGGAAGCGAAGCTAAAAGAATTCTGGGGCGCGCTTTTTAAATTATTCGGAGTTGCAGATTCCCCAGAAGAGAGGCAGCCGACTCCACCAACATCGCCTAGCGACACTGCTTCCGACCCGAAGAAGCCTAAGCGCAAACTCGGCCTGTTTGGTAAAAAAGATGGCAATGCTGAAGAGAATGGTGTGAAATCTTCCGATGTCGAAGATAAATATGGCCAAACCAAGGAGTTTTACGATGCTCTCTCCACCCATACACCAGAACAGTTAAGAATTGCGTTTTGGAGTATGGTGAAGCAAGACCACCCTGATGCCCTTCTACTCCGCTTCCTTCGCGCCCGGAAATGGGACGTGAATCGGGCGATGATCATGTTAATATCTGCCCTACACTGGAGAGCCAAAGCCATTAATCTTGAAGAGAAGATCATGAAAGTTGGAGACGCTGGCGCCCTTGAAGGAACAAGAAGCAGCGATCCCGCGATTAAAAAGGATTCCGAAGACTTCATGAATTTACTCCGACTTGGCGAGAGCTTTATACATGGGAAGGACAAAGCCGGCAGACCAGTCTGTTACATTAGAGTGAGACTGCACAAGGCTGGAATACATTCCGAAGCGGCACTAGAAAATTACACTGTCTATCTGATCGAAACGTCAAGATTATTATTGGAAAAGCCGGCGGAGACAGCTGTGGGTCTCCCAACGCCTTCACGGCAAACATGTATGCTAATTTGACCAAAAGGCCCTTATCTTTGACATGACCGACTTTTCTCTCGCAAACATGGTAAGACGGCCCACGTCCCTCGCTATGTTCGAGACCTTCATATTGATTGTCAACCATAGGACTATGCTCCAGTAAAGTTCATGATCAAGTGCTTCGAAGCTAACTACCCTGAGAGTCTTGGTGTGATTCTTGTGCACAAAGCCCCATGGATATTTTCCGGTATGGCACATTCAACTAATATCTCACATGTGAAATACTAAACATATCTACAGGTATTTGGACTGTCATCAAAGGCTGGTTAGATCCAGTCGTTGCTGCTAAAGTCCATTTCACAAAGACCGCTGAGGACCTTGAAGCATATGTTTCACGTAGCCAGCTCATCAAGGAAATGGGTGGTGACAACCCATATACATATAAATATATCGAACCGGAAGTAGGGGAAAATTCAAGGCAGGAGGATACCAAAGCGATGGAGACCTTGATCAGCAAACGGTTCCAATACGCCGCTGAGTTCCAGCTTGCTACGAAGTCATGGATATCAACAAATGGCGCCTCTGCAATGGCCGAATCAGCGGAACTTATGAAAACGCGAAACAACATTGCTTCGCAATTGCATGACAACTATTGGTACCTTGACCCATTCGTGCGGGCACGATCTCTATACGACCGCCTCGGCGCTATTCCACGCCGCGAAGCCAAGAAAGCTCCATCATCCAGAGCAGATAGTCTCAAGACTCATATTTCCGAGAAGCGCAGCTTTGAAATTGTCACCACGAGACAGATTCTTGTTGATAGTGATGGCGATGAAGTCGACTAGAAGTTGAAGTCGATTGTCGCTCTTGTTCTCTCCTCTTTGTTCTAACTTCTTCGACCACTCAACACGGCATTTAGCCTTGGCTTCTTTTCAGGAACGTTTGCTCAGAAGCTTGATGCTAATTATCTCTGTGGCCCTATCGTGGGCAAAGAGATCGGAAAGTCGTACTCATTCTTTTGCTTGATTACATTTTTACTTGGTTCGGGACCTTTGCATGGTTGCTTTTCTTTCCTAAACCGTCGGATTATGGAGAAAACGGATGGCATACAGTTGATTCCCCTTTGATTACGTGACTTGAAGCATATAGGACTGGTCCTGTACATTAAACTCGCCTCTCCTGTGCTCTCTATCCTGCGCTCCTTCTCCTGGAAGATTCTTCTCTGATACAAAAAAATAAATGAACACCAAGGTGTTTTTGTGCAAAGTACATACATATTCCCTCGCGAAGACGACGTTTTCTCCCAGCTGTTTCAATTTTTATTTCCGCTTTGAAACTACAACATAGATTTGTAGACGCGCTCGAGAGATGTATTTGAGGATCAGATACTCCCTCAAGCACAGAGGATGCTTCTTAAAGAGTTTTACTTTACATTTTTGATTTAAGTTCGTTGCAGAGCTCCTTAAGAGAGTCCATATCCGCGTCCTTCGCGGGCCAGCCTACGGTGAGACCTTCGGTCTCGTTTGGTTTCGGAATCTAGGTCGCCATCGTTAACCAGTTCCTTGGGATACAACTGACAACTTAGGCAGCACCAAAGGTGCGCACCAGGGACAAAATGTTTTTCTTACCATATGGAAATGGACCTATAAAAAGATTAACATTGTCCATTTTTGGTTCCGGTGTTTTGAGGGAGATGAAGCTTACATGATCGACGAATTGATGAGCAATCTTGCCATTGTTTTGAAGGATATTGAAATCCGATGCCCCAGCGGCGAGGGCAATTTTCTTAGCGACGGGCTGTGGATTCGCTCTTTTTAGCCCAATTGTTGCCGAGATACGCATTGTGGCGTAAAAAATGTGAGTTTGGGGCGGCGAGAGGGGCGCGCTTTGCTTACCAGCAGCTCGGTGAGGTCTTGATCGGGGATGTCAGTGAGCTTGGCACCGTGGTATTTGGGGATTACGAGCTGGTGGTGAAAAGAAGATACGTTAATAAATGGCCCTTTGGGAACTCGGCACGTTGATCTAACTATCGTGCGGTGCCATAACTTGTCACGGTATCGAGGCAGATGCGAGTGATGTTTCAAGTCAGACAACTGGTATGGAAGAACGAACCGCATGTCCTCGGCTCAGTGGCTGAATGTCGAGGAATGCCAGCACCCTTTCGCTCTCAAAGAGCTTCATGCAAGGGATTTCTCCTAAGGCGCTGTCAGAAATTAATTCACAAAAGCGCGACATCCCGGCAATAGAAGGGCTGCGGGAAGTATGATGTCAATGGGGACCTTTGGGCACGGGAAGCCGTTGCTAGCTTACCCTTGATGATCCTGCAGAAAATACAGGCGGCAGAAGCGGCAGACATGGCTAACAAATTATAGAGATCGAAGACCAGATAGGAACAAATGAATCTTTCTGCGATGGCGAGGTGAGTGCAAGCATTCAATGGAACTCAGAAGTTGAGGGGCGGTAGAAGTGGGGATAATAATTGTGTGTCCGTGGTTTTAAACCCCCGTGTGGATTTTGGGGTGGAACAAAACGACGGGTTGATTGTTGGTGATGGCGACGGGATTCGAACGCGCGATCTTGAGGTCACCGTTGGAAACACCAAGTTTATAAGGCATTGCGCTCCATAATTAGGAGGAGTGGGACAAGCTAGCTCAGAATCCATTTCTTGCCTTTTACCAGAGATGGCCGTGGCTTTGCCCAATACACTCCGCTCCTCAATCTTTGGAATCACTATCGACAATAGTCGGTCGATAATTTTATACTTTTTTTAAAGATTTCACCACGAAATCTTTCATGTTTTGCAATCCATCGTCTTTGTTTTTGATATTTTAAGTCTACTCTCTTGCCAAAAATTTCCTCCCTCGAATGCCATTCAAGTGATGGAGCACTTTTCGCTGGGCAATGGGTTGGGTTTTGTCGTGGAAACAACCGTTATGCCGTGCACATAACGGGGCGGGTTGCCCCTCATAACTCCCCCCAACAGTATCCGAAGTTGCCCCTCAATCGTTCACAATCAACCGAACCTACTAGTACGGAGTGCTGGCGCCAGGAGCAAAGCATCCAGGCTTGCTCGATGACAAGGGCGGCATTAATTCCATGGTCTCAGTCTATCGTGGTCTACGGCCAGATTTAAACCTTCGGCTCAGGCGGCGCTTCTCTTCGCAGCCTTCACGCCGAACGGAGTCCCGTTCTCCAACGGGCTCGTATCTCCTATGGAGAAAACGCTTAATGGACCCAATCGTATCAACTCTGGCGTTGTCGTCGTCTGCCGAGTGGGAAGCTCAGTCACTTTAGTTACCCCGGATGACTATCGGCATCGAAACCCCAGAGAAAGATAAATGCTGCCGCATTCCCCACATAGTTCAACATGTCGCTGTCATTGAGGTCACTCTTCCATACATCTTTCTCGCGGATACCCGTTACTCACTCCTTTCGTGTTGCCAAATATCACTTTACTTACTGCACTAGAAAGCCGGCTGCTAGTTATATTCAATTGTATTCTGTAACTTGTCCACGAGCCATGTTGACGACCGAGCTATCGAACGCTGACGTCGCGGCGTTGCGTGCCAACAAAGAAAGACTACAGAAGTATATCCATAACAGTTGTCAATGGGGAACTGGGATAAGATGGGGAGAGTAGGTGATATCCCTCTCTTAATCCCGGAATTAGCTGTTGAGTTAGATGAGCGACGTTCCCACAGGGCTACACACCCGCTAGTTTCTCTCTGTTGGGTTGACGTGGTCAGAAACGTGGTGCTAACTACATCGGATTGAATCAGCAAACCGACGGATACGGGGATGGCGCGGCTTGCCTTATCTCAGGAGGATAAGCAAGTTCGAGACTGGTTCAAGGAAACGACCGAGGCACTTGGCTGCAAGGTTACTGTCGATGCGATGGGGAATATGTTTGCTGTTCGTCCAGGTCGACGACAGGACGTTCCCCCAACGTTTGTTGGAAGCCATTTGGATACCCAACCAACGGGAGGAAGATACGATGGGATTCTAGGAGTATGTGCGGGTATTGAGATGTTAAAGGTGCTTGAAGAGAACGGCATTGAGACTGAAGGCGGCGTCGGGGTTGTCAATTGGACAAAGTTAGTATATTGTTTTCATGACTCCGATATTGTCGACCTATAGAACTAATCGCGCCTAACAGTGAGGAGGGAGCTCGATTTCCAATGAGCATGGTCTCTTCGGGGGTCTGGGCAGAATGCATTCCTCTATCGGCAGCTCATAATCTCTTCGAAGTTCCTACTGTGGCCTCTCTTCCATCGGCTGCATCGTCTCCTGAATCAATGAAGTCTGCACTGGAGAAAATCAATTATCTGGGTACTGTACCATGCTCTTACAATGCCACACCAATGGCTGCCCATTTTGAGCTACATATCGAGCAGGGCCCTCACTTGATCACATCTGGCCAGCGTGTTGGCGTAGTGACCGCAGTGCAGGCATATCGTTGGTACCGGATAAATGTAACCGGCCGTGACTGTCATACCGGAACAACGTCCTTCGAGCACCGTGCGGATGCTCTGTATGCCTCGGCGAAAATGATGGTACGTGCCCGAGAGATCGCGCAAAAGCTTGGCTGCCTTGCTAGCGTTGGGATTGTCGAGATCAAACCCGGCAGCGTGAATACCGTTCCTGGATTCGTCAGCTTCAGTCTCGATATCCGTGGACCGGAATCTGAAAATGTAGACGTATTGGATAACGAGCTGAGGAAGGAGTTCGATGCTATTGCCGCGGAGGAGGGAAAGAACATTGGAAAACCTTGCCGTGTTGAATGGCAGTTGGATTTTGATAGCCCTGCGATCAAATTCCACCCCGACTGCATCGAGTGTGTGACAGAAGCAACAAAGGCAGTGGTTTCCGACTCCCCAAATCCGGAGTCGATGTATCGGACAATTCGCAGTGGCGCCGGCCACGACAGCGTCTTTACGTCCAAAAGGGTACCGACTAGTATGGTATTTGTCCCTTGCAGAGATGGAGTTAGCCACCATCCAGAGGAGTTCTCCACTGCCGAGGAATGTGTGGATGGCGCGTCTGTCCTCTTGCAAGCAGTGGTGAGATATGATCGGAAGAGATTCAGCAGCTAAGCACTAGCGGAACACTACTCGTGAGCATGTCAATTACACTTGGAATTAGCAGAAGCAAAGAGGATTGTTTCTAGTCGATGTTTCATTATATTTTGAACTCGTCGTAGCGCCGTCATAATAAAATAGGCGACTTAAAACAGCATGACGAGTACTTATAACACATTGAAGTTTCATCGACTCAAGACCCGACATATCCCAATATCACTTGTTTTAGGCTGATGTGCGGAACGGCCACTAACCAGGTACGAGTGACCGTAACCACCGCTCCCCATCCACAAGTTCAAAGATAAATCAGTTCATCTAGGATGGTGGAGCACCGCGACCACGGCCGAATCCACGGAAAGAAGGAGCGAAGTCTCCAGGAGCACCGCCCTCCTTACCCTCACCCTGCTCACGGCGTCTGTAACCACCGTCACCACGAGGAGGACGATCGCCACGGGGACCAGGGCGTCTCTCGCGCTCACCCTCGCCGCCCATCATGCCGCGTGGAGGAGCATGAGAACGCTGCTGCTTGATGTGCGTAGCGGGAACGATCTCAGCAGGCAAGTGGAGCCATTCACGGAGGTACTCGAGACCCTCGGGGGTCAAGGTGTAGTAGTAGTATTGCCAGGAGAAGCGGGTCTTGACGTAGCCACGGGAAGTAAGGGACTGGCAAGCCTTGATGACCTGTAGAATGCGGCTGTGAGTATACGGGGTTCAAACCGGGAGATAGAGAGGCCATACATAGAGGTTCTTGGTGTCAATGTCAGAGTGCTTGGGAAGGTTGAAGTCCTTCTTCGCTACGAGCACACCCTCTAGAAAGGTGGAGTTTTAGTACTTGTCCGCCATTCTGAAACAGCATGTAATGTACTGCTGTAAAGGCTACATACCACGGAAGAGGTACTCGTGGATCTTCTTGCGGTCAGCCTTTGGGATAAGCCTGCGAACTTCCATTAGTGCTCATTCTGCGCGGAATAGGGTACGAGATCTTGACATACATTGTCGCGAGTTCCTGGCGTACTTCGGGGAATCGCTTTGACAACGCGACTCAGTACTTGCAGTGGGTTGATTGAAGTGCTGGTCTTGAAGCTTTGGCTTTCGATGGTCTTATCAAGTGTGTTAGGGTTCGCTAGCCCTTTGCCCTAGCTCGCCGCATCGGGATGTTCACGTGATATTGAGTTTTACTTGGCGGCGCTAACCAGCCCTGTAAATGACGAAGCGGAGCATCATGAGCCAGCAATTGATGTCAGCACCATCACTTGACTACGGAATAGTTACTCCATATACACAACCTTCATCGTCTCTCGTGTAGTGGAGTCACCGCCAATATATTTGCTTAAACTGCGAAGAAGATTGAATTCGCTGAATAGGATTGACTAGCTTTCTGTCATCCTGATACGCAGCCGCAAGGAACACTGAACGCCGCCACCATGGCGCCTTCGACGATTAACGTGCTCCTTTCTTCGTTCCCAGGTCTCTCGCTGCCTTCGACGCTATCTATTCCTATCTCATCAATCTCAACAGTTGCTGATCTCACTGAGAGAATCGACTCAAGGCTTCCGGCGTCATTATCTCTTCAATCTCCCTCCCTTGTTCTAACCACCACCGACAGCACCGAACTGCGACCATACTCTTCTGACAAACTCGCCAACTTCCTAACCGAATCCGTTGATGGTCCTTCCACATTCCTTCCCGTCCGCCTCAGCGTTCGCGTATATGGAGGCAAGGGTGGTTTCGGCTCCCAGCTCCGTGCTGCTGGAGGCCGAATGTCCAGTCGCCGAAAGGGAGCCCAGGGCGAGGACAATGGTTCGAATCGCAACCTGGACGGACGGCGCTTACGTACTGTAAAAGAAGCCAAAGCTTTGGCCGAGTATCTTGCTTTGAAACCCGAGATGGAGAGGAAGGAGAAGGAAGCGCGGAGGAAAAGGTGGGAGATGATTGTCGAGCTGACCGAGAAAAGAGAAGCTGAGATACGCAATGGGGATGGGAAAGGGAAGGTTGACGGTGAATGGATGGAAGATAAAGAGGAAGCGGGAGAAAAGGCCCGTGAGGCTGTTTTGCGTGCGATGAAAGAGGGAATCTGGAAGGATAACCTCGCCGGAAGTTTGCTTGCTGGATCGAGCACGAGCCCAGGCGAAAGTAGTGGAAGTGGAGGCTCTGTTAGTGCAAGTGAGGACAGTGAGATGGAAGATGTCGGGAGCGAAAGTCCTATGGAAACTGGCAACGGCTCAAAAGCATCTCGTCCGGCTAGACGATTTATCGGTTTTGATGATGATGATGACGACGAGGAATTTCTCAGTGACGAAAACGAAGATAAAGAACCTTCTAATAATGATAGCGATGACTCTGCTGGTATTAAGGGAAAGGGAAAAGCTAAGGCTTGAAGTTATGGACTGTTACCTTGCTCTTCATGGCGTTTGGCGCACCTCCAGAGCCCTATCGAATTTGCAGGGTTGGTAGGAATGATTGCTCATGTACATTATAGCGACATTAGATAATGAAATTGTATTGATATAGCAGCGCCCCCCCGGTTCAGGTGCTTGGGCAAATTCTCTGGCAACACTGGCTTGCGCTATTGGTATAAAAAGGTCACCCGAATCCGATAAGATCGCTACGGTTGACTGCATCAACCTATGTAGCATCCTGATAAATTTCGAAGCTTCAATGTCCTCCAAACTTGGAGACGATTAATGCTAAAGGGGCCGTCATGATTGCTTCAAACTCAAGAGTTCTAGTTTGGAGAAACCTACGGTGTTTGTCTCGAGGTTTCCCATTTTCAAATTGCGGTCGCTGCCGTCCATCAAGGTTGCTTCCTCTAACTTCGACTATTCGCCTCAAACCCAAAGCAGCAAGGGGATTTCATACTCAGCCGTTCCTTTGCACATCAGCGAATGATACCTTGACTTCCGCCAAACATGATCCTAGTTTGCTCCCGATTGCTTGCCCTGGCTGCGGTGCACTAACACAATGGGTGGACAAAGAGCAGGCCGGTTACTATACTAGGACTCGAAACGCTGTGAGATCTTATATTCAGGAAACTTCGAGGGATCGAGATGCTACACGCACAGAAAATGAATTATGTGCAGAAAGTACCGATATCAGTGCTAAGGTTAAATCAGCAGACACAGCCTCTGGCGAAGAGTTGAAGCTGGCCAGCGGAAAAGAAGGTATTACAGGCCGATGCGTTGATATCCTCAGCTCCATTTTGCCCGACCAATAGCTAACACAGACAGCTTCTTCAGAGCTAGAGTTAGCCGCACCGATTTTACCACTTTGTGACAGGTGTCACAGTCTCGTTAACCATCGCGAGGCTTACCCCATCCCCTACCCTCCACTATCGTACATTCGAGATATCATGGAAGAATCCCCCTGGCATATCAACCATGTATACCACATTCTCGATGCCGCCGATTTTCCACTCTCCTTGGTCCCTGACATTTATCGGGATCTTTCTCTCCAGACCCAGCGATCGCTGAACCGCAGAGCGAAAACCGTCACATTTCGACATGGAAAAAGGCAGACAGACGTCCATTTCATAATCACTCGGGCTGACCTCCTGGGTGGCATGAAAGAACACATTGATTCTTTGATGACATATATGACCCAAGTCTTAAGGGATGCCCTTGGACCAAGCAGTGGCAAAGTCAGATTGGGAAACGTACACATGGTGAGCGCTCAACGGGGATGGTGGACGAAGGAAGTTAAGAAAAAGATATGGGAAGAAGGTGGAGGAGTATGGATGGTTGGTAAAGCCAACGTGGGCAAAAGCAATCTGATACAGGCTATTTTCCCGAAATCTCCCGATGCTGCTCGCAAGTTAAGGGTAGAGGAAAATTCCAGCCACTTAACCCCTGAGTTTGGACCCTTAGATATTGAAGAGAGTGGCTTATTGCCCCCAGTGCAGAAACAATACGACTTCCCCGTTCTCCCCATTGTATCTTCCCTTCCAGGGACGACGGCTTCCCCGATCCGACTTCCATTCGGGCAGAAAAAGGGCGAACTCATCGATTTACCTGGACTTTTCCGTGGTGGAATAGACGAATATGTTCAAGATGGATTCAAGTTCGACGTAATCATGACAAAGCGACCGAAACCAGAGCGTTTGACTGTAAAGTCGAGACAGTCCCTTCTACTAGAGGACCTTGTCAGGATAACACCTGTCAATTTCCAAAGCGTAATGTTGGCATCTCCGTTTGTACCGTTGACGCCGCATGTTACCTCCACAGAAAAAGCAACGGAAGTGCTTCTCGGACAGCGCAAGCCTCCACATCCACCGATCGCCAAGAAAGGAACAAACAAATGCATCGCGTCAGCAGGAGTATTTGAACTCAAATATGACGTGACAGAAAAATACGGAAAGTCGGTCAAGCAGTCAAAGTACCAAGATGGCGACAATCTCACGGCTCTTTATAAAATCATGTCAGTGGACATCTTAATTGAAGGGTGCGGATGGGTGGAGCTCATAACGCAAATCCGTACGAAGGACTTTGTGGAAGGTGAGTTTCCCAAGGTCGAGGTCTTCAGTCCCAATGGGAAATGTGTTGGAAGCAGAAGACCTATATCCGCATATACATTTTTGCATGAGAAGAGAAAACAGGATGCAAAGAAGGCAGGGCGTCGGAGGCGTTTCGGTTAACTGAATGAAACTGTTGCATCTGATGTAACGCTAGACATTGATTATTGGTCGACCTGCGCTGCGGAGTCGCATGTACTATATAATCTAGAGGATATGTCCCTTGGGTGGACGGAGTTCTCATGGAGATATTGCATAATTTGGATTTCTATGCATAGCCTGAGGTGTACATAGTTCATTTGTGTGGAACTGATCTCTATTTCATGTATAAACAATCGAATATTTGGAAAATTACTCTCTATCATCACTTTTCTTTCATGGGAGCTATGGTTCCTTTCCAACCCCAGCGGTAAAGGGTACGCAACCAAAATATAGAGCGCTCTCACACTCATGATAGAACGCCAAAGCCCAAACGTTAAGCCGCATCCGCATCGTTAATATTTTCAAAATGGAAGCTCGGTTGGCCAGGAACCGCGCTCTCAGCAACAGGCGGTAGGTTTTCGCGCTGCTCTCCATTAAGTGTAGTGCCGACCTTTCCACCTTCTTCGACTGAAATAACCTCCACGACCTTACATCCGGTGGTCTTCCTCACAACCCCAACCATGTCTCGCAAAACTTCGGCTTCATCAAAGGCAAGCTGGCGGCTAAACACCGTTTCAGGGCTCTCTTTGCCTTGAATTAGGCGTCTCTTCAGTCCTTGGACAAAGGGCATAGCTTTCTTCATTTCACCTAACTTGCCAACCTTGGCATTAAGTTCCTTGTCGTTAATCGAAATGCTTACTGCATCGAAAGCTTCGCGGACAAGATCAATGTACTTTTCTTGCCACGTTGGGAATTTCTGCGCAACGAAGATAGTAATCTTCTTGGGTTTCCGGGGGTCAAATGTGACGGCTTTGCCTTTAGAAATCTTCTTGACATATGCTGCTTCAGAAGATGTGATACTGGAGGATGTTGAGCGAATGTAATCGATAGCTGCTGAAAGAGCGGGCACTGGCTCTGGGGCTTCAGGGAAAAGAGCGTATTGAATGGTTTCAGGCTATTAAGAGTTAGCAAAATCGTAACGTGTTTGAACACGCAGCTGTATACCTTCTTAAGCACTTCAAGCCAGACATATTCTGCCCAGTGAGGGGCAATAGGAGTTAACAGGAGCGCCTGGAGCTCAATGTATCGAAGAATAACGTCGCGATGCATTCCAATGCCGGCTGCTGAAGCTTGTTCGCGGTAGAAGTCTCTAGCGCTAGTGAATTCATAAAGAGCAGATTTGAGAGCCAGTTTGAAATTTGTACTGAGAGGTATGGTTATTAAATATTGTGCTTGATCCGTGGGAGGGAACAGGGTGACTTACTCGGAATAATGCTTCCTCGCGTCGTGAACCAACACATTCATCTCGTTGTTAAACAGTTTATCAACGAAAGCATCGGCTGGCCCTGTACGCAAACTAGTATCTTTAATGATGTCTTCGACCCATTCTTTGAGTGTGTGTAGCCGCAGAATGTTACTGTTGGCAACAGACTCCTCGAAATTTGCATCTTCAATGCCATCACCAGCATCAGCAAAGGCAATACGGGTGGCATCCGCACCGTACTTATCCACAGCATCTCTTAAAGTCAAGAAATTTCCAGTACTCTTGCTCATCTTTTCGCCATTCAGGAGTAAGTGACCATTGGCTCTAACTGACCGTGGCCAGTATTCTTCAGGGAACAGAGCGATGTGAACATAAAGCCAGAAAGTAAGATGGTTCTGAATCAAATCTTTGCCCGAAACTCGAACGTCAAGAGGATACCAATACTCGAACTCTCTTCGAATGGTTAAGTATGCCTCCTTGCTAATGCCGGTGTTCTGGATAAGATTATCGTCCAAGTCTCTACGGCAGAAGATATAGTCCCATGCATCGTCCGTTAGTTGTTCTGGCTTAATCCCAAGAGAGCCAGACTCGTTGCCATATCTGTCCTTCTGGAGTAAGTGGGAAATAGTATAATATGCCTGATAGATGGTACTATCACTCAAACTTTCCACGAGGAATTGCGGATCCCACGGCAGCTTAGAGCCGAGGCCATAAGTTCTCGCGCAAGCCCAGCGATTGAGCCACTCAAGATTCTTTTCGAATCCGTGTCGAGTCTCTGGAAGATAAGTGTTGAGACTGTTCGCAACGTAATTTTGGGTGTCACGAAGCCATTGAGGATCATTTGGACCATAATTCATGAACCATTGACCAAGGTATGCCACCACGCAGTCGTCGCCACTTCGGCTCACAACTTTACCCATTGGGTCGGCATATGCGAACGCATCACCGCTTTCAATGAGCTGCTTCCGGACTTTCTCCTTCGCGGATTGCACAGGCTCGCCCTTGAAGTCACCCACAAGCATTGTCCCCTTGTAAAAGCCCTCGTTATAAGCCAATTCCTTGGCTTGGGTAAGCTGTGTAGTATCTTTTGGAGAGTTAATTTTCAACTTCTTCACCAAGGTTGGCGCGGTGAGGTTTCCATATGTTGGTGTCTCAATTATAGGAATAATCTCTAATTCCGCCCATTCCTTTTTGATGCCATAGTAGTCCGCTTTCTTGGCGAGATCAGAAACGGTGGCAAAATCGTCAGGGCTGTCTGACGGGACTGAAGTCACGACACCGGTTCCTTTGCTGGCGGAGACAGTTTCCATAGGCAAGATTCTAACACCTTCCTTGTGCACGGACAACGGGGCGTTTACCAATGTGCCAACAAAGGTGGACCCAGGTGCTTCAGCAACAAGAGGAAGCTCGCTCTGGTCCCGCGGAAATTGATCCATTTCGAAAAAGGTTCCTTGGAATGCCATATTCCAAGCGCCACGTTTTGTCACAACATAGTACTCCTTATCTTTCACTTTAAAAACACCATAATTGAGCGATGGTCCGACGTAGCAGCAGGTCTGACCGTACATTGTCTCGGGACGCATCGTAGCAGGCACAAAGTACACATTTGCGTCACTTTCAATCTTCCCTTGTAGAACCTCTTTCGCCTTTGTCGACCATTCTTTAACTTTCAATTTCAATGCAGTATATTCCTGCGGCCCAACCCCTTCACCCTCATTTCTATCGTGATCCATACAAGGTTGTCCATCTTTTGGAGAATAGATTGTGTATCGGTTACCATACATAATTTTGCCCATTTCATGCAGACGATTCATCTGCCACCGAACAAATGAGTCGAAATATGGATTAATGTCGGTTGTGACAAACTGTCTTCGCCAATCAACTCTTGCTCCCATGCTGTCTAGATCACGGATCCAGAGTGGTGGGAAATACTGAAGCCAGTGGTCAGGGTCGGCGAACTTATGGACCTCTTCAAGCGGTATGCCCAAAGCCAACATGATCTGGAACTGGTATTTTAACTTCACGGTTTTGCTTGCGGCCTTGCTCTTCTTTCCCGAAAATTTTGAAGGATCTTCTTTAATCTGAACTGTTGCCGCCGCCGGAGCCGCATCCGCTTCCTCGTAGTCTTCGTTATATTTCTCGAAATACTTGCCAAATTTCTTGATATCATCGACAAGCTTATCTGCGCACGCCTTAATTGGCATACCGGTACAGTGGAAACCGAGAGGAAACAAAGATCGTTTGCCTTCCATTCTAGCAAATCCGGCCATAAACTCAATTTTACTTGCAGTAAAACTGTGTCCGGCGTGCGGAGAGCCATTCATGTACGGAAAGGCCATTGTTCCAAAGAATTTTGGATATTTGGCCCGAACCTCAGCGGGTGACATAGAGTCGAAGGGAATTTCGGAAAGCGAGGGCGCATCGACCTCGAATACCCTCTTTTCTTTCCATTGCGCCTGGTACTTCTTCTCAATCGCGATAAGGGTGTCTCTTTTCTCAGTCTGAGGGAGTTAGTAGAGGGCGGGGAAGCGGACAGGGGTCTGAGGAGCTCACGTTCTCGAGCTTAAGAGTATTTTTGGTACTGTTGCTGGGGTCCAGCGCAGCAGCTGCTGCGACTGCTGCAGACATGGCTATCGAGGTATAAGACGACCGGATTTTCGTGAGGCACTGAGGGAAAAGGACTCCAATATCTGCTTGGTGCCGGCGGCGGGGTGATCACCGTGAAACTCCGCCCTTGAAAAGCTCGGCTTAGATCAGCATTTTGACTCATATTAGGCCGAAAACTTAGCAGAGCTAGTCCAAATCAAGACTAGCGTCTGTGATCCACCGAAATCCAGGAACATCATTTCTCCGGTCTTCATCCAAAAATTCCGACGAGCAGTTCGGACGGCGAGCGGAGGAGTATCGAGGAGTATTGTGCTGGCACTCGCTCAAATTTCAGAGGCCCTTCGTTTGTATTTATATTTGTTTGGTATCCTGCAGGGACAATTCCTGCAGGGCCTTTCCTAATACCTCCAAAATGGTGTCCATTCTTAAGAGAATGCGGAAGATGAAGTCTGTACGTGTTGAGCTTCCCCTCTGGCTCGAGGCCTTATTGGTCTTTCTGTACAATGATCCTGCTGACACTTTGCATATAGAGAGTATGTAGTGCCCTGAGTACATACCCGGTGCCGTCTGCAGCTCCAATTGTCCCCAATTGCCTTTCCCGGCGGAGCACGCTCCCCGGCCGCCCATTGCGCTCATCGTCAAGGAACAGAATGCTAAGCACTCCATGGTGAATATAGCTTTTAGACATCAGGGTTGGCCTTGGAGCTGCCCTTCTTCCATCTGCATCATCGCCATCAAAATTCTCCCCCGTAACTCGCCTCCATCTCACGTACGCTCGCAAAATGTACGAAGGCCACATCGGCGCCCGTAGATTCTGGCGCCAGTGCCTTCCACGATTAAAATATTATAACCCCAGCGTTGCAATGTCCGTGAAGCAAACAGATGACAATGCTGGCCCGGCAGTGTTAACGCTATACTTCGCAAACAAAGACGGCGCTACACAGGCAACATCTTCGACAACCGATGAATTTGCTCCGGCTCCTACAGAATCGGAATCCGTCAAAACGATAGATATCAAGGGCAAAAGCCTCGAGGAAATTTGGGGTAGCTTTAAGAGCATGACCGGTGCAGAAGATCTCAAGGTCTCGGAAGCTGATCGTCAAGAGCTCGAGGAGCTCTCTAAGCAGAAAGAGAAAAGTGAAGTTGATCGCCAGCGGGTTGCGGGTATCCGGCAAGCGAGAAAAGACCAAGAGAAGATGCTCGCAGCAGCCAGAGCTGATGTTGAGAGGGCTAAGGAGGAGTAGCTTTTATTTTTACTTTTCTCTTATGTTCTCAACTTCAGAACCCAACCAGTGGATTTTCCCAAGGCATGCGAGGAGTTTATGGATCCTGTATTTGTTTTGTCTATGATAGAGGCACTTTCTAGCTTTTGTTGGTTTTGGTGTACAGATGAATTGCAATGTACATTAGGGATCTTTTCAGGGATCAGTGACACTCCGAGCACCTATTGTTGTGTGATGTTTTGCATCTTGCCATCGGACTCAATCAGGTTGCCATGTAGTTGTAAGACAAGAATATAAGGAGGGATGATATCAATGAATGGAGATATAATATATTTTGGTGTGAAGATAAGCGCATATATGCCGCATTTCCAACTAAAAGGATTGAGATAGATTAGTGCAACATCAGGACTCTGTTCTCCGTATAAGGTGTTAACATAATTTGGAACATAAACTCATTAAGAAATTGTGATTCAACTGCATTTCAACCTTTAAACAATTCATGACAGAGGGTATCCCTTAAGCAGGACGCAGACACCATATAAAATTTGCACCGGGAAAGAGACTCCGAGACCGCATTTGCTTTGAAAAAGATACAACATAATACAGGTAGAAGGGGGAGGAAAATAAAATAAAATAAAATAAAATGTGAAGAAGCCATGAGAAAATTTTCTCAATAACAAATCTCTTCCCATTTCCATCAAAGGACATTAAAATCTTTACCTAACACATCATCAGAGGCTCACATTGCAGAAAAATGTTGGAATATGTTCGTCATGCGCGGTCAGGAGTGTAGCTGGTTTCACCCAGCATACTCTGACCGGGAGCAACAGCCGGAGCCATCGATTGCGGGGTCGACTGAGGTGGGGGCTGAGAAGATGCCGCAGCATTCGTCGCCGGTTGAGCTCTGTTTGCACTGGCTGCCTGGAGCCTTTGATCAAGAGCCTTAAGTGCTAAGGCTCGTCGTCGCTCTGCCTCTTCTCTTTTACCCATTGACCGCACATCTGCTCGTCCAGTCGGGTTTAAAAGACTCGGAAGACCAGCTTCACCTCGCGCAATGGCCTGTTGGTTCCCAGAGGCAATGTCCTCCGCTGAGAAAGGCGTGCATACACGAAGTGCTACGAGAATCGAATATATTCTGTCTGAAATAAACGTGATTGGTGGTTGGATCACGTCCGGGAAAAAGCAGGCAAACGCAAATGTCTCACTAGCATCACCTTTGATGCCGAGACTTTGTGTAGAGGTTCCGGAGAGGTCTGGCTGTCTCTTGTAGAACCGAAGATAACTCCAGCCAATTAGAAACCCAAGCCAGCTCAGATTGAAAGTAGTATCCATTCCCAAGACCATCGCTCCGATGGCATTCAGCGCAAGGAAAATGGCAGGGAAATGCTTCACGCGCATCTTGACAATTCCTTGAAGCAAAGTGACAGTATGTTCGGGGACCAGCTGCTTGAAGGCAACTAGGAAACCAGCTTGGATCGCTACTCCACCGCATATTCCTTTTTCGCTGCCGTAACCGTCAGAATCAGGATTCAAACAAAGCAGGAAAGCAGAGCAAACTTACGCGATGGCCGAGTTACCCACGATAGCAGCAACAATAATATAAAGAAGGGTCGTGATCGTATTCGACAATAGGGCGATAACGAGAAGAAATTTACCAAATTCCATTGAACCCCAGGCACGCTCCAGGTATTTTCCACCATAGAATATTGTCGCTCCGGTCGTGATCACCGTGAAAATGTTTCGTTCCACGAAAGTCGCGCATAAGAGTGTCCACGGATATAATAGGAATCGGGCTGGTACAAGCGAGAGATATGCGATCGGGGCGGAACCTTGAACGGGACCGTACTGCTGCCATCGAGCAACGCCATAAAGAAGGGAAAGGGAACAGACTCCGGTCAGGAAAGCCCGGGTAACGGGAGGAATGTTTATTCGAGGCATAATTAACGGTCAGCAGCAGATGAGCCTAAAACAAAGCGTGGAGACTTTCGTCCACCACTATCACCACCCACAAGAAAAAAAATATTATTGCTTTGGATTAACAAAGCTATCTTTTTGCTGAGCAGCTCAAAAGTTCATGTCCTCCAAACAGCTAAGCAAGAAGAGGGTCACGTGACCACCACGGGAGCGCCCGGCGTGTATTGCGTGCCCAACATCAAATCGACATTCTCTTTGGTTGGTAGGATTCTGTGTGCAAATGCAAAACACTGTTTCATTGTGCAGTGAACACGGTCCTGGATGTCTGTCTATGTGCTTCATAAGGAAGACTTGACGAGAGGAGGATCAGCCAATTATCAGTTTGTTGTCTCGAGCCAGACGAAGAGATTGTTGCCTTTTCGTGACCTTTCCGCCTTTGCTCGCGTTTTACAACCTATTATGCCTTTCCGAAGTCCCGGGATCTTCTCAAAACCCCTATTTCATGATATGTTGGGGAGGGGGGTCGGGAATTGAATCCATGGGCAGAGTAAACAGCCCAGGCCACATGGAGTACAGAGTAATTTAATATACACAAACAGTGACTCCAACACGGAGGTCAACAGGGTTGTTAACAAACGGAGTTACCCACGGAGTAGTCAACGAGTTTGTCAGCGTGCGGGAATACCAATTAGTCCCGGGATCGTCACCAGGCGACCTCAAACCCCTCTGAAATCGAGCCTTGCGTTGGACTGCGCAGTACAGCAAGCTGCTCAACCCACACAGAGATTCAAGACACGAAAGGGATTGCTATCCCAGCAATTAGAACACTAAAGGCATGAATTATAGCGTGAAGATGTTGAATAGATTCTAGGAATATTCGGGTGGGGTGTCATGACAAAACGCGTCCGGAGGATTTGACGACTGACATTGCATAGGAAGTTGTGGATTGCTACAAAACGGTACTTGATGGATTGATGCCTGTCCGGGCAAGAGCTACGACTCTCGAAAATCGAAAAAGAAGTGCAGTGCAGAGAAGGCCCTATCAATGCATTACCATTGCATACTGCACTCATACCCAGGATCGCAGCCCAGCGGCTGAACAAACATTTTCATATACGCTGTCTAGCACACCGGGTGCAGACTTGTCTATCCCCAAGAGCTCAAACTTCAGAGCCTTTGAAATGCTACGCTTGAATTATGTACTGAGGCTGCGGTCCTACACTCGGACAGAGCATTTGCCATTCGCTAAATAGTGAAAGGAAGATGTGAAACGAGGCCTCGGACACCGCCTCATGCAGAAAGTCCCAAAGAGGCCAATACGCGACCCAAGAACATTCTCACGTACCCTCAATTACTTTAATTATTTTTGTGCCAGAATAACTAGTCAAATATTCCCCGTATGTGATGCATCAGAGGTTCTCCATAGTGTGAACTGAACTGAAACCGGACATGCATATTCCCTAAAATTAAAGTAATACTCCAAAAACGAACACCACAGATGCTAGCATAGCAGGGAGGATGACACTTGTGGACAATGTGCTGGTGTTGAGCCTCCCAGCAGCATTCTCTGCACCCTGAGAGTTCCTATCCCTCACCACTTTGACCGGGTCACCGTATGATTTAGTCTCCTGATCATACGCCAGACATGTAGTGGGTAGCGGGAACGACGCTGATGCAATCGCGACTTGTGTTTCATACGCGGGATCAAAGGACCCAAGATTGACTTCCAATTCTGCGATTGGGCCAAAGCTAAGTTCCACGCTGGGAATGATGTTCGTGAAGTTTCCAAAAACTTCATCCTCTTCGTTGGTCTCCCGCTTTGGGTTGCAATTTCGGTCTACGTTATTCATCTTGGAGGCATTGACGGCAATCTCAGGGAGATTAAAGAACATTCCGATGCCGCCAGTCGTAGAGCCAACTAGAGAGTGCACTCCAAGCAGAATCTCAGGGTTAAATGCAAGGGAAAAGGAGATACTATCAATATCCTCCTCAGATTGGAATGGCAAAGCCTGGAAGGTTGTATTCGGGCTGTTAAGATCCGTCAGCATTGGTTATTTTTAGCAATATCATAGCGAACTGCTGAGCCTACAAGCCAGTGACAGTAGAATTTCCGAGATTGCCAATATCGAGTGTGAATTTCGAATCATCCGGCACCTGTCCTTGATGTGAGTAGTGACTTCCGGGGCAATAACCAAGATTACGTTTTTAGCATACTGAAGCGTTGAACCCATAAGAAAACTCAATATCCTTATCAAACTGCAGCGACGCTGTGATCTGAGGTCTGACAAACACACCAAATGTCACAAGGCCGGGAATCTATTGGTGAAGTAGAAAAGAGGCGCGTCAGCTGTTAAACATCCGTAAATGGATGATGCGCGCCATAATATAGCACTACGTACCGCAAATGGCGAGAGTGGGATTGTAGGCAAGGGAATCGAGAACTCAATGGGTTCTTCATTTTCAAGGACAACGGCCAATTCAATGTGTGAAGAGAGACCATTCACGTCCAGTTCAATCGAACCTTCTCGGAAGAAATTCACCGCCGCCGGAATTACGTCCTCAGGGCCGTCAATTTCCTCAAGCCGAAAAGATCCTTGAGAGAGTTCCGCGTTTCCTTGCAGAGTGCATCTTTTGCATTTTAAGGTGACGCCCTCAGGGCTGTAGGCGGATTGTTAATCCCACAAATTTCAACCCGTAAGCGCCTTTAGGTACTTACACGAAAAGCCCCGTAACCGGTGTCTCTGGCGGCAATATGACCTGGTCATTAAGTCTCATATCTAGCTCATCTGACGTATTGGGAGGGAGATCCGAAGAAGTCGGGGCGGACGGGAAAGACATAGTATGAGTGCGCGAGGGCTCGTCCTGGCGCTTTAGGTTTTGATGCCACCTTCTGGAAACTTGATTCGAAGGCTGTCGAGCGAACTGAACTTCCGTCGAAGTGAAAACCTCCTTCCAATCCGTATTGGTTTTCCATAATGTGATACGCTTCTCCTGTCTTTCAATTCCCACCTCTGTGACCCTGAATTGACCTCGCTGGTTAGCAAGGCTGATTGAGTGTCAAATACGTAGTGCACTTACATATGGGGCGCTCTTTCGTCTTCATTATTACACTCAGAGTGAGAAGTAACAACTATAAATATTCCTGCGGCTGATAATTCTTTGCTGACTTCATCCAGCCGCCCCGCTGATAGGAACTCTAGCTCGATTTTTGAAGGGAAGCATCTGATCTGTCGAATATCTGACTCCAGATCCTCTAAGGACAAAATGGGCCTTTTCCCCTTGACATTTAGAGTGGTGGTGAAGACCGTGCTATCGGAACGAGTAGCTAAAGGGCCTGAGTCTTCGACATAGTCGAAGCTAGTTTCTCTCTTCAGCAACCGTAATTCAGAGTTACGCTGTATCAAGGCAGTTGGGTTGACTGCAGGATACAACCGCCTCGCTGGCGGGAATGCCAGACTGTCAAATTCACGGACGGAAGGTTTGAAGGAAGAGGCCACCGCTATAGCATGTAGCGGTGCCAAGCAAACGACAAGCGAGAACGGAGCGGTCTTCATTCTCGAACGTTTTGACAGGCGTCTTCCACAGAATTAAAGTGAAAGAAATGCAATCCGTAACACGAACAGCCCAAACGCAATCCACTTTCAAGGGGAATTGGCTGAAAATATATGATTGACCGGAATATCAAGGGGGTAGGATATATTTCTAGGGGAAAACTCTAGAGTGCGGGCATCGTACTCGTACAGGCGGAAGCCAAGTGAGTCTAGTGAAGGCTTTGGGTTTCATCCTACCATTGATCCGTTGGATCGGTATCGTGCACGCCGGGCGTTCCTCGCATATTTCCTCACGACAAGGCTGGGCCACCGTTAAGGACCCCTGGCGCAGTCACGATCGACATAGATCTGTGACAATATGAAAACATCTGTTCATTGGCAGCTTGGGCAAGAAGCCGTAGCAATTGGAGAACTTTCTTTGACTTGGTGTTGAGAGTGTGCTTTTCAGACCTCCTTCGAGCGACTTCGAACCAGCACACAGAAGCCCCATGTTGGAAATCCCCTGCGGTGCTGAAATGGCGTTCAACGGAGCGCGACGGGCAGTGCTTGGTTCGCATGCTTGATAGCGTCGAGACAAGTTCGCTCGTTATCCCCTGCGCCACCCCGAAATGCAGGGTACCTAATTTCGACAGGGAAGGGCCCGCTTCACATGGCAGCGGTAGTATTCAATAGACGATTAGATTGGAAGCTTCGAAACCCCCCGATGTCCTAGAGTATGGAGAGTGAGGAGTGGGAGAACGGAAGCTCCAGCCGTTTGTGATTGGATCTGAGCGTAACTTGCGGACGCTAATAGCGGGAAAAGCATTGACATGGCCCCCAGACCAACGGCGCTGTTTGCGTGTTAGTTACAAACTTTGTCCGATCGCCCCATCACAACCCAAAAATTGGCTCGGTGAGCCTGGCTTGGTCGCTAAATGCAGCCTTTAGCCGCATGTACCTCCCAAGATTTGAAGTCAATCTACTGATTGAGAGGTCTGAAGTTCACACCCAACTCGAGAGGGCTGGATTCGAAGTCATCAATGCTAACCTTTTTTTCTTTTTCGTATTTTCACTCTTTTTCAAAGTCTTGCAACAACCTATTTATGGAGTATGGTAACGACGGAGGATGCCCTTTTACTGGCGCTCGAGTCCCTGAACAAGTCGCGATGCCAATGCAGCCTTGCATTCTTAGCAACGATTGACGTTTCACAAGAGCCTCGGCTTCTCCATTGCCAAAATAAAGAAAACAGTGGTAGGAGAACACTGCACTTCTTGTCAAACGCGTTCTACGGCCCTATGGCCGATGAACCCACCGGCTGTCTCTTATCAATCCTAACTCGATACATGTGGATGGATACTGATACTGACCTTCAAGTATGATACTCTTTATGTATGACCAGTCAAAGTCGTACTCTTGCCGGTCTCTGCGTAACTTTCCGCTGAGAGAGCTGCGTCCGACTGTTATTTAAAATAGGGACTTTGACTCGATTATTGTGCTGGGTTTGATGGCAAACTACCAGGAACATCGTAGAGTGCCCCATTGAAGGCATTCTCGCTGGCGTTTGAGGTTGGGACTTTGAGTCTGAACGGTGCTGGTCTTTTCTGATTGCTAGATACCTATTGTTACTTCATGCAGACGGTACTCCGTAGTTTCTTCTTTTTCATGACTGAGATGAGGTCCTCATGACTCCCAAATATGAAGGCTTCGCCGGAACTTCGGATGGGGGAATTGATAATACTCTGCTTACTAGAGAGTACTTGCTCCGTACATCCCTGCTTGGTGTATGATATTTGTTGAATGGCCTCTTCATTCTGTCTTTCATCGCACACGTGGGAGGGGACGGGCTAATTTACAGTCTGTAGGACAGAGGATGCCGTTCCATCATCAAATCCTCCCGTTTAAAAGTGAAGATCACCCTGCATCTTGATTAAGCTTAATTTGTGGCTTGCACCCTGATAAAAGCAATGCGGTCTCCACGTCGAAGACGGGTGTCTGAGTCTGTAGGCAAGGTCTTCACCGATCCTGGGTCCGTCGAAGAAATGGTGCTTTGACAACTGTCTCGACAAAGCTTGTCCTGGGCGCATTTATTGAAGGTGGAGGAGCTCGTCTAACTAAGTAACAAACCAAGCGAGCTCCAACTTTTCCGAGGACCTCCAAAGCCCGCAGAACTTTGGACAACGGCACGTCTCTCGAGCTTATCAAGCTCCTCTTCCACCTACCGGGGAATCATCTTCATTTATACCTCTCGATTTCGAACAAAGAGGGAGAAAATATTTGGAAATACTTAAACGTGGTTGGCTGGAGATGAGTTACATTCCTGTCGAGGGCTCAAATGCCTTTCAATTTCGAGGATCCGTGGATACGAACTCAACACATACCATATTGTCGGTGATGGCTCAGGTCCTTCATTCACTGTCTTCTTGACTTCCAATGTGCTTGTGTGACATTCTTTAACACCTTTTTTTCCCCGAGAGCTGAACAATGGCAGTGGGCGCCAGGTTCCATTATACTTAAATTTTCTCTCTAGGGCTACCCTTTTTAACTTGTCCTTGTCAAGGAACCATGCACCTATCTCCCTCTGCAACATGGGAACGCTATCCACCACCCCTTCGGACGGATCAAGCGTGTCCACCGTTGAGCTTCGATCGCTGTCACCTGTGCCAGTCGAACCAGCGAGACACAAAGGGCGCCGAGTCAGTGACGTGCAAAATGAATGCGCCGCTATCCCAGATCCGACCAGCCATCTGGAACCACAGAATCGCCTCCATCAACCGCTCAGACGCTTCAGGTATCCAAAGCCAAAGCCGTGACAGTCATAATCACTCTTGCCGGGATCAGTTTCCTGAATGTCATGGGTTCTGGTATCCTCATTGCCGCCCTCCCGCGAATTGCAAAAGATGTTAGCATATCTGAAGGTCTGATCCTCTGGCCTGCTGCTGTCTACTCCCTTGCAGCTGGGTGCCTGCTTCTCATGTTTGGCGCAGTTGCAGACATTATTGGGCCAAAGCTCATGTGGGTCACTGGGAGCTTTCTTTTTGTTGCATTCACTGTGGCAGTGAGTGCTGCAAGAACAGGTCTTCAGGTCATTCTCTTCCGCACTTGCCTTGGTGTTGCTATTTCTATGTGTCTACCAACAGCTGTTAGTCTGATCGCGAATACCTTCCCAAAGGGTACATGGCGGAATGTTGCTTTTGCTATGAACGGGATGGGCTAGCCGCTTGGCTATGCACTTGGACTAGTTCTTGGTGGTATCTTCACAGACACAATTGGGTGGAGGTGGGCATATAATATGATGGTAATCATCAAGTTTTGCCTTTCTATGGCATCTCTGTAGTCATTAGCATTAGTGCATCACCATTTAGACAAGAAATTGACACGTCGGCTCATTGAGGATGTTGATTGGCTTGGTGTGCTTATCATTAGCATTGCTCTTGGCCTGCTGCTTTATGTTCTGGCAATGACAACATCATCTTACCGGCGCATAGGTGATATCCAGAATATTGTGCTTCTTGTGGTGTCAGGTGTCTTACTGGTTGCATTCCCATGCTGGATGTATTATCAAGTCAAGAATGGAAGGCCAGCACTTATCCCCAATAAGCTTTGGATGAATTCTTCGTTCACTTCCATTTGCATTTCTGTCTTCATGTGTTGGGCATCTCTTAATGCCACTGAATATTTCACCACTCTATAAGAAGTGAGATATCCTAACATCTTACCAAATCCGCGTGCTTGTCCATCAAGTAATTGACAAGAAGCTGTATTTGCCTAGCTTCCAAAAGATCCAAGAGCTTTCTGACCTGCAGAGCTCAATCAGATTCCTGCCCAATGTCATCATGGGCGTGCTTGTAAATATAGTTACAGCATACCTTGTCGCACGAGTTGAACTTCGGACGCTGGGTGTAATTTCAGCCTTGATAACCATGATTGCCCTGGTGCTTATGGCAACTGTCGACATCGACGAGGACTATTGGCTTGCTCCATTTTGGGCTTTATTATTCTCACCGGTTAACCCCGATAGTATGGTTCTCCCTTTCCCACTCAAGCCAGGTGGCATAACGCTCCCTAAATCTAGTGCTATTCACCCTTTCCAATCTTGTCATCTCAGACTCCTTCCCAGCTGACATCCAATCCCTTGCCGGTGGTGTTTTCAATGGCGTTTCTCAGTTCGGCAATTCAGTTGGCCTAGCGGCGACTGCTGCAATTGTTGCATCTGTCACGGAGCACTCGGATATCAATCTTAGCCATAAGGAGCTGGTGATGAAAGGCTATCGGTCTGCCTTCTGGACTATATTTGCGGCGACCACACTAGTTGTCATCATTAGCTTTTTTGGGCTGAGGAAGGGTGGAACTGTGGGGAAAAAGGATGAGTGAAGAGTTTCGGCCTCTCAAATATCTTTCCAGGTTCCCTCTGCGGGTTGGCTTTGGAGAGTTGGGCCGAGAATAGCATTCAGGCGACAGAGATCCGGCCTAAGGCAATTTGTGCTAGTTGATGGCAAGCAGGGTAACGTAAATATAACATCTGCCGAGAGAACCACTAATTAGCATCAACAACTGACAAAAGTTTGGTTGCTTAAGGCGATAGGCAAAGAACGCTTAGATCCCGGATTGTGTGTACGTTACGACGTACAGTTCATCCTTCGGAGATGCTGTATGACTGACATAAAAGATATTTACGAGCAGAGTTCTAAAGAGATCCATTCGCTATTCGCTCTTGTATGCTGCTTCGACCCACGATTCGGCCATAATTTCGATAGACTAGGAGGCTTTTTAGATGGGTATCCCAAAGTCTGTTTCAATGGAGAAATGGTTACGGGGAGATAGAGATACCAGTCATCTTCGTTCACAAGATTTAGATTCCCTGTCAGCGCTGTGGGTTCAGAATATTCCGGTTAGAAACCGCTTTCGTCTTTGTAGATAACCCTAGTGACAATTCCGAGCAACCACAATGTTGGTCCTCTTGAAATCGCCGTGGGTGGACACAGAGCCGGCGGTTTCGTCAGCTAAAAAAGAACGGAGAAGCTTGATATATGCGCGGCTGCCGTGATGAGGAATGGAACACCCTAAGGAGTCAAACTCCTGTACTGTGGCGATGACAGTCTTCTGGGGATGCTCGGAGGGTCAATATTCCTTTGGTCCGTCTCCACCCACGCCTCCAAGTGCGTTGCCGTCTACCTGCCGGAGAGTCCTCAACTTGCGGAAAATATTATCTAGTTGGCATTGGATTGACATTTTCTCTTCATGCGCAAAGATTTGGCCATATTTCGCGCTCAATGTAGATACGATATAAATATAGCAGGAAATGGCCCAAGTTGAATCATGCCATGTGCCCCAGGTGTTGAGGTATCGGGCACGCGCTTTTCAAGACCCGTGTACACGGTATAGTCCTCATTTTCTTGTGTATTCACTTTAATGACAAGGTCATCGTTGCCCCCTGATGACGACTCGACGGGTGAACCCTAGAGTATCCTCCTTGTCAGCACGAGGTTTTAAACTAGTTACTATTGGAATCCAGCGTGCATAGTTTTCGGGAAAACTGAGAGGAAATCTATCTCTCGTCATTTTTCAGTTCATCATGAAGTTCATTCGTCAACTCGAGGCTAATCTGGGCAATGTACTCCTGAGGAGAGCTTGCGATACTGAGCATTTTTGTGCGCTCAACTATAGCAGGAACAAGGGACATCAAACCGGCCGCTGAATTTTCCTCGAGCGCGTTCTGGAATTCTAGCATAAGGTCTCAGGTTCCGCTGTGCAGCTTGAATGTTTGGCAGCAGGGTCTGTGTGTTTCCTCCCTGCACGCGTGTGGTCTTGGCGCCTCGGAACTTCTTGAGAGATAAACTGTACAGGGTTTCCAGCTTATTGTTCGCGATGGTTCTGCTGCCCCCATCTCAGCAGCCTGGCCATTAATGCCCCTGCAACCCCTGGATTTGATTGGATGTGCAGCGGGAATGCGCCACCCACAATTGCCAAGACCGTCTCAAAGTTCTGGCCAAGCTTTGGTGATTACCTAAGATTCATCCTCCACGCCGAATCCCTCCAACCCTCAAAAACGAAACAGCTGTCTGAGAAGAAAGAAGCTGACCAGAAGACTGAAGAGAGAGAACAGGAGGATCCCCTATACCACCAACAGGACCCGTGCTATGGTGCTCACTAGCTAAGTAGACAGGGATTCTTGGTGAATAGAAGCATCCCAGCATCTCAGCATCTCACCCTCTGTCTCTTGGGGCTAGAACCAAGCCGCGTTCTGGTATCCACCGTCCTGAACAATCAGTCAAATCTCACCCTTCCTTGCTCTCCTGTTCTATGACAATAATCTAATTCATGTACTATTGTGGCCCTTTAATCTTCTCCCTTTTGTCAGAACTTTTTATCTTGCCATAACAACATCTTCCACCTGATCACATCTGCCTGAGCTTGCTCTCCTCATTCTGCTACGCCACCTGATTATTTCTACCGAGATATCATTTGCCGACATTCCGATTTCTATCACAGTACCATTTTTCCCTTTTCATGCGCCGTGTGGTCCTAGCATTCTCGAGTAGTGACCTCGATCGAACCCCCACATTTGCAAGGAGGACGTGATATGTTATATTCGATATTATCTCTCGAATATCGCTGCAGACGGCAGCGACTTCCTATGTAGCCATGGCTCCTTGCGCCCTAACTTCTCACCATGTCAACTATTTGATTTGGAGGCAAGTATCATACTTACCATTGATAAAATTACGGATAAGCTAACTTCTAGCCACTAGGTATCTACAAGAATCAGGTTCGTTCAAACATAGACTACCACTGGTAGTAGAATTTTAATCTAATTAACTGATACACTTTGCAGGCCATGGGGAAGCGGCAGTTATGCTGCAGCGCGCATGGAACTCTGATCCTCAAAGGCTACCCTTCGCTCCGTACATTAAAACTCATGCCTTAGTGACTCTAATTCAGAAAGGACTTCAGTATTATGATATCGAAAAATCTCTAGACCAGGTATCTACGCAGGAAATCTCCTCTTTATTAACTTACTATTACTAACCAGATGGTTTTAGAATGGGAACCCCATTTCCGTTTCTGATGTTTCATTTTTTGGTCCCAGCACCGCCCATCCCAGTATTATAGTCGGTATTGGAGATTCAGTCAAAGCCAAAGATGCAGAAATGGCGAGAAAACCAGAGCCTGCGTCCGAGGCCTTTGTTCACGCTGCTCCCAAACCTGATGGCGAAATTAATGGGCAGTCCCCCAAAGCAAATATTCAGCCAATCGCCAAGAAAGGCGCCGAAGCTAGCGAGCCTGAGGGATTACCCATCAAGGTGGATGACGCGGCCATGGAGCTTGACAAGCACGAACAAGCCGGTGAACCGTCGCCAGCTCCTCTTCCGTCTTTGACGCCTACCGAGGGCGTGGTTGACGCGGATGGAGACGTTGGAATGATTGAGATGCAGGAGCAGGAACCTCAAACGCCCGTATTTACATTAACAACGGGACAGAGCGTGGGTGTGCAGATATCGCCGGTCAAAGCTGCAGATCTAGGTCCGGACACTACCCTGGTCGATGTTTCGGGAGAAAGTCACATGATGCGCGCTGCTTGGCGGCCTCACGATCCGCTTGTGTTCGCAGCAGCTGGTGATACGTTTTGCGGTCTATGGAAGCTATCAGGACAAAGATCTCCGACATTTCCTACTCATACCACGTTGGTAGCTGGCTCATGCGTGACAGCCATAGATTGGGATTCCACCGGGAATATGCTCGCTGTCGCCACATATGATAATTTCATTGGGTCTATTACAATATACGATAACCATGGAAACGCCTTAGATGTGCTCCCGGAATCCCCAAGATTAATTTCGGGGCTACGTTGGTCTGGGAAGGGCTCTCAAATCGCCATTGTAGCATCTGACGGTCAGAGATCAGAACTTTTCTTGTGGAATCAGGAATCGCGACCGGATTCTTTTGTCAGGCCACAAGCGATCGATGGGCCGGTATACGATGTTGCGTGGTGTACAAATGATCATATATATGCCTGCGGAGATGGATCTGTCTACCAATGTGATATAGACGGGAACATCCAGCTGTCGAAAACGTTTGATTCTGGGGAAGAGCCAGAGTCGTGGACGTTGCTCAAGGCAGTCTCTATTGCTGAAAAGCCCGTCGCTGTAGCTGCATCGACTTCGACATCGCATATCTGGATTCCTACCCATGACATACACGTGAAATTCGCACACCATGGAGACATCACAGGACTTGAAATTCGTCCTCGACCCAATCCTTCCGAGTCTCTGAAGAACTCGCCTTTAATATTGGCCACCTCTTCTATGGACGACACTGTCAAACTCTGGAATGTGGATCTTGACTCAAAAGAAATATACTGCCAGTATCGACTTTTCTTAGGAGCTGTAACGCCTGCTCTGGCGGTCAGTTTCTCCCCAGATGGCTACGCTATTGCGGCTGCTAGTTACAACAATCTCACCATCTGGAATGCTGACCGTGGTGGTACACCTATGGCGACATGGGACGGATACTTGGATAAGTCGAATGACGAGGCCAATCACGACAAGTCGATAGAACTCGACCCTTCCAGCGTCTCTATGATGGATCGACCGTTGTCGTGGGATACTGATGGTAAAAAGCTTGCTTTGGGTTTTGGCGGAAAGGTACGTTAAATAATGTGTATAAACCACGTAAACACGGGTTTGCTAATTTGTGACAGGTTGCAATTATAAATCTTCAGCGATGATGATTATTTCTTCGGATATCGATCAACTGTAATGTGTGCCCATCGTCTTAGCTCTGAAGGCCCTTTCTATTTTCCTTGACTTTCAGCTGAAGACCATTGTATCATACCTCGCTTCTCGCGGATTAGGTGTACATGAGGGGTTCTCTGGTGGATTTCTGTATTTTCTTTTGGTGGGTTGCTTACGCCTTGAATTATTCTTATGGTCAACGGAGTCGAGCTGGAGCAGACCCAGGATGGTTACCCAAACATGGCGAATAGGGCGTTGTGGATGTTTCATGTTTGATGGGTGCGTGAGTTCCCCCGGGCTCCGTCTAGGCCCAGGATACCTAAATTTGGATAGACAGTCAGAGATAATTCTCATGCCTGTTTTGAACTGTACATATTGTACGGAGTACAACTTTCCCAAAGAGACAACATACTAAGGATGAACTGTTTCTGCCACATTCACTCATAGTTATGTAAAAATACAAGCTTACATTGTGCACTTTAATGCTTAGTGCAGAAAAGGAAGGCTTAAAATGACCCCATACATGTAATATGAAGTACGGAGTACGGAGTACTCCGTAGTACTCCGTACTCCGTAGTACTAGGTGTATATTTTATCACCAGCCGCCCTGCAAATTGTGGGTTTAGGTTTTGGCGTTGGGCTTATCTGATGGTGACAAACATTTTGGATGGCGAGGTTCTGTGTAACTGTTCCATGTGGAACCAACGGTTATTCATATCCTCTCCCTTTCTTGAGTCATTGTTGATTAGATCCTTATTCCATAGATTCGGTAACCACTCCATACATATTGTGTTAATTTGCATTGATATAATTTTCATCTGATTTCAACACTCCCGCTTCCCCACATTTGCCATGGCTCCAAGGGTATGTGCTCTGCGAGCGAAACGAGATGGGTCAATGACTTACTATACAGGCACTAAATCTTTGCTAATAAGACTTGATTATATAGGCCACAATACAGCCTACACTCGAAACAGTCCGGGATGTGCTTTCCCAGTCCACGGGTGCACCGCACGCGCCAAATATCGTCCCAATAACTGCTTCGATACGCGCTGATCTGCTCACTCCTACATTGGCGTATCTAAAGATCGCAGCAAAGTAGGCTTGTAGTCTCCTATGACCACGTTGAAAAGATACGAAGTGTTAAAATGGTAGTGCTAATTAACTCACCCGTTGTGGAAGATCGAAACGTTCCTTTTTGTACGAGAGTGCTGCGACCACGGAGACAATTGGGAGATATAGTTTTGTAGGAGCCGGTACGTTTACATATGATTCATATATAATGTCGATAATGACTTAGATGTGCCCTTTAGATCCCAAGAAAATCCTCACTACTGGGCCCGGCCATGGGCCCGCCTGCGATCCGCTGCCCCTCCTCGAGGAGGAACTCTCGCAATTCCGGGTTGCTACAATTCCTGGCATGCAGCTTCCGCCAATGTCTGGAGGAGTGATTGGATACGTTGGATATGACTGCGTGAGATACTTCGAGCCGAAAACAGCTCGGCCTATGAAAGATATTCTCGGAATACCGGAGTCTTTATTTATGCTGTATGACACCATTATTGCCTTCGATCATTTCTTCCAGGTTGTGAAGGTGATAACCTACATGCCTGTCCCCGAAAATGAGACAGAGTTGGAAGCAGCATATCAAGCCGCAGAGGGGACCATGCGATCAACTATTAAGACATTATTGGATCCCAATGTGCCGCTTCCGCCCCAACCTCCGATCAAACGCGATCAGGTATATACGTCGAACATTGGACAGGAAGGATACGAAAACCATGTGAAGCGAATGAAGGAACATATTGTTAAAGGGGATATCTTTCAGGCTGTGCCATCCCAACGACTTTCTCGACCTACTACGCTACATCCCTTCAACCTATATCGGCATTTACGCACGGTGAACCCGTCCCCATATCTTTTTTATATTGACTGTGGCGATTTTCAGATCGTTGGTGCCAGCCCTGAACTGCTCGTGAAGGATGAAGGAAGACGGATTATTACTCATCCGATCGCAGGTACTGTGAAGAGAGGGAAAACCCCCGAAGAGGATGCAAGATTAGCAGCTGAGCTTAAGGGAAGCTTGAAAGATCGCGCAGAGCATGTTATGTTGGTAGACTTGGCCCGGAACGACGTGAACAGAGTCTGTGATCCGGTCACAACGCAAGTGGACCGCCTCATGGTCGTCGAGAGATTCTCACATGTCCAGCATCTGGTGTCGCAAGTGTCAGGGATCTTGCGTGAGGGTAAAACACGCTTCGATGCCTTCCGCTCTATATTCCCTGCCGGCACTGTCAGCGGTGCTCCAAAGGTCAGAGCCATGGAGTTAATTGCGGAAATGGAGGGCGAAAAGCGCCACATATACGCCGGCGCGGTCGGTTACTTCGGATACAACAACAGCTCTGTGGACGGACAAAAGATAGTCGACGGTACGATGGACATGTGCATCGCTCTCCGAACCATGGTCATGAAAGACAACGTTGCATATCTACAAGCAGGAGGAGGGATTGTATTCGATTCCGACCCTTACGACGAGTACGTGGAAACGTTGAATAAGCTAGGAGCGAACATCCAATGCATCAAAGGAGCAGAGGAGGTGTATCTGGAGCTGGAGAAAGAAGCTGCAAATCACTCTTCTGTCTAGGAATTGACTGCTGTTTTGCAGTTTGCTCATTTCGACTTGGACGCGTTTTGAGATATAGAGGCGACTTCGGCGGCCACTCCAGGTCCTCTGCAGCGATGACTCAGTCCTTGGCATGGGAGAACTAAGCGTTGAGACGGCTGAAACCATTTCAAGCCAAGCTGCCAACGCATGGAGGCCGAGCAGAAGCGGCGAAACAGGGCGGTGTTGCCAACGTTTGAGTGTGGCTAGGGTTTGCTACACCCGCCACCAATTAGTCAGCTAATCAGCCAATTTAGTTAGTTAGTTAATAAGCCACATCAATCCATATTATTTCGGGGACTTGCCTCATCACCACCGTCATCATCAACCCTTTTTCCCAGTGACTGTCGACATCACGACCTCCCCAACAAGTTCACTGAAACGCCCTTGCAACACTGCAGTCTAAGTTCTTGCAACTGCAGCTAGCCGCTCTTTCTTAGTATTCAAGGCCCCTGTTTCCCCGCACATCCTTCGGCTGCCAACTGAAATCTAATTTGAGGGACGTCCGCTTCTTGGCATCAACCCTCATCATCATAGGGACTGGGAACCAGTGAGCCATTGAGACACACATGCTCCCATCAGCCATTACTTAAGTAAATGATACTAGCTCTGAAGCGGGATCCTCCGTACTCCGCACGCGCATCGGCACTGTTACAACATCATCGGTCTGCTAATAGTGAGTTCGACTGGTTCCAAGTTCACTCCGCCACCTCAATCGCACTGCTTTCCGAGTCGCCGATATCGTGCTGCACTCAAACCATCGGAAACCGTTTCAGGATTGGAAGCTGAGAACGTAAACTCACAGAAGCATCACCCTATCCTCTTTTTTTCCTTTTTTTCAACTTTCCTGTTGTGGTGCTCCGAGCTACCGAGAAGAGTAAACTACCCCGGTCGCCAATATGTCCAAAGTTGTTAGGAGTGTGAAGAATGTGACGAAGGGGTACTCTTCGGTGCAGGTGAAAGTCCGAAATGGTATAGTGATACCTACATATTCTGCCTGGATCTGAATGTTAACTGTGTCTCTTCCCTTAGCCACGAGTAATGACCCCTGGGGCCCAACTGGCACGGAGATGAGTGAGATCGCGGCCCTCACGTACAATAAGTACGCACTAAGCCTTAAATGCGACCATTGGTGAATATTAACTTACACGATGATAGTCCTACCGATTTCTATGAGATTATGGATATGTTGGATAAGAGACTGAATGATAAGGGGAAAAATTGGCGTCATGTCCTCAAGTCGCTAAAGGTCTTGGATTATTGTCTCCATGAAGGCTCAGAACTTGTCGTCACATGGGCAAGGAAAAATGTCTATATTATCAAAACTTTACGCGAGTTCCAGTACATTGACGAGGATGGTCGTGACGTTGGCCAAAATGGTCGGTTAACATTTTATCACCGTATGGAAGCCCGTCCTAACTGCTTATTGTGATTCTAGTTCGAGTCGCTGCGAAAGAACTCACTGCCTTACTTCTCGATGAAGACCGTCTACGTAGTGAGCGTTCGGATAGAAAACTTTGGAAATCCCGCGTTAGCGGCCCTGATGACGCCATGCACGGCATCGCCGGAGGCAGTGACATGGGATACCGACCTCCCCGCAGACGCGAGCGCCAACAGCGAAATGCAGATGAAGAGGATATTGAGTATCGTCTTGCCATCGAGGCATCCAAACATGAAGCAGAAGAGGACAAAAAGCGAAGGGAAAGGAATGCGCGCTTGGAAGAAGAAGACGACGAGCTTGCCAAGGCTATCAAACTTAGCAAGGAAGAAGAGGAGCTTCGCAGGCGTGAGCTTGAAGAAAGCAACGCTGCTTCTCTCTTTGATGATGCCACTCCAGCCGCGCAACCTCAACCTACAGGCTACAACCAAGGTTACCAGCAGCAGGGAGCGGTGGATTGGTTTGGAAACCCTGTCGACGCCCAACTGCCAATGACCACCGGTTTTTTGAACAATCAGTATTCACAGCCTACAGGATTCCAACCTCAACCAACTGGTTACGCTAACGGATTCGCTAATGGGTTCCAAACCCAGCCGAACACTTTCGATCAATCACAATTTCCACAGCAAACCGGTTTCCTCCAACCGCAGCCTACCATTCAACCTCAACCGACAGCATTTAATAATAGTAATCCCTACGGTAATGATATCTGGGGCCAGCAGCAGCAGCAGCAGCAGCCGCCGCCGCCGCAACAGAATGACTTCCTTCACCCGGGAAGCCATAACCCGTGGGCTCAAAACAATCAGCCACAACCTCTTGACGCATTGAAACCAGCCCCTACAGGATCCAACAACCCATTTGCGTCCTCTTTCACTCGTGCCCAAGCTCAGATGCAGCTGCAACCACAGAAAACCGGACCCCCGTCGCTCAATACCCTTGCTGAGCAGAGAACCGCCACCCAAGCGCCCTTTAACAATCCCATCATTAACTATCAAGCACCTCAGCAGCTTAATCCACCGAAGCCAGAAGATCCGCAACGTGCTCGCCTCAACGCTATCCTTGCCACTGGTGACGGCCAAGATACATTCGGCAATGTTGGCGACCTTCGTATACCTGCCCAACACACGACTCCGGGAGTGTTTGTCAATTCGGCTGGATCAGGCTTGGAAAGAATTCGTGCTGCGCAGACTGGCAACAATCCGTTCCTAAATCAGAATTTCACTGGAGCCCCGCAACAAGTGGGATTTGGGCAGCCGAACAACAATCCTTTTGGTGCCCGACAACCTCAGCAGGGTGGTAGCCTAATTGACCTTTAGGCTAGGGTCTTTGTTACACCAAGCACGGATATTCTTGATATTTAAGAGCAAGTTTTCTTTTGTCAATATTATATGGGTTATCACTCGAAGGAATTCGATCGAAAGCAACAAGTGGGAGCCGGTTATTATTGTCAATGCTTCACTCAATTCTTTTCCGCCACTCCGATCAAGCATCGAGAGATATCCATTTAGGTACGGTTTGGGTTTTCACGGTTGGCCTAGGTGGCTATTTATCTTGACTATTTCGTCTACGCTTTTATTTTCCTTTGTCATACACCTGCTTTCAAGATTATTCCTTCCTGTTAAATCATATGGATATGGTCATGTCTACACGGGAATGGCGTTTACATTTTGCTTTTCAATTATTTTCCTCTCCCCAGGGTTTGCCAACTCTACTTTTGTACCTGAGCATTCCCCTGGATCCTTCGTTTTCCAGTATACGTCTTGACCGGCGCATTGCTTGCTCGCTTATGGATACCTTAGCTCCTTTTTATTTCCTTTAGTTTTGCTTTTCTTATTACTGGTGTTGTTAGTTTCTCTCTTCCAAGGGCTTTAAAATTGGCTTTAAATACATTTTCCTTGCAGATCTTCTATATGCGAGTGCCTGTACATTTGCTTTTACTTTCCGCAATTAAAGGTATTCTGTTTTTCATACACCTAACACCATGAACACCTGCAGCCAGAATCAAGCGTCAACGCGCTTGTTATCAGCTCTGTTAAGGATAATACCACAAATCCTTCGCCAGATGATACCTTTCTAGTCTCTTTTGAAGGGTTACTCATAAGCCAATACTTGCCAATTTGCTCCCTACACTTGAGACATCCAACTTCTTTGCCTTCTCCACGAAAAAATAAAAAGAAAACAAAGAAAAAAAAGGGGAAATTCTTTCGTGTAACCTTTTTAACGTCCACTTCTCAAGTTATTATGAGACAAGGAGCCATGTCCACTCCAGTAGGTCAAATGATCCACCCGTTCCTACCCATAACACTCAATCGTAGTTAAACCTTCATCGTGACGAAGAAGTGCAACGTTTAAGAAGTATTCTTGACACCGAAAAGTGGCCCTAGTGATGCTGACTTTTCTTTTCTGTGGCATAGACATTTGTAGGGGTAAAAAGGGGATACGCCGCATTGCATCGGACTCCTGTGCTCCAAAGAAGACGAACATAAGTTGAGCCCCTATCTACGAATGACAAATAAGCCCATGCATATAACCCTTAGCGTCGGAGTAGAAATCTGCTATGCCCTCGAAGATTTAAGACTCCCTGACCAGCATGACTGAGGGCAAAAATTGGACGTAGGTGTTATGTTTATATGTCTGTACGTAAATATGTAGAAGGGGTATCAATATAGCCAGCTAGCTAGCCTTGAATCCACCTTTGCGCCAGCAATAGACAAGGAAAGGAAGCAGAAAGTAGAAAATGGAAACGAGAAATCACGAGACGCGGGCCTAGAGAAGAGCGGCAGAATATACGAAAAATGGCAGAAAAGGCACGGACAGGAATCCCCTAACCTTCATCTAATGTCATCAACATCATAAAAAAGAACACGCCCTTGAGTGTATAGCTGGTAAACTCGGTTTAATTTTGTTTATTATCATCACCCCGCTCAGGACGCGAAGACTCTCACGTTCATATCCACGCTCCCAGTTGCGATGACACATCGAATTTTTCCACCACCCCCAGTATCTTCCTTCTTGCTCGTTGTTGAAATGGAAACTCCATTCATGCTTGGAGTACCTTGTCCATTAATGCCCCCTTCACCACTTACGAGTCCGCTCTCGTTGATGATATTTGGTGCCCATCGTATGCAGCTCACAAAGTGCCCGTGAGCATCGCTCACGGTTCGAACACATTTGCATTCCTGCGAGAGATCCCAGCATCGGAGCGTTTTATCGTCGCTGACTGAGAGAAGGTATTTTCCGCCGGGATGGAAGACCAGCGCTCGTATCCAATTGTCGTGTCCCACAAGGGTTTTAATTAATGTGCCACGGGAGTCCCATACCTTTATCGTTTTGTCCCGGGATCCTGTGGCAACGAATTCAGCTGATGAAGAGGCCGGTGGAGGTTTTTTGAGGCCTGCTAGAGCAGCCAGATGCGGATAACTAGCTGCCGGGGCAATCGTGACGCATTCAACTACGTGTTCGTGGCCAATAAACGTCGATTTTGTTTCTCCCGATGAAGCGTCCAATAGCCGTGGAACTCGATCATCCCCTCCTGACATTAAAAATCGACCATCTGGAGACGGGAAAACGTCTCGCACCCAGTCAAGATGACCCTGTATTGTTTTTACACAATAGCCTGTTGTTACATCCCATATGCGAATGGTTTTGTCGCGCGATGCGGATGCTAGGAGATTTCCTGACATCGGAGAACCTGCGGCACCTGAAGGTATGAATCGGACTGCGGAAACGCTGTGATCATGGCCCGGGAGGGTTCGAATATTTTTATATTCATCCGAAGGATCCCATAGCTTAATTGTCAGATCCGATGAGCACGATGCTAGAAGCGTCCCGCCTCGAGGCCCTCCGTAATCCACGTCCAGCACAGCCCTGGTGTGGCCCTTTATGGTTCGTTCAAGCTCGCCTAATTCCCAATCCCAGATTTTGATCGTGGTATCTTCGGAGCCGGATGCAAGTGATGAGAAGATTGGATGGAAGGCAACGCATGTGACCGGCCCTCGGTGGGACTGCAAGCTATGTCTGGCTGGAGCGCGAGGTAGCCAGGACGCAGGGTCTTGATTTCTTCGAGAAAGCGACGTTGGGGTGGCAGAGTCGAGTTCTTGCTGTAGGGCTGCATTTCGGGATTCTAGGTCCATAATCTGCAACAAAGGAAGCAAAAGTTGTCAGTTCCCGGGTAGCTACGATGGGGAACATGCGCTGTGTGCGTGTGTAAAAACTCGACCTTCTTCTGTAGTCTGACTACGCTGGTCCATTTTTTCTCCAGCAACCCCTCATATTTCTTTGCGGTAGCATCGTCCAAATGAACGCTATCGGCGAGTTCTTCACGGAGTGCTGCTGCACTTTTCGAGAGGTTGACAGACAAAAGGTATGCTATCATCGACTTGTGACTTGGTCCGAGCCTATCAGCATAGATCCTAAAGAAGCTTCTGTAATGCTCACGTACAGTTCCTCTGCCTGTCGTGCCGTGAGTAGCTGGCTCATGGCTGCAGTGATTTGCCTTTTCAGAGCTTCGTCCAGGACTTCCAGTTGTTGTGATTTTTATTTGATTCTTTTTTTTCTCAGGTCTGTCGTTTTATCGTACCAGGTAGAAAGACTCGCCCTTTCATGAGTGGGTTTTGTGAGGGGCCTAAGCAGATACAGCGGTCGATCAATGCAACCATGCGAACTATGGCTTTGTGAAGGAGTCAAAAGGACAATGTCGACGGGCCGGACGGCAAACAGCCTGCACAGCGAGGTGTGCAGACCACAAGCAGAGAGTTGCCTCAAGGAGAGAGCAGTGAAGGGCGGGGCGAGTAAGTGAGCTACGGCGGGATCAAGAAGATAGAAGAGACCTTATCGATAGAGGTGAGGATAGTAGCACCGATATTGAATTCTTCGGTTTCCTGGATTATGCTGCTAGATCTTGAAACTCTCGAGAAAAGGACCATGGGTCGAGCAGCGGAGATGCCTCGAAGTCTCTCCGGATTTGGCTTTGGTGATTGGGGGTGTTTTTGTGTCTGATCACCACAGTGACCGAGCCCTCATTGGGCGGTGACTGTTGACAATTGACCCTAAAAGACCGTAAACACAAGCCCGATCTATCGCCATCTTCTCCCCGGCCGACTTTTCTCCTCCTCCTCCTTTTCCTTTTCCTTTTTTTTTTTTTTTTTTTTTTTCCGTTTTTCTTAAATTATTTTTTTCCCAGACTCGAGACCGTTTGCTCGAGAATCAATCCGTCCTTGAGTCCTAGATTCTGTGGGAGCAACAGGACTCTCGCTCTTTCAAATTGAGCGTCAACAATTTACCCTCTTTTTGCCGCCATCCTCCGTCTCCCCACACTCCCTGGCTGGATCTGCGCCTGACCTGTGAGCCCAACATCTTGATGTTTGAAGGCCTGACCCTTCCTTCGTCGATGGTATTCTTTTAAAAGATCTACTATATCTTGCTCTGGTATCTTTGGTCTTCCCCCAGTTCTTCTAAGTCGCGACATCTTTCCTTCAGTGCGACGCGAAAAGGATCGCGCCTGTGACCGCAGAGGCTGATAAATTGACATCCCAGACCAACCAATTCGGACCTAAACCGAATTCCTACTTGCTTAAATTATGGCTGAGCAGACGGAGGACTTTTCCTCTCTGCCCTTACCCGACCGCTTTGCTCACAAGGTCGGAGACCCTACCCCCGGGCTTCCTCGCTCTGTGCGTGTGTGAGAGGTGGTCGAACTGACAATTTATGTTTCGCATAGAACTGGAAAGTGAGGAAAGAAGGTTATGAGGATGCAAGGAAACAATTTGAAAAGTCACCAGACGAGTCCGACCCGGTATTTCGACCGTTTTTAATGGACCCTGGTCTTTGGAAAGGAGCCGTGGCGGATTCGAACGTAGCCGCGCAACAAGAGGGACTTGCGACATACTGCGCCTTTCTTAAGTATGCTGGCGTGCAAGCGTCCTCGAGGTGCGCATATCCTGTTCTTCAAAAAAAAAAAAAAAAAGAAAAAAAAAGAAAAAATAGTGCTAAAGTGCCGGAAATGCTGGATGGGATGCTAATTAAGTCACACTCAGAACACGGAGTATTACAACCGTACCTATTGTGGAGAAGGGGCTATGCTCAACGAGACCCGCCGCCAAAACAAACGCCTTAGAAGCCCTGTTGCTCTTCATTGAATTGGAAAAGGCAGACCCAATCATCGAAGATGTTGTCGGGACACTATCACACAAGCTGCCGAAAGTTATAGCTGCAGCCCTGGCCGCTCTCACTGCAATTTACCACAACTACGGCTGTAAAGTGGTCGACTCTAAGCCAGTGCTCAAGGCACTGCCGAAGGCTTTCAGTCATGCAGACAAAAACGTCAGAGCCGAAGCCCAAAATCTAACTGTGGAACTTTATAGATGGCTGAAGGAAGCGTTGAAGCCACTGTTTTGGGGTGAACTAAAACCAGTGCAACAACAGGATCTGGAAAAATTATTCGAAAAGGTGAAGCAGGAACCAGCGCCAAAGCAAGAAAGATTTACTCGAGCTCAACAGGAGGCTATGGCAGCCGCCGATGGCCAGCCCGATGATGGTGCAGACGGTGCGGGAGCCGACGGTGAAGACGACGCTGCTGAAGAAGATCTCGATGTATTCGACCTGGCAGAGCCAGTCGATGTCATGGCAAAGGTGCCGGCTAGCTTCAACGAAAGTGTGGCATCATCAAAATGGAAAGACCGCAAAGAAGCTTTGGATGCCCTCTACGCGGCTGCAAACGTCCCACGAATCAAAGAAGCTCAATTCGACGACATAATGCGAGTACTTGCAAAATGTATGAAAGATGCCAATATTATGGTGGTTACAGTGGCCGCCAATACCGTCGATGTCTTTGCAAAGGGTCTTCGCAAGGGATTCGGAAAATATCGCCCAGTAATAATGTCACCAATGATGGAGCGGTTGAAAGAGAAGAAGCAGACCGTAGCTGATGCCCTTGGGCAGGCGCTAGACTCGGTATTTGCATCAACGAACCTTTCAGACTGCCTGGAAGACATCTTTGAATTCTTGAAGCACAAGAACCCGCAAGTAAAACAAGAGACCTTGAAGTTCTTGATTCGCTGCCTTCGTACCACTAGAGATGTTCCTTCCAAGCCAGAGACAAAGTCGATAGCTGAAGCTGCTACGAAGCTGCTTACAGAATCGAGCGAGGTGACTCGCTCGGGTGGTGCTGAGATCCTCGGCACTTTGATGAAGATTATGGGTGAGCGAGCCATGAATCCTTATCTGGATGGTCTGGATGACATTCGGAAAAATAAAATAAAGGAATTTTTTGAAACAGCCCAAGTCAAGGCCAAGGATAGACCCAAGCCTATCATCGGTCCTCCAAAGGCCGCACCTGGTCCTGCAAAACGCACGGTTGCCAAGAAGCCAGCAGTCCTTAAAAAGCCTGCCCCCATTTCCACAGAGCCTCCAGCCGAAGATCCTCCAGTTCTCTCGTCTCCCGCTCGGACCAAGCCAGCCGCGAAAGGGCCCCCGTCGAAACTCGGTGGCATATCAAAGTCTAGTGGTCTCGCAACTCCTGGCTCAGGTCTCAAGCTGCAGAGGAAGCTTCCAGGCCCCGGCGGAGCAGTGCCCCAACTCTCTTCGCCTAGACGGCGCACCGCTTCTCCACCACCAGAAGAACCGGCCCCTGCAGCAGCCCCAGCTCCTGTCCAGCCTAAATTTGGTCTTGGCCGCGGTCTCGCAGGCCGACCGATTGCAAAGCCCAGTGCTCCGTCTGCAGAGCATGCTCCAGTACCTGCTTCCGCACCTAGCCATGTTGCATCCGGTCTGTCCGTTGTTGAGAGAGCGGAGTTGGAAGAACTTCGATTGGAGAAGGAGAGATTAACGAAATTGACGGAAGATCTACGGTCGGAGCGTGCGAAGTTGAATTCGGAAATAAATGAGTTGCAAAACCAAAATGCGCAATTGATAGAAGACCATACTAGAGATGTCCTAAGCATCAAGGCCAAGGAGACTCAACTTGTACGTGCGAAGAGTGACGCTGAAACCGCCGAACAAACTGTGCAGAAACAACAAAGAGAGATTGAACGGCTCAAGCGAGAATTAACAAGGGCCATGCGAGCTAATGCAGCTAGCCCACCAAACCCATATGTTGACCAACTGGGTCTAAATATGGGTGTTAATGAAGCTAGCGCTGGAATATATCAAGATGACAATCTTCGAGCAAGCCTGCACATGGGCTCTAGATTCGAGAGTGCTAGACCTAGAAGTTATGTTTCATCTAGTCCCAGTGAAGAGAAAGAAAACAATGGCCTCGCCTCACCGGGTCTAAGTTCGAGGTTTGCTAGTCAGAGAAAGTTTAGCCCTCCCGTGGGATCCGCCTATTCTTCCGGGAGAGGAAGTCCTGCTAGGACATCGACAAGAACAGGTGGCATGGGTGCGGACGGGATAACGTCCCAGGGCGAGCCGGCCGAGAATTGGAGACGAGCCGCCGAGGTCACAAGTCAATTGAAAGCTAGAATAGAGCAGATGAAGGTGAGTTTGTTAATATCCACTTTGTCTTAATCAAGTTAAGATAAAGGCTAATGTCCTTCTTCACGGTGTCTAGGCGAAGCAAGGCCTATCACGCCCGCCTCCGTCACATTGATGCTCGACCCACTGAGCGATAGATAATTTTTCTCTGTGACGTTCTGATATGATTTACTCTTTTCCCTTCACCCTTTACCTTTTTTTTTTTTTTCCCTTCTTAATCTCAGTTCGTTGAATACCCCTTTAACCCATCTGTTTTTTGGGATGCTTGAGTGATGGCGGCGTCGGCATGTTACAAGAGGGTCATGGGCTGGGTCCGGCAACAATGTTAGACTTGTTTTTGAAACGTACGCTATTCGCTTCCCGATGGTTCTTCGCGCGTAATACTCGAAACATGCTCCGTACTGTTTTATGCTATCCGTTAAATACTGGAACTTGGATGTCTACAAGACGGAGGAGTCTAGGCTTTTTATGGACCCAAATCACTCAATAAGATTGAACCGTCGTCGTATTTGCTTGACTTGAATCCATAGAAAAAAAAAGACCACTACGCGCCGGGTATATGCATATCAAACAAATAATAAAATCATTAACACGAGATAATAAACCCATATGCGTAGTTTTTCGATTCACGATTCTACTAAGTGCATGTGGGTGGAAAGTCAACATTATTCGTGGGGCCTTCACGTTAACTTTTTCATCGAGGTACAACGCCGAGTTGAACTCCCATAACCCATCCTGTCCTGGAAAAGCAACACAGAGATAACAGTTTAGATCTTAACAGCAGTCTCAATGGCTCTGCGCTTTTTCTCTTGACGAGCAAGGGCCTTGGCACCCATGATACCACCACCCCAGTGGCGCTTGGACTCTTCGTACTTCTCACTATAGCCCTCCTTGATGGCGGAGACGAGCTTGGCAAATTCGCTCTTGTCCTCGGCACGGACTTCGGTGAGAGCAACGACAGCGGCAGTCTGATGCAAATTATATTAGCGCTCATGCTATATCCTTAAATGACAGGATGAAGTTTACCTTCTTGTGGACCACAGTTCCGAGTCTGGCCTTGCCCTTGATGATAGCATATGGAACACCCATCTTGCGGCACAGGGCAGGAAGGAAGACAACAAGCTCAATTGGGTCAACATCATTGGGGATGAGAACCAAAGAAGCCTTCTTGTTCTCAATCAAACCGACCACGTGGTTGAGACCATACTTCACGGTGTATGGCTTCTTGCTAACATCCTCTTTCTTCTGGCCAGCCTCGACGGCAGTAGCTTCCTTGTGGAGACGCTCCTTCTTCTCAGCCTTGGACTCTGGGCGGTACTTGTTGAGGAGCTTGAACGCCTGGGCGGCAGTGTTGCGGTCGAGGGTGTTCTGGAATTGCGCAATGGCCGGAGGAACCTTCAAGCGAAGGTTGAGGATCTTCTTCTGGCGCTGAAGACGGACATACTCGGGCCACTTGACCATACGAGAAAGGTTGCGGCTGGGTTGGACGTCCTGACCGATGCCGAAGTTACGAGGGCGTTTCTCGATCAAAGGATTCTGCAGCAGGTTAGCATAGACACGCTAGTTATGTAGATGGAGTGCACTGACCTTTGGGCCCTTCTTGCCGGCACCAGCCTTCCCCTGGGGGAAGGGGGCGGGAGCAACTTTCTTTCCACTCTTTGGGGGCTGTCATTGAGAAAAGAAGATCTGTCAGCGAATCGTGTTCACCAAGGACTGCATCTTCTATTTCTCTAGAGAGACGATAGACGTGCGTTTCCGCAACGACCATGCCTCAAGCCATATCATCACTGACTCAATTGCTCAAAAACAGAGTCAATTGAGTCGATGGAAATGATTTCAGCTGGATGGTACAATTCAGACCAGAGCCAGATTATAGAAGATCTCAAGAAACCATTCTGGACTGTGTTATTCTTACCATTATTGTCGATGTTGTCGGCGCGTTGTTGACTGATGACGAAGACGAAGAAAGGAAAAGGAATGCGATTTCAGCGAGAGTGCGAAAATAATTGCTGGTCTCCTTAGCGCCAAAACCGTAAGCGAGGTCTAGCCCGTTTTAGGTAAAGCTCCTCCATAGCCCTCACGTGAATTCTCATTGGAATGTTTGGTTCTTCGCTAAACCCAATCGGGGATTGGAGGGAGGCCCCGGAAGGGGGAAATAATTCGCCGGCCGCCCCAGCTTCACCAGGCGAGAATACTTGCAGTAACGCTTCTGGCCGGCCCCGCAGCGCTGGTGCATATCAGCTATTGTGTGTGTGTGTGTGTGTGTAATTCATATTTTTCGTAGGCCTTATGCAGTCAGAGACTATGAAGGCCACGCTATCTTTGTCAACTAGTTACAGGCATGTGTCCTCCATATCAGCTATTAGTGAAAGGAGTCAAATGGTTGCTATCGCCATAATAACTACTACGTGCTACTGAGGCGCAGATATATGAGAGATCGTGAGAGATCGTAAATGACAGCTAGGCTCAGTAGCTGTATCATTGTAGTATTTTAGCATTGGTAAGGTCATTTCGCTCATCCGTCCAAAAATGCTCCAAGGTATGTATATTGGCACTGGCCAAAAGCCGATATTAACAGAACGCCATTCCCATATATCCCAAACACCATGCGCTAGGTTCAGCGTAGTAACACTCAGGTTGCGTTCAATTTGATCCCTGAAGATCAAATTGGTCTTTAGTCGATGGGAAATTCACCTCCACGGGACTCCCAGGCCCGGGATCCCTGTGCGTCCGATGCCTGAACTCGCAGCCTCGACCGCTTTCCTCCTTCCTTTAGAGCCCTCTTGACTCCGAACTCCCTGCACAATTCGATCGAGGTTCGTTTCGATAACCACTCCGCCAACGATCATCTCCGCCAGCACTGCATGCATCGTCTCAAACCCAAAAATTAGGTCTAGTTCGCAAACGTTTTCAAACAGGCGATCTAACGCCTCCACGAAGACCTGGATCAAATCGATTAAAGCAAGCGGGGATTCAGTGGAAGTAGAGATGAGAATGAAGGAAAGCGTAGCATAGGTGCGATATGTTATTTGAGTTGGGGCATCGGAATGGCCCAACGTTGGGTTCGTATCCGCGCCTTGTGAAAGGAGTGGCGGGAGAGGCAGGAAATTACAAGCCGAAGGCGGTCGCTGGGAAACAAGGCTATAGATCTGCGCTATTAAGCGCTGCTGTGTTTGTGTATCCTGTCAAGCAGCAGATGTTAGAAACGCCGGTGCACAACCTTCATGGGGCCAGGTGCTCCCTTTACCAGCTGGGTATAGAATTTAGTGAGGCGCGGTTGCCCGCTATTGTTAAAAACGAGAACTGCATTTATCATGTTTGCAGCTGTCACGGACTGATAGCTGGATCCAAATCCTGCACGTTTCCTTGGTGACTGTGGTGCAGGCCAGCAGGATATTTGGCCCTGATAACCGGCGTTGATGTTGAACGTGACGGGGGCAGAGGCGACGAAGGCGGCGGCGGCTCTGGCCAAGACCAGCCGTAGATAAGCTTATCAGCATACAGCTTGTTTGACATGTTTGCATTCCAATGACAGCGATGGCTTTTTGCTGAGTGCACGTCGGGCTGAATCGAATACCAGCTTCACCCATTTAGAACAAATCATCCTTCGTTGACCTTTTCAGGTTTCTATCCTCATATATTCTTCGATGGGATCTCCCATTTTTCGTCGTTACCTCAATCGTCATTTCATCCGCACGTTGAAACGAAGCTATTCAACCGCAGCACATCCCGAAAACATCCCAACACCTGGAGGACTCCCGCCTTTAATCCGGGGAACTCAAGATGCGCCATCCAGCGGTGCTCTTACAAACAAACCATCCCTAGAAGACTACTGTTTCTACCGCGACACTCTGCCTCCCAAACCTTCCCAGCTTGAATACGCAGATCATTTCTTCGCCGCATCGAAGCACTCCCCCGTTTATCTCTGGGGAAGCAGTCTATTCCGAACCATTCCTGTCTCCTCTATTCCCGAAATCGCATTTATTGGCCGCTCTAATGTTGGCAAAAGTTCAATCATCAATGGCCTTGTTGGTGAAGATATCTGCGCCTCGTCGAGTAAGCCCGGCCGGACGAAATTGATGGCGTCTATCGGTGTCGGTGGCACAAAAGGAGGCGGATCAAAGATAGCGCTTGTGGATACTCCGGGATATGGAAAGGGGAGTCATACCGAATGGGGGCAAGAGATTCACAAATATCTGGAGAAGAGAAAGCAGTAAGTTGAAAATCCTAATAATGTTAAAACCATTCCTTATATTTTCTCATTTCTTAGACTCCGACGTATCTTCCTTCTCATCGACGCAGGGGTCGGGCTGAAAACCCGTGACCACCAAGTGCTGAATTTCCTCCGTCGTTTTGCAATCCCTTACCAACTAGTTCTTACAAAACTCGATCACGCTCTCTCCTTCAACGGCCATAAAAATAAAACCAAACCGAATGACTCTCGCTCAGATCTCATTCGGTTTTCTCAAACCGTTCAAGATATCCTCTCATCCGCCCAACCTGTCAACCCAATTTTAGACGGTCCGGGGCCGTTGAATGACGTGATCGCATGCAGCGTGCAAATGCAAAGTAAGAAACAAAAGAAATCAGTAGCAGGTCTTAGCTCTCTTCGGTGGGCGATTCTTCTTGCAACCGGATTCGATCAAATCCCTAAGGGGTTCAAACTTAAGAGATAATTGTTCTGTTTTGCTTGCACGTTGTGATAGCAAATGGCTGGAGATTTGCATATACTTACATACCTACACAAAGTATTCTGTGCATATACATAGACTCAAAGTTTTGGCGTTACACAGGACATGGGGATATATAAGGTCTAAAATATAGCGGACATAGCGAATATAGAGATATATATTAACTGCATACTCTCTATTGTTAAAGGTCGGACGAATATATTATAGGTGCCACAGCGATGCGCTGTTGTTGCTTGATGGGCCAGTGCTGTAGACTTGTACCTCCAGCTGCGCCCCGAAATTTTCGCTTTAGAGCTCTACAAAATTGGACAATAGCCAAATAGCAAGGCTATAGGCATCCTACTCTCTTTGTCGCTCGCATCCTATCTGATCCTATGTATCAACGCAGGCATGTTCTACGAAATCAGTACCACATATTGACACTTCCAGGCTAATGCTTTCTGTAATCCCCAGTGTTGTTACACTTATTTACCTTAAAATATAAGTGAGACTGGCTTCTGCAAGTTTGAGTTGGCGAATTAGTAGCATATCGCCCTGGTGGAGAAGTGGTCCTACACTTTTCAGGAGGAGCTTACTATTATTGATATCTTACCCGAACTGCTGCACTAGATTGAGAGCGTGGTGTGACTCAGGAAATCACCTATTTAAGCCTTTGATTTGGCCAGAGAAGTCCCTCTATGTCATATATTTGCTTCTGTAAGCAAAGAGGCCTGCGCCCGAAAGTGTTGCTACTATTCAATGACATCGACAAACTTCGTAAACCCTTATTAACACCAAGCAAGATAGGCGACCGAATGTTGGTGTTTAAAAAGAGACAAAAAAGAAGTGCATGTCATAGTTTGATTTTATCGACAATAAAAATGCAACGGTACTCCATATACCAACGCCTTGACATTCCCAGGCCGTTAGACTCCAGACAGTTAATGAAATGCAAACAGTCGAGTGTACATGAGGAAAAATGCTGCATCACAAAGAATTTTGAGGCCGCCGGTTGTCAGAAATGAAAAGTCGTTGTCCATAATTCATGAAAAAATCCTGTGGCACACCCTATTGATATTCGAATCCATCAAATCATTAGCGCCTCTTTAACACCTTTCTCCAGAACAGAGCGCAATGACCAAAAAGGTACGTAAGCCGAACAAATGAGTATGTATGCCGTCTAGTGCGTGAATGGCTGGCGTTGAAAATACACATTATGGCTCTGTTCCTCCCACGGAAACAAAGTAGGACAAGGGTATCATAAAATATCTGAAAAGTTGCGCCGTTCATCCATAGTTTGCTGAGACGGCGGTGATATCGAAGTCAGATCTCCGGTTTGGATAATATGAGTCGATGTTGTACGTTCATTCGTCTGAACCATCTCTATCACCAGTTCCTTCATTCTCTTCTTGTACTTCTCCACCATATCTGTCCACCACAATTCTCCGACCCAAACGATCAATCGGAACTCGATCTCGAGATGCGCCAAAATCAAGCATCTAATTACAAATATTGATTAATATCGGCTTTGACAAAAGGTTATCAAGTGGCAGCTTACCTCAATGTATGTGAGGCCATCCCTCTGAACAGCGGCAACACATCTTCTATCGTTGAAGCGGACTTGCCACATCCCACTAAGGTCACTGAGCAAATCCTTCAAGCACTCTCCTGTCTTAATATCCCACATTTTCAATGTACGATCGGAGCCGGATATAATCTTCTGGTCATCATGTTCAAAACAGGTAATCGCACCGGTATGTGCTGTTAGTGTGCTTTTACATTGTCCCGTTTCTGGGTCCCAGATTCTAAGCGTCGAATCAGCAGCAGCTGATACGAGCTTATCCGCCCGGAGATCGAGAAGACCCACGAGTAATGAATGTCCTTCGAGGTTATATAGAAGCGTACCGGTCTCGAGTGACCAGATTTTGACCGAATGATCCATTGAACCACTGATACAGCGATTCCTCTTATGATCCAGAACGACACTGTAAACTTTAAGAGTGTGTCCCTCCAATCGATGAACGGCTTCGCCGGTAGATATCTTCCACACTCTTACGGTGCAATCATAACTGCCGCTGACAAGTGTATCACCGTGCGCTGCTATTGCCCGGACGGAATGAGTATGACCGTTCAATGCCCGAACAAAGTACGGACAAGAGGAGTCATCTGGTCCTGCCTGAAAGTATTTCGGATCTCCTGGCTGTGGAAGCCTCCAAACACGCAAGCTAGAATCTCGCGACCCGGTAATGATCAGGGGCTCTTTTGGCATCATTTCCGGACTCCCGTCCGATCTGCGACCAATTTGAGATGGTAACAATATTTGCAAGCATCGGACTGTTGAAGTATGCCCATGGAAAGTCTGGGTGCATTCTGCCTTTTCAATATCCCAAACTCGCACTGACCTGTCGGTAGAACCCGAAACGAGAGTGTTACCATGATATTCTAGAGCCCAAACCCCGCCCTCATGTCCTTCAAGAGTCGCCCTAAGGGCACCAGTTTTGGTGTCATACACATGAATGTTGGTGTCATCGCTACCCGTGAGGATTTTATCAGTATCAAACTGGAGACAAGTGACAACGTGGCGATCATGCGCCTGGAAGGCGAGATGCTGCGGCTTAGCGTTTGGATCCATCCATCTCTTGCGTATCAGATGATGGCGCTGATAAAGTGATTTGTAAAGGTGTAAACTTTGGAGGGATGGTAAACCAACGTTAGGATAGGGAACAGCTAAGGCCGCTGCACTCGCTGCCGCGTATGGGACTTCAGCCACCTTCGAATCATGTAACCAGTCGGAAATTCCGGGCGACCTGGACGTATTATCTTTCGGCGACTGCTTCTTCACTTGCCTTCGAGAAGGCGAGCTTGACTCAGCCTTTCTTTTTGGTCGTCGAGGACATGCCAATGACGAGGAGTCTTTCAGTTGGAGGATGGACTCAGGCGAGTCGGCCGACTGTTCACTAGTGGGCCTCGAAAGCAAGCGTAGATCCCTCTCGTAATCGTCGGCGTACTGCCACCCCCAGCCTTCTTCAATAGCCCTTTGAAGCTCTCCTTCAGGAAGCGTGAACCCAGCAGCGTCGAAATGAGCTTTCCAAGTCTTTTCATCGGAATTTATGATATGCCTCCATTTTTTGGAGACTTGGGATGCCCTACACATGGACACTACGTCCAAGAATTTAACAATGTTGAGACAGAGCTCCAGAGGCAGCAGCGCCAAGAAATCGCATTTCAGGGCCGGGTTGACAACGTCAGCAACGAGCTGGAGTGTTGGCTTTGGACACCTCCTTAGTAACTGATACATGAAATAAGATTTGAGTTCATCCGGTATGGAGTCGAAGTAGCCCAGCACAACAGGCATGTCCATAAGCGACATCGAAGGTGATGTCTGGTCCGTATCGGCTTTTCCAACAGCATTTTTGGGGCCGGCGCGGCGATTACCAGCTAAATTCGACTCTTTTGGGAACTGATCAGCGACTGAATCTGTATCCGTGGCTGGATCTTCGGCTGAGTCAAATGATGTTTCTTGCTGAAGAGAATTCATCGCAGTCACAGGAGATAGCCTTGGGCTCGGTAGAGGGATATTTTCACCTCTGCTCTGATCTGTGGCCAGCAGCCTAGACACCAGAGGGCGCAGGCGACGATCCTGTGTAGGGGGATTATCTGCTTCTGACGATATCGAAGACCCGAAAGACTCGGAAGGAAATTCGGAGGGCTTCTCAACCAACGGCGACGCTTCGCCATCATCCACACTCCGCCGGCGGCTTTCTCCGGCTGCAGGTGGATTCTCATTCTGGCGCTTAACGGGCGGTCTCGGCTGGGATGTTCTTTCTGGATTGTATATCTCGCTGTCAAGCGCGAAACTGGCACTTTCTGTTTCCGGCGTGGCCAGCCCGACTTCAGTCACGTGACAGGGATCCTGGGCAGAGCTGAGATGTCTTCGTCGCGGGTGTCGACAGATCAAGGAATCGGAGACAAGAGATCGCGAAGGGCTTGGGTTCGATGCTTGCGACGATCCGGCAAATGGCACGGGGGAGACAGCCCGTTTTGTATTCCTGAATGGCCGATGCCGTGAACCCAAAATCCGACCGCGACTTGAAGAGATAGGTGCCGAGGGATTAGTCGTAGCGGTGGCTGATCTGGTGTTACCGGCTGATGTCTTCAATTCTTCTTGTCCCTGCTGTTGCTTCAAATTTGGGTTAGCATGGGCTCTCGGCTCATATAATTCGAACATATCCCAAATGTGAGGCATGCCTACCTCGGCTAAGGCACCAGGTGCATCGTCAGGCTCATGGAGGACAATTGATTTCCCGTTGAGATTAAACCTGATATCCCTCAGCGACTCAGGAGTCGGTGCTGCAGCAAGAGGGTATTGTTTTGGGTCAAGGCTCTGGAGAACGCGCGGTGGGTGCATGATCAAAGGGGGAAATTTGGTCATGGTCGTAGTGGTTGTCGTGACAATCGTGGTCTGTGTCGTGGGGGCAAAGGAGAACTGGCCGATAGTAGGTTTAGGACGCGAATCGTCTTCGGATATCTCATTGCAATCGGTGCGCTCGTAACGGGATGAACAGCTCTGATATTCAGACAACTCCGGCGTTTTTAGGGAACGGTGAGACGCGTCACTCGGGGTCATCTTGGACTCGGGCGCTCCTGTTCTCAAGAACGTGGCGATGCAGTCCGGGAATTCCCAGGCCTTGCCTGCACTAAGGTCCTTTGTGGGTTGGGGCTGATCAATAGGAGGTTGATGACAGAGTCTTAGGGCAGATAAGGTCTAAGGGAAATTTCCACCGAGATTTCCCAGCACATCGGATCTCGAACCGTTACGGATCGAGAGAGAGAGAGGGGGAGGGAAAGCGAGGGGATTCAGCAAGCTGGGGTAACTAAACGAAGGCTGAAGAAGAGAGGCGAGACAACGATTGCTGATGTCCACCAGACGGAGTTTCAACTCTCCAAATTTGCCAGCATCATAGGGCTCATAGCAATACACGAAGAAGCAAGTGAAAAGGTGCTGTGAGGTGAGAGAGTTGAGGGTTGAGGGCCCTGGGGGATTCAGCGGGGACGAGTGCCAGAGGTGGATCGAGAGGAGCGGCGGAAGCGAGCAAAGGCGATCGGGGAGAGGGCGTAAATTACAAGCATTGTTGCAGGCTCATACAACAGCTGAAAGGTCTTATTACGCCATTTTTGAGGGCGTGCACACCTAAGCAATCACGTGCAGTACCTGCAATTACAGACACGGGCGACAATATGTACTTACATATGTGATGCTACAGGGGCCCCGTCGCGGACTTCCACCCATGCAAGTTGAGACGGAGAAAACTCAAAAGACTTCCCAACGCTGCCACCACTACTCTGTACATGTGTCTCTGCTTGGAACACTTCACACACATATACTGTCTGTACCAGAAGACCAAAGAGTTTATCTCACTTTCCTCCCCAGTACTGAGAGGAGTGCTCCATTTTTCAAAACTTTCTCGAGCCTATATCCTAACTTTCATGCCGCTGTCATCTACAGGTTTCCCAAGATTGTTCTCCTGGATGAGACACTTTGACCATCAAAAAGACATTGCAGGATGAGACAAGCTTCTTCTGATGATGGCTTGGGCATTTTGTATTGTTGCATTTTCTCACTGGGCTACAAAACCAGAAAGTTCCATGAACATGCATTTCTGTTGGCCAGGATTCTTGATGCCAGGAGTGCGGCTGTGTGCACGAGGAAACCTCTGACCTTTTCTCCAGCCAAAAGCAAAGCATGATGTGCAGGCATCAAAAGTGGGATGAAGGGTAAAAATATAGAATAAAAGGACAGAAAGAGCTTGTTTTCAGATTCAATACTAGAAACCAAGCAGGAAAACCAGCGATAGCTGGAGAAAAAGTACTTCCTTTGCATATAAACACAAGATTGCCTTGGAATTTGGTTCAAACAGGCAGTATATCACTACATGCAGCCTTGGATTGCACTGTATGTCAAGCTCTGTGTATGTGTTTGCTACTTAGCTTTGCCCTACCAGGGGAGTGAAATGCTGGCCTCTCTTGGTTCTTTTTATCTTCTGTTAAGGCAGACGACACCTTGAATTCAATACTGGTTACGCACTGTGACAACTGTACTGTCGTCTCAACCTGTACTCACATGACACAACACACTATCGTTGTCTAGACTATGCTGGTGAACTTATCAGCTTAGGACACGGCTTCAGGCTTCCACAGTCGCGTCCATCACCATGGCTCGAAACATCCAGCCTGGCTCGAAAATGAAGGCTGCTGGTGGTACATTGATGGCCACGTGTGAAGCCAGGATGATGGCTCCAATATCTGTTCATAAGCAGAAACAGGAGCAGATGAAGACTGAGCAGACTACCCACGTCCCTCAGAAAGTTGAAATGAAGCAAGAGGTAGCAATCCGACAAAAGCAGAGCCAAGAATTGGTTCAGATCCTACTCAATGCATCTGTCAGCTCAAGTCTCCCTTGTTGTTTACCCCACTCTCTTTAGGGTCAGTTAACACTAATGATATGGCAGATTGGGTCTCTCTTCTATCTCAGGTGTGATTGGCCTCTTATTCTCGCACTCTCGCAGATCTTCTACTGATCTTTCTAGGGGCTTCCTTCCGTTGACTTGCTTCGATACGCGTTATCTTGATGCAAAGTCAGAAACAAGCATTTCTTACGAGGATTTTACTGGGTCGGATTCGAAGCCTGCAGCACCTAGAAAGAGCCAGCCCTTGATAATCTTGTTGAGAAACTGTAATTCCACTGCTGATGCTATCTTAAATCTCCTGGTGAGCCAACAGTTAGGGTTCTCCGAAAGCGGCAGCTAATGACTGCAGGAATATGGAGTCTTCGATGCCCTAGGTAAACGCGTTTTAGAAGCCGTCCAGCTTACCATAAGCCGTGAGAGGAACACACCTCTGCAAGTGCTCGAAAGTTATACGTTTACATTTGCCTATAAGGTTGACGGGAAACACAAGGTTACCAACCTAGCAAGTGTGTCGCTCGACGACGGCAAATGCACTATGGAAATGGGGACTCTCCGGTCTGCAAAGGTGGGACTAGAGATGATCATCCGCCGTTTAATCACGCTCAGTACCATCCTTCCGAACCTACCTTGTACGGACCCCAAAAAAAGCGTTATGCGCTTTTGTCTTCCGCTGACAAACGATACAGCAAAGCGGTTTCTTCATATCCACCTATTCTATACCGAGGATTGCCCCCTTGAATATGAGCCACCAGGGTTCAAGAACTCGGCACTCGAGGATATTCGCTTTCCGCGAATTGAACATTGGACGAAGGAGACACAATCATGCGGAACGATGGATGGGCCTTATCACAGGTGAGACGAGAACATGTCTACGCTTTCTGCGGAGCTAACAGAGATTTAGGGTTGGCTTAAAGGTCACCTCCCTTCGGTGGTCTGGCACTGGCGATGACCAGATCCCAGAAGATCTTAAGTATTCCGATGATGTCTCCCGGGAAATCGACGTCGGCATTGACCATAAGGCCAAAGGGCATTCACAGCTGGGGGATGGTGGGTGTTTCCCAATTAGTCCTACTTCCTATCGTTTCCGGTGTTGCTCTTTATACCTAACACATGAACTGTCCAGAAGGTCCATATGAATCAACTCAAGCCCGCGAAGATGAGGCGGGTCGGAAGATTCTCCAGAAAATGGTAGGCATGGGAGGATTTCCAAAGGGGCGTTTTACGAGCAACACATCCTAACTGAGCACTTGTTTTAGCTAGAGCCATCAAGTATCGATACCACCATGGCGCCTACCCAGCAACTCATTGACTCGACCGCGAAGAACGATGCTACTGCAGCAAAACCGCAGTTTTCTCAGGCGAAAATTGACGAAATAGAGAAGAGGAGAAGCCAACCACAGCTAGCACATCCAATGCACGCTAGGTCAACCGGGAGTAACTCTGACGCCGGAGCAGTTTCTTGCCAATGTGGTTGGAACCAGGAAGAAGGTGCTATGGTTAGTCCCATCCTTTCACTACAGAATTCCATTCGATTTTGTCTGACATTTGCACCTTCAGATATATTGCCGTTTCTGTGGCACCAAGCAGCATCTTTCATGCTACGGGTTCCATAGTATCCAGGATCCAAAGCTCCCCAATACACATGCATGCTACAAATGCCTGTTAGGAGACGCTGAATGTCAAATTCTACAGGAGATGAATACCTTGGTGCTCTTGCGACGAGCCTTAAACATTATTATTGAGGAGGGCTATCCAAGGGGCACCAAAGCCTTTGCGGAAAAACTACGTAAGTAAAATTATGCACTATGAATTCCTTGTATACTAATCGACCTAAAGACTGCAACGGCCAGGCAATCCTTCAAATTACTGGAATGCTGAAGAAGAAAGGTTTCTTAAAAGCCACACCCGGGTCTAAGTCAAAAGGATTTTCTGAGAAAGGCTTACCCAGTTTTGTGATCCCTGAATCCAAAGGAATCCGTGAAAGGATTGACCAGGAAATTCTCAGCCCATTTGCGAACATATCTCACCATGTAAGTCTCCGGACACACTGGCTAGATCGATAATATTGACCCAACCTCCCCCAGTATGATATCCCTCGGTGCTTACAGCAGCGAGCTACATCAGAGACTTGCCCACATTTGGCGGATGGCATGGAGGATCATCCAGTATTCGGAACTTACCTTGCAAGGAGCCGCCGTCGCCTCTGGCCACTGGATGACAATCTCTACCGGGAAAGTCAAGGATTAGCTTCAGCTGCATCGTCAGCATCACCCATGTCACCTGAATCGACCGCACCGGCCGCATCATCCGACAATCTCGAACTTCAAGAACCAGGACCCGGGGGACGAGCGACGCGGGAACCTCAGATCCGAGGAAGAAAACGCAAGCTCAGTAATGCTACGCAGCCAATTGACATTGGGGATCCGGATTATGATGACTTTATGGACGAGTCCAGTGGCTGAGCATAATCCTCCGAATAAAGACCCTTGTTTACTTGAGTGCATACGGGAAATTCTTTAGGGACCAAGCTGTCTCTGCTTTTCGATCTTTCTTCACTTGTTATTCCTGCAGACACGGAACCACGTAAAATGGGGGGGTAAAACAAAACAAAAACAATGTTAATGGTGCGCTCGTTTATCCTTGAGACTTAAAATATCAGATGAGGACTCAATTAAGTTTGACCCATGCTATTAAATAATTGAATGGCTGCTACGGAGGTCTCCGTAAATATTCCAGAGTTAAAGAGGCAGACAACCCGTGCTTACGCATACCGATAGCCTTTCTTTGAAGTCCTACCGTGCCCAGCTCTAGCGGTTTTTATGATTTTTGAGCGAGAGGGGGTATCTTTTGGACACGCCTAAATATAGCTCCTATTCGTCGAGAGCTACTCCGGAGTCTGGGTGCTGTGCAAAGTGTACCTGGAGTTCAGCTACAACAGGATAAAGTTAAGGTTCCCCAAGAAACATGTGCGTGCGACCCATCCCCGGCCCGGGCAAAAGTGATACATATTGATCAATGCTTTGATAGCGGGCGATATGTACTTTGTATGGTGTAATAACCAGTTGAACCTATTATGTCCGTGCGAGGATGAAGATTCTAGGATGTGATCACCAGATAAGCCATCCATGCATGCGAGTTGGGAGTGGGTGATGCAGTGACA